TAGTTTGACATTTTTCTGTTCTGGTCGATGTAAGTCTTGAAATAATGGTCTCTTCCTATTTATAATCAAGAGGCCTAAAAAAAACAGCCAACATTATACATGTTTTTTTTTTGTCTTAATTTCCAGAAAAATCTTTTATAATCTAATGTGCATAAGCTTTATTTTTCTATTGTCTGTTTATTCATTTATGTGACTCTTTCCTTTTTTCTTCACATCCACGTGATCCTCACTCTTCTTCGCTTCATTATCTCTACATCACACAAATGTTGTGTTATGCTCTAAGTTAACTTCTTAGCTTATCAACCATTAAAACTAAATCAATATGAATTCAGCATCGTGGACTATGATGATTCGTAGTGGTTCAGAAAAGTTATCCAAAAGAGATAAAAGGAGGTAGTGGTGGAATATGAATTAAATGGTAGATGGAGAGAGAAAAAACAGTGTATAGAGTAGAAAAATCATGAAAATAAGCTTTCTCTCCCTTATTTCACCAACTTAATTTTGACACTTATAGCGCATTGATATGCATGATTTGGTTTAGTAAAACGAATTTTGACATGCGACGATAGAGTGAAGACGAATATGTAGCGGATCAACAAAATGGATATCGATAAATAAAAAGGACGATGATGATTATGGATTTTCCTCATAATTTAGAGGCCTAACAAATATTTATATATGTGGCATTCGGTTTTGGTTACCAAATTACATAATAAATTTATAATGAGGTGTACATCATAATCCCCTTCATTTATACTGAAAACAAAATCTTTGATAATTTCTTTTAATATCTATAAAAGTATACAATTTAATTTTAACAACTTTTATCAAATTTCAAGTCATATGAAGAAAATACCATACTACTACGAGTTTTCTTAAATATTAAAAACATTAAAACAATTTAATGATATTAAGTAAGGTGAGAATTTCGGTTTATTTTCACATTCATTTTGGGTTTTGTTATGTCTCTTAGTTTAGTTTTAATAAAACCCTACCAAAATTTATTTAGTTTGGTTTGGTTTGGTGTGATTTGTTTATGTTTAGCTAGGTTAAGATTAGTTCAATTTAGTTTATCACCACTTACTCATAACATATCAAAAACTACAAGATGTAATTATATTGAAGTTTATATTCTATATAAAATGAAGAATCTGTATGGTAAAAACGATATACCTATAGAAGAAATTTAACAAATGGAGAATCATTTAGGATATTAAGAAAAGTGGGTTAAGCAAAATGGATTATAAAACATTCTATTAGATCCAGCTAGGTTCAATAATTCTCCTAAAATCATTTAGACAGAAAAATAAATTTTGTTAAATCAAGCTAGATTAAAAACAAATTATAACACCAGCTGATACATAAATATGTTTAGTTTAGATAAAATAGATATGATATGCTAATTTGGATATATATAAATAACAATCCAAACGAGTAAAACTCAGGTTCGTGTTCGGGTATTTCAGATAATTACGAATCTGAATATAGAAATCTTGTTTTTAGAAACTTTCTATAATTTTGAAATTTTTTAAATTTCTATATTTTATTACTTTAGGAACCTAGGTCAGATTTGAGTTCAGATATTTTGATTCTAATTTTACATTTTCAAGTGTATATAGTAATTATATGGGAGATTTGGAAGGTTACAATAACACTTCTGGATTTATGTTTCTAATGGCTCGAATATATGTCTCATGGAGTTTAAGAAAGCAAAAATTGGTTGAATTGTCAATTACATTAGAAAGATATGATTGTGTAATGTAACCAACACACAAAATTTGGATGATGATGATGCAATCGCCACACTCCTGAGCTCTTCCTTTTAAAAACGCTATTTTCTTTTTGAATTTAATTTAACATTTTATTCAAAAAAAAAAATCAAGTGTGCAATAATATTTCAACTATCCATTAATTCTTTTAAGAACTTAATAGGCCATGGACGCAATAAGCAAATTGAAAAATTGTTTTAAATACTTGAAATATTTAATTGAGAAAGACAACGTGAGAATGATACCTTGTAACACATTATGATTTAACCCATCTCGGGACAATTGTTTTTCACAAAATTATAAGTAAATCAACTTTATTTGACATGTCTAATATTCTAATATTGGCGGTGTTAACAAAATAATATAATGAGGATTTAGCCCGTATTGTAGCGCAAAGATAGTAATATTTTAAATTTATATTAAAACATATCTCTCAAAGGGTAAAATAACTATTAAAATTATTCCAATCATCTCTAAATAGTATCTCATTTATATAATGTAATTTATGCATATTATTAGTCAAGTTATTGAGTTGATTATATTGTCTTAGATAGAAATGTTTGTCATTTCGAAATATGGTTTTTAAGTGATCAATAATTTAATATTTTAGGTATAAAATCCATATTCTTCAACATTTTGTTCAAAATACTATAAGATAAGACAATATTCTCTTTTTGGTTATATGGTATGGTTTGATTGACTTTGTGTTTTCTTTTATTCAAATTTCCATTAGTGAATTATACTAATGAATAGGATTACATAACATTTTCTAATATGGGATGTGATCTAAATCTGATAAAACTAGAGATTTTTTTCTAAAAATATTATTATTAATATATAGTAGATTTTACTAAAAAATTGTTAGCCAAAATTTTTATTTAAATGAATAATAAGAATAATAATTCAACATTTTCTACTCCAAAATTTCCCATAATTTATCTTACCATCCAAGTCCATTTGAATTTCAAATTCTACTGACATTATCTAGTCAAAAAATATTAATTACTTGTATTTTATTCCTTTTTTTTAATTCAAAATCTTCTATTCTGACATACTTTCCAAAATCTTTTTTTAAATCCAAAATCGTATATTCTAACCTAGTTATTTTAAGTGAAATAAGACAAGATATTATGTTTTCCTAATTTTCTATTCACTACAATAATATCAAGTTCACGGTCTATAATTGATTTCAAATGTATCTATCATAAAATTTTTAAAAATAACATGTTACGCGCCCAAAAACCGTTAACATTTATCATATGTTTACGCGGGAATATTTAAAAATATAATCAAATAAAGTAAAACAACGACAACAACAACAACAAGAGATCTGGTTATTACTTCTTTTATTATTTGAGCACAAACTATAGCAAATGTATTAATCATTTATCTAGGTTTTGATTTTGCATTTCAACAATTAACATACAAGATCCTACAATTATTCATGAGTTCTTAAGTTTTATTTTTTATATAACACCAACCCTAGATCTTCGGTTTATAACCAGATCCATTAGTATATTTTTTATCAAAAAATTCTTTAGAGAAACTATTGAAAAAAGAAAATAGACCGTCATCGATCTAACAAGTAACGAAAAAAAGTAGCTCTTAATTGAGCGATCTGTCGTGTTTCGAAGTATAAAAATGAGTGTATATTTTGCTTTTTTTTAACTAAAATATATCTTTTATTAATAAGATGCAATAATAACAAATTACAAGAGAATATAAATTCAGATAGAATAATAGAGACTACAAACCATAAAAGAAGATTTGATACAACATTTATCCTTAATCCCATAAACTCTTAAATCGTTTTGATAGAACAATAGTTCTCACAGCTTCGTCCAACGAAAGTTTTACTATGATCTTACACAAAATCTCGTTTGGGAGATCACTGATGCGATCTTGGGTATGGTCTACATCAACGGCAAGACTTATGCCTTGTGTATCGGATGATGATTGAGATTTCTCCATGGGTTGAATTGGTAAAGAAAGATTTTTTTTTGTGAAGAAGAAAGAAAAGAAAAGAGAAAATATTGTTTACTTTAGATTATTCACATGTAAGAGAAAAGTGAGATGAGAAGGTTTATATAGACATGATGAAGTTTGTAGTTAATTACAAGGAGATAAGAAAGATTAAATTGAGACAGTACAAAATATTTGAGGTTGTTGTAAAACTCAAAAATCTTATCAAGTAAAATGTATATACTGTATTATTTCATTTGAATAGCTTGAATTAGTTTTCCTTTTACACCCAAAATTATGAAGGAAAATTAAACGCTTTTCTTCCTGGAAAATGATATTTACTATGTAAATTTGTTTCCCTAAAAAGAAAAAAAAAAGAACTTGCTAGACAAAAATTAATATTAGATTTCAGAAGACAAAAAGAATATTACAAATAATTATTTTTAGGTGCATAGGAAATACAAACATATATGTGGGTTTTGATCACGTCTTGTTTTGAAGATAAAAAGATGAAATAAAATTATTGGTAGTATGTAAATCTGTGTAAACAAACGTTAGTGTTGATGTTTAGTTTTTTCAAATGATATTCACAATTAAACTTAGCGAATATGTCACTTAGAACCAAAATGTCTTCTTTGCTTTTTTTTTTTTTTTGTCAATCAAGCACCATGTCCATATATTAATTCACGGAAAGTACTCTCTTCTAGAGAGAGCCAAACGGATACCGTCGAACTTACATGGGAAAAACAGAACCCGCGACCTCTTGCACATTTCGCAAGATGATCGGCGGAGATATTCTCACTACGAGGGATATGCTTCAAACTAAACGAAGAAAATAATTCCCTATAATACGAAAAATCCAACAACTCTGTAGAAACGTGGGCCACACCTCCGGGTTAGAAGTCATTTCTAAAAGATCCGAGCAATCCGTCAAAATTAGTATGCTCGTCATAGGGATCGCTACTAAGCACTTCATCGCCCACAATAAAGTCTTTGCTTTCTTACATATTAAGAACGAGATTTATTACATGAGTTGGAACTATATTTGTAGATTACACTCTATAATCTAGGGGTTGAGCAAGCCGAAGCCGGAGAAAAAGCCGGCCAACGTCGTTAAGAAAGCCAGCCGATGGCTAACAGTGCCGGAACACTCGCTCTCTCTATCAAAGAATTCAAAACTTTTAAGAAAACTATAAAAGAGTTTTATAAAAATAAATAACTAAATACAATTGGTATAGAGCCCACAGCCCAGGCAAGCTCATGTCATGTGAAACTTGCCACATCACTAAAATAATCGATATCGGAAAACTTCAATGGGCGTTTTCGTCATTTCCTTAAAAAGAGCCGCGAGACAGTCGTTGACGACGGTGACAGTTACGGCGGCGTAAACCTTATCGGACGAATGAAGATGCTCCGTTCTCCTTTCTCCGTCGTACTCTCTCTATTCATCCAAGTCCTTACTCTAGCCATAGCTCTCGATCCTTCACAGCCAGACGAATCCAACATCACCGTAACACCGATTCTACAGGTAAACCAAATCAAATCGATCTTCTTCTCCGGTGTTTGATCGTCTGACGAATTGGATTTCACTACTTAGGATGTGTTGAAGGAGATATCGGTGAAGCAGAAGTGGAATCTGGAGGAAGTGAGATTTTCGAAATTGGAAGTTAAGAAGATTCGTATTGGTAGTGGTCGGAGATTTGAGATCCGGATCCGATTTGGGAAGAGCAGATTTGTGTTTATCTTCCCTGATGAAGTAACTGGTTGGAGAAGAAGCGGTGGAGGAAGAGATGTGGAGTTGCAGGAAGTAGTTAGGGAAGTTAATTCGAGTAAGGTTCTTGATTCGCTTGTATTGAAAGGTCCATTTGAGCTACGAGTCGATGGCGATGATCGTCTCTCGCTTTCGTTGCCGGTAAATGTTCTTCTTCCATCTCTTTATATGAGTTTCTCTTACTGGTATGATTGATGGTTATGGTCTATTCATTGTTTGAACTATCTGAGGAATTAGAAAATTGTGGTGTTTTTTCGGTCTTGGTCTCGAGCAGTTGACTTAAATGTATGTTCTAATCAGAGTATGTAGCACTTGTACATTTGTATAGAGAGTTCTGGATAACTTTGAAGGAGGAGTTGGTTTTTTGTGTGTCAGTAGTTGCCAAGCAAAATGCTATCGACTTCTTTGAGTATGAGAACTCCTAAAAATCTCTGTTTTGATCTTAAGTTTTTTTAAGTTTTGAAGCTCTTTTTTTTACGGCAGTAGCTTATCGCAAGAGTTGCTATGATTGATTGTTATGATCTATACATTTCTCGGATTATCGGAGGAATTAGACATATAGGTCTTGTTTAGTGAATTCTGGTGTCTTTCATTCCTGGTCTTGAGCAGATGAATGTTCCAATGAGAGTATGTAGCACTCTTCCTGTTCCACTGGATTTTACATTAAACTATGTTATTTTGGTTCTTCTTCAAGTTCATAAAGTACAGAAAGTTCTTTATAGCTTTTAAGAAGGACTTGGTTTTTGTGTATTCAAACCTAAAACCCAGATAGAGTCATTCCATATGTTGAATCCCTTTTTTTTTTTTTTGTGTTTTTTAAGACGGGCTTGGCTTGTTGTCACTGATGGCTTCGAGCTTATGATTTGTTTTCAGATGAACATTTCGCACAACGGCTTAAAACGAGTGCTTGTGAGTGAAGGCATTTCAGTAGAAATAAGGGAAGCTCAAGCAGTCTCTCTTTTCCACTCATCCCATCGAAGATACGCTGCTACTGTAGATATGAAAAACGGAAATTGTTTATTGTCGTTTTTAGGCTCTGTGTGTGTGCCACTACCACCCATACAAATCTTAGGATCAGCTTCATTGGTGGCATTTAGGACATCAAACACGGATTCCCAAATCAAAACTTCTTACTTATCCGATGAGGCAATCCAGATACATCCAGATAAATGTTATGACAAAGCTCACACGTACAGGCAGCATCGTTTCCCAACTGATCTTCTTGGCCTGAAGATTAACAAGTTAGAAAAAGTTCTGAGCTCTTTAGGAAATGGAACCCGACAAACAGTAAGCTCTGTAACAGCAAAACTAAAGGCATCAGGAATGGTACGGTTTCAGTTAGAGATCGAGAGAAGTATTGGGAAGAACGAGAGTGTAATAAGTAAAAGAGTAGAGTGGAGAACAAAACCAAAGATCGAACGGGTTTGGTTTGAAATAACGGCGAAAATTGAAGGAGATAAGTTGAAAGCAGTGGGGATGAGAAAAGTAGTGCCTTTCATTGAAGTGGATACAGAAGCATGGAGCAGTTTAATGTCTAACATGTCATTCACAAAGTTTCCATCATTACTTGTTCCTCAAGAAGCTTTAACACTCGATGTCAAATGGTAGGCGCAACACTTTTGTAAGTAACTTTGTCTAAAGCCCTTTTGTTTTTGTTTCCAGAATGGCAGAAACCAAAATGTAATGATGGATTGTATTTACTTGCGCTTGTATGTATGTGTATATACTTCTGGTTCTATAAAGGATTATTTATCACGAAAATTGGTGAAAGGAGTTGTTACGAATCATTGCATGAACCAGTTTTGGATTTTGAGCATGTGTTAATTTTACATATATTTTCTTCACCCCTATTTCAATTTCAAAGTCATAATGGAAATTTTAACCGAAAAGCCAAACTGAACTACTGTAGTTTGAAATAATGAACCAAAACCGAACCAAATATGTAAACATTAGGTGGTCCACTCTCCTTATTGGTACACTTGACAATTTATTTTTAAAATATATGATTTATTTCCAATTAGATCATAAATACAACACATCTTTAATTATATACATAAATTTATATATTTTAATACTAATTTCTTTCATTTCAGTGTCATTTAAAGACACTATAAACTATAATTGTAACTCATATAATTTAGTTATATTATAAATGTAACTTTTATCTCTTCTTAGCCTGAGGCGGTTCTATAGATGAAAATGCTACAAATTAAAAAGAAAAAAAAAACGGTTAAAAGTGATGGGTTTTTGAAAAAAAATAATAACAAAATCATGATATGAAGGATCAAACTTCTCACCAGAAAACAAAAGTGAATGCTTTTACCACCTAACTAAGAAGAGTTTCAACAAAAACGGTAATGCTGGAAAAGGTGAATTTGCTACTCCTACCACTCTCAGATACCATGTGGCTTCTGCGCACATTGGTAATGTTGGAAAATGCGATAAGTCGAGAGAAAAACGAGCCAAACATCATGGTTCTATGCAGGGGCGGATTTAGAACTCTATTTAGTATGGGGCATTGTTATAACTAAAAATTAAATTATAGGGCCTTTAAATAAATTTTGCACTAGTTATTCAAGAAAAATAAAAATTTAGGGTGGGGCACATGCCACACCTAATCCCTTCTTGCATCCGCCACTGGTTCTATGGTTCTGTTTTTGAGATAAAGGAAACATCAACTAAAAAAATACTATATCTATATCACGCCAGAGTTTTTGAATGTTTACGATGCGGGAAGCGCTGTGATAGCCGCTCTAAGAGAAAGGTCTTCCACCCTAAACTAAGGAATTCCAATACCATGTCTCGCCCATGTATGAGAGGAATTGATGTTCCATTTAGAGGCACTCCTAAAAGTGCCGTGGATTTAGAGAAATGTTTCACTCTTTTATGGGCAAGTTATGACTTGGAACTTAAAGAAAGTAGACCAATGCCTTGGAGAGAGGCATAATATGCTGGTAAAATGGAGGAAGATTCTAAAAGAGATGAAGTTTTTGAGGATTTGAGGTTATTTTTCAAGGTTGTAATACTTGTTCATTCTAGTACTTATATAATAAAATAAATTTCTCTAAATGTATGTTATCACAAACTAACATGTGACATCCAAGAATTTGACACCTTTCCTATTTTTCTCTTCTTAGTCTCATACTGAGTATGATTTTATTGCATAATTTAGAAACAACTAATAAATAACATCATGATGTATTATTGTGTTTGGATTTAGACTTTATTAATATCTATGATTGAATGTTATCAAATTTCAAATCTCCAAGGTTAATAAAACATAAAAGAATAATTTTTAATCATTGATCTATTAACCTCTATGGTTATTTCCACAATCCTCAATTATGGAACTAACTAATGAACAAAGAAATACAATTTGGTTTAACTATTATGATCACACACACACACACACATACATATATATATATATATATATATATATATATATATATATATATTGGAAAGTTGTACATCCCATGTACATAGTAGTTCTCTAAATTGGATGTAATGTGTTGTTTTGAAAGAAAAAACGATTTATTATTTATTTATGATTTAGATTTTCTTACATTATACAAATAAATTTGTTATATATTATAGCTCTCTGCATACAGTTATTTGTAATCATTCCACAAAATACAAGGTCAGTTTCTTATCTATAGTACCACCAAATTGTATAGGATAATGTCATAATCGAATGATTTACCCATGGCGGCTCAAAGACAAAATAGGCCATTTACCATATAGTAAAATGGGCCAGTTAGTTATAAAATATTTTTTTCTTATCAACTAGTTATACAAATTGTAGAAGAAAAATAAAAAGAATAAATAAAATTATTTTATTTTCAACTCAAAATAGAACAAAGAGAAGAAAAAATTATTTTATTTTCAACTTAAAATAAAGAGAACAGATAAAATTATTCTATTTTCAACTCAAAATATAGGGAAGATATAATATTATGTACTAATGGAGTGATATCTCACATGTGTATCTTCTTCCTTCTAAACTCTAATTTTATAATTCTCCTCTATTTTTAGCCGTTTCTATTTTATTTTATTGGAAAAATTTGGTCCCTTAAATATAAAGACAACATTTTGAAATTCTTTTTAGCATGTTCTTTTACACCTCTTGTACACCCTCAGAACTGCATTCACCAAAACGATATTAACTCTATTGAACAAGTATTTCATTCAGATTTTAGACATTTGACCCATCCAAGCATCGACGATAAACGAATCAAATGTGATTACAAGCATTAATGGAGGTTTTTTTCTTGTTGTATGTTTTAAACTTTCAAAGAAAAATCGAGAAGGACTCGAAGAAACACAAGCTAAGAACACAGAGACCCGAACTCCATTTCTTAGCTATTGGTGCTAATTATTTATCTATCAACTTCTCTATTTATAAACTGTTTGGTTTTATTTTAATTTACTGAACCAAATCGAACTAAAAAAATAAAACATAGTCAAGTTTTTTTCTTAATTTTAGTTATATCTATATATTTAAAATAATAGAATCATTTTATGTAAATATTCTAAACAAAATTATTATTTATTATACTCAAGTTAAAATTTTTAACTAAAACAGAAGTGAATCAAAAGCGAAAACCAAACTGAACCAAGCCAAAATTTTATCAAACCAAATGCAAAAGTAAACCGTATTTTGTTACTATTTTAGTTTTTATAAAACCAATAAAATTAGAAAACCATAACCAAACCGTAAACTTGATTGCCCCTCTATATAAGGAATATTCGAGTTAAGTCAATCGTATATAATGTCAAATGCTAATAAGATATCAGATATGATACTTTGAGAAGAAAACCCTCTTATATTGTAGTTATATCAAATATAAAATCTAGATTTAATTCTTATTTAAAAAGGACCATTTCCAAATCATTATTTTAGTTTGGTTTTTAGTTAGTTTTTGTTATCACTTATCACAGACATCAGAATTAAAATTCATAAAAGATGTGTAGATGGTCTGGTCGAATACAGTTTTTTTAATCACGTTTGCTTGCACCGAGAGGTAAATACAAGTAGTCATCGATAAGCAAAGCACAGATTCACACTTTTTTTATTCATATAAGTTCAAGGTCATTGTAGGCTTAACACATTCATTTCAAAACATTTTGTCAACTGTTTCCATTTACTTTAGCCGATGTGCCACCTTCTTCGCTTGGCGCTTCGACGTGTACGGTGAGCGTTTTCTCTTTCACATGTCGGTCAAATTAATAAATAGAAGAGTTTTATGCAAAAAAAACCCTCTAACTCGTCTATTTTTTCAATTTTACCATCTACTTTTAAAAAATACTAATTAATCATATGAAAGAAAAATAATATGCAATATAAATCTTTTTGTTACCATCAAATTTGTAAAATTTAGATAAATAATATATCAAATCGAAGCTCTTATGACGAGAAATTCAATTTTACTTTAGAATTTTAAAATTTTAATGTATGCAACTGTAAAAACGTTTACAACAAACATATAAAAATTATATTGTTTAATGTATATTATCGTATAATTAATCTGTATTTTTTAGAGATGAAAGATAAAACTGCAAAAATTGGTAGTTAGGAGATGTTTTTCACAAAACCTTAAAATAAAAGAATTTGACCGACATGTAATTTTATAATTTTATTTAACTATATAATATCAAATCAAATGGTATGTTCTAAAATAAATAAATATCTCAACCGTCTCTTATATACCCAGTAAACTCGTCGACCAGTCATCACCACCACAACCTCCGGCGAAAATGGACGTGCGTGAATCAATCTCTATGCAAAACCAAGTCTCAATGAATCTCGCCAAACATGTAATCACCACCGTCTCCAAAAACTCCAACGTCGTCTTCTCTCCGGCGTCAATCAACGTCATCCTCAGTATAATCGCCGCTGGATCCACCGGCGCTACAAAGGATCAGATCCTCTCGTTCCTCAAATTCTCTTCCACTGATCAGCTTAATTCATTTTCCTCCGATATCGTCTCCGCTGTTCTCGCTGACGGTAGTGCTAACGGTGGTCCTAAGCTCTCGGTGGCTAATGGTGTATGGATCGATAAGTCTCTTTCCTTTAACTTATCTTTCAAGAAACTTCTGGAAGATTCGTATAAAGCTGCTTCGAATCAAGCTGATTTTCAATCGAAGGTGATTTTTGATTTGAATTTGATTACTATGTTCTGATTCTGTGTTTCTAGGGTTTTAAAACATTGAGAGACTTAGTTCTTTAGGTACATAGGAACTTTGTGTGGATTGTAATAGAATCAATCTAAGGCCAAAATGTGGAATTGTTGTTTCTGAATTTTATACTTGAGGATCTGTATATGAGCATTGTTTCTTATGTATCTTTGGTTTGTGTGAAAATTAGGTGGCTTGTGATTTGATTCTCCAGAATCTTGCTCTTGAATTTGATTTCTTGATTGGAAATTGTTTATTAGATTCTGATTCTGCTTCCTAGGGTTTTAGAACATCTTGCGATAAACACGAACTTTGTGTAGAATTTAGTATAGACACAATGAAAGGCCAAAAATGTGGATTTTTGGTTACTTAATGTTACCCTGAGGTTCTGTATGTATTGTATTATTTCTTAATTCTTATGCATCTTTGGTTTGTGTGAAATCTGAGGAGCTTGTGATTTGATTTACTGATAGGGTTTATGTTGACGACTACTCCGTTCTGATTCTGTTTGCAGGGTTTTAAAACATCGAGGCATATAGTTCTTCTGATAATTAGGAACTTTGTGTGGACTGTATTAGACACAATTAAAGGCCAAAATGTGGATTTTTTTTGTTTTTGAATTTCACTGAGGATCTGAATATATGACCATTGCTTCTTATGCATCTTTAGTTTATGTGAAAATTGAGGTGTCTAGTGATTTTTTATATTGATGGGGTTTATGTTGATGATAATGTTGTTTCTTAGGTTTACCGTGTTATGATCATTTATTCTTATGCATCTTGATTTGTGTGAAACTTAGAGTGGTTGTGGTTTGATGTAGTGGTAGGGTTTATGTTGATGATTTTGTTTTGAAAGCTGTGGTAGTGATGATTAAAAGGCTTGTGTGATTGATAATTTTGTTTTGAAGTCTTGTAATTGATTTTACTGATTGATAAGGTTTGTGTTGATGATTTTTGTTATGAAGGCTGTGGAAGTGACTGCTGAAGTGAATTCATGGGCTGAAAAGGAGACAAATGGCCTCATCACTGAGGTTCTTCCAGAAGGAGCAGCTGATAGTATGACCAAACTGATATTTGCAAATGCATTGTACTTCAAAGGAACATGGAACGAGAAATTTGATGAGTCGTTAACGAAAGAAGGCGACTTTCACCTTCTTGACGGTAACAAAGTGACTGCACCATTCATGACCAGCAAGAAGAAACAATACGTAAGCGCTTACGATGGGTTCAAAGTATTAGGACTTCCTTACTTACAAGGACAGGATAAGCGACAATTCTCCATGTACTTTTATCTTCCCGATGCAAACAACGGATTGTCTGATCTACTGGACAAAATAGTCTCTACTCCTGGGTTCTTAGACAGCCACATTCCACGCAGACAAGTTAAAGTCGGCGAATTCAAGATTCCAAAGTTTAAATTCTCTTTCGGGTTCGACGCTTCAAATGTTTTAAAAGGATTAGGACTAACTTCGCCGTTCAGCGGTGAAGACGGTCTAACTGAGATGGTTGAATCTCCAGAAATGGGGAAGAATCTATGCGTATCAAACATTTTCCATAAAGCGTGTATCGAAGTGAACGAAGAAGGAACAGAAGCTGCAGCTGCATCGGCTGGAGTTATAAAACTAAGAGGTTTGGTTATGGAAGAAGATGAGATAGATTTTGTTGCAGACCATCCGTTTCTATTGGTGATCACAGAGAACATAACAGGAGTGGTTCTGTTCATTGGCCAAGTTGTTGATCCGTTGCATTAAAACTAATGTGGAAGCTTTTTGTTCTACTTCAAAATAAATGTGAGTCATTGGTTTTGAGGACTCATCTTTTTGTTACATCCTTTGTGTTGTTGACTTTGATGTGTGTAATAATAATACATAACAACCTTCGTTTGTATATGTTTTTATGTATCCTAACTTCTTTTTTTAACTAAAAAATTTTCTAATTGCAATTTCTAAAACACAATAAAGTCATTCATAGCTTAAAATAAAAAAAGAAGGTATTTTAGAATACCTTGATTTGGTCACATGTATGAATAAACATTCAGTGATATATATCTTTCGTCGTTTCACTGCATGCAATTCGATCCGTGGTCAAGAACTTCTCACTACACATGAAATGTTCGACCACTGGACCATGTGAAAAGCTGCACTCATTCATATCTCGTTAAAATATAAATGCGAAATTGTAAATTACTAGAATTTAACCCGCGGTGTATATTTTAAAAAAAAAATTATTGCTTAAAATTTATAAAAAATTTTATATATAAAACCGATTGGTCGTGTATGATTTTTAATAAAATGTAGCTTTTATAGTTAAAGTAGTATTATTTGGATTTATATGGCTATATATTTATAGTTTAAAATTTTTACTTGACCCATCAAAATTACGGAATTTTAACCGACAGTACACCGTATGACAAACTTTTAGTTATTGTATTTTAGATAATAATTATCAGTTTATTTGGTTTTTAAATTTTCAATTATTTATAATTTGTCTAACTAATTTATCATTTTGTTTTGGACCCGTGGTACGAAACACATGTTTTTTTCTTATGTTTTATACTTATAGTTAATAAATTAAAATGTGTTTATTTTATAATATTAAATTTGTTATTGGATAAAATATAAAATTCTAAATTTATTCTGTTTTGTAGAATAATATAGAGATATATGGTTGGTTAGTGTATTATTCTTTTATTGTCGGTAAAAAAAAAATCAGACCTTCTAGCAATTCTTCAAATTATGATTTATATCATCCAAAAACTTTCGAATCAAATCTTTAACAGAATCAGTTCATCTCGTTAAAATTTAAAATCTATATAATTAATGCGAATTAGGTATTTATGAACTAAACCGTGTAGAATTTGTTGAGGGATTTAAGGCAAAGTTGTTGATGACAATATCTTGTATTTCAATTTTCTAATCAAAATAATTAATGCCAATGGCATTCATCCGTAAATACTTCTCAACCCCAGGATTTATTTGCTAAAAGTGTTCCAAAAATGTATATATAGATATGATATATACAAACAGTGATCATTGTAAATTTTAAATTTGGGAAACCCTTATGGAATAATAGATTTTTTACCAATCAGATTTGTTTTAGACAACATAATAATACGACCAATGAGATTTATCTTACACTCATTTAGTCTTTACAAACTTGTTGACAGCAAATTTAAAATGATATATTCATAGCTTAAAAAGTCAAAAATAAATGAAAAAGGTATTTTGAAATACCTTCATTGGTGTCACATATATATATATATATACATACACACACACATATGTGAAGAGTGTTCAACATCATGCATGCTATTCGATCCCTGGTTGGCAAACACTATACCATGAATGAACCAACCACCAAACTAGATGAATAGCTGCAAACATAGACAGTCCATCAAAAATATATACCTTAAATTATAAATTATTACAAACGTCAATCTTGTAAAGTATTTCATTTGGAAGATACTTGTCGAAATATGGATCCTTTTTTACTAATCAGATTTGATAATGGATTTTACACTCTTTTAATACAATTGACAGATTAGTCACTTATTGACATCAGATTTAAAATCAAAAGAATCCATTAAATCCATCAACATTAGAATTATTTACCAATTTTATTTTTGTTAACAAATAAATTTCAAATAAAACAATTGGAAAAAGGTATTTTAGAATACCTCAATTGGTGTCATATATTTCCCTCGAGTATTAATTTATAGAGGTTTTACTGTATATAGACTCACACACACGATTGTGTTAGATACTCGTCTTTTGGGTGCATGCTATTCGAACCCGTGGTGGACAAACACTGACCCATGAATTACCACCAAACTAGGTGAATAGCTGCACTAAAGGTAGACCAAACAGTTATATATACAATTGAGTAAATTATATAATATATATGAATTTGAGATTTTGTGGCTACCAAAAAAAGGTATACAAAAACATCTAACCAATTATTTATTTTGCAATAGTCACAATTGAGACATGTGACTTATATGTAATGTTCACAAAACCTTTTCTATATATAAACGGTTTTGAAGATGGTTTACGTTACTCTCTCATCCTCTGGAGTCTGGATGATAAACATGAAGTGATGCAACAGACTTGTAATGTCCCAAGAATATCTAGTCCTAAAGCCACTCAGAAAGACGGCCGCGACGTGTTTTTTCCTCATCGTAGCAGCGGTTTCTCTGGTCGAACAATTCAAGTCGTCTAGTAATCCAATCAGGTATATCCGAGTCAAGCCAGAGAGCTTCACCTGTATCTTTATGCTTAAAGTCAGGTTGCGTTGGGTTTTTCTTATCTCTCCTGTTGTCCCACCAATCATATGGATTCGAAAAGAAGACTTGCCACAAGTATATCTTATCATTCTTCGATTCTTCTATACCATCTTCTAAGGAAACATCAAAAACACAAAAGTTCATGTTAGCGGGAAATTTTTCAACTTGTAAAATGTACGCAACATTCAAAACTAATGAACGAAACTTTTTATAAACCCGAATACCGATAACCAGAAGATATAAAACCTGTCTCAGTATGGATTCAGCTTGGTACAAGGTTCTTTTAATCAATGTGGATTCATATTCACTACCAATAGAGACGATGATGAGTAGAAGAGATAATAAATAACCTGCTTCTGCTACTGGTTTTTCGGAATTCTGAGAATCTAAGACGTGATTTGGTGGAGCCGCCACATAATTCACTTCTGTCACTCTAACCTGCAATAATTAACCAGCCTGGTCAATCTCAGCTACAACACAGAAGAAATATTATTAACATTACAGATACATGAAGTTAATAACATATATGTAAACGGATCTTGACTACACAAGTAGTATACACCAGACATCTGGAGACGCTGGTGGAAACAGGACTTTGAGATTTGCTAGTTTAAAGCTTTGAGATAAAGTTTAGTAGTCAAGAAAAAACACAAACCTGGTAATCCAAATCTAAGCCGCTATTTTCATCGCGAAGGCTCTTGCTGTGAGAAACCAGTCGGCCTGAGACAAGTATGTGATCATTTGGCTTCAGATACGAGATACACGTCCGTGCCATTGTGCCCCACATACTAAGAGATATCCTGTCATTAGAATTACAACACATTAACAAAGACTAATTCAAAAAGAAACCGCGAAAATCGCCACACGAATCTGTGATAAATATTCAATGCTAACTGATATCAGAATTGAACTCTTCTCAATCCTCAAATGCTTCTACAGATAGGAATCAAACATCATTAAGACTAACTAATCCAAGACTCAGTTTTTAATCCCAAATTCAAAAACCCTAATCGTTAATTAGACAAATCGAAAGCAACAAAACGAAAATCGAACAAACCTGACCTAAAGCTCCGGTTTGGAATGAGAGGGTCTTTAACTCTAAGCATAGTGAAAACACCGAAACTATCAGGTCCGGTGTCCATGACTCGTATGGGTCGATCAACGAAACCCATAAGGCTCACGGAGTTCACAAGATTGAATTTTAACTTGGTAGATAATGGTTTCTTGAACAAACGCGCATGGTGATAAACGGCACTTTCTCCATCGGAGAAGAAGCGAGATTTAGGGAAAGAAGAAGGGATTTGAGAAGCAGTGTGGTGGATTAAGCTACCGACTTTGAAGAACGTGTTCATCTACTGGGAAAATTTGAGAATTTTAGGGTTTAGCTTTGCGGCCATTTTTGTTTCCAAGTCGCCGATTGATCCTTCGGAAACAGAGGAGGTTCTCTGGTTTCTTGTTATTGGGTTTTGGGCTGTGTATTTGATTATAGGCCCATTATGGTTTCGGCCCATTCTGGTTTGGCCCATTGAATTTGGATCTGATAATATGCAATTCTTTGTCATTTCTAACGCTGATTTTGATTGTGAATATCCCAAAACGTTACATAATCGTCTTAACATAAGATTTTTGTTAGTTAAATTTATGTGACGTCATCTACTCAAAGATATTTCAAATTTTACAGTGAATCTCTCAAGAACCGTTACCTAATTGTCTTACCATAAGATTTTATTTGATAGTCAAACTTATGTCACATTATCTAGTCAAGGATATTTAAAATTTTAAAATTAATCTCCCAAAACGTTATATAATCGTCTTACCATAAGCTTCTATTTGATAGTCAAAACTTATTTAGTCAAATATATTTCAAATTTCACAATCAATCTCTGAAAATATTACATAATTTTCTTGCCATTAGAATCCAATTATAGGTCAAACTTCTCTAGTCAAAAATATTAATAACTTGCATTTATAAGATTTTGAGGGTTTATTATATAAGAGTAAGGATTATTGTTGAAATTTCGAATCTAACTGAGAGCCTCTATCTCTCTCCAAGCTAAACTTTTCAGAGCATTGGCAAACTCATCGCCGAGTGTTGTGATTACAACTCCTTCAAGTAAACGAAAATGTTTGGTGTGAGTAGATGTAGACTTAAAGAATCCAAAAAATGTTGTGATGTTTAAGGAAGTATTAGTTACATGGTAAGGCGCGAAATGATAAAAAAAATTTGAGATCGATCTTATCTAAGATATAATCGATACAGTCCATGTAATGAACGTACCTTAAATAAGACCTTAAGTTTTCTCATTTCACTAGACCAGGCAACTAAAATTTCCTTCAACATCTCGACTTCTTTTGGATTTTTCAAGTCTACACACTGACATCATTGCAAACCGTCTTATTAACATAGTCAATGGATCCGATAAACATGAATTTTCACGGCCAATAATTTATTCTCGAATTAAAATCTCCACATTCGATGAACTCCTTGAATCACGCCATTAAGGTTCCAATGCCTCTTTTTTGTCTAAGATAGATAGGATATGTTTTCTCTACTCTTAAATAATTGAAATATTTCCTACTTCCATGATTTTGTTTCTTTGAGTTTTCAGAACTATTAAGTTTTATTTATTTGTTTCACTGATTTTTTTCGTTGAGTTTGTAAGAAGTATTTAGCATAGTTCATTGCATAGAAAAATGGTTGATACTAACATTTCTCGAAAACTAGTTTTATTCTCGGATAACTCACGATATTAAAAAAAAAAAAAACTCACGATATTGGACGGCTATGATGAAAGAGGAAAAAAATTGAAAATCGATAGACTAACTTTTTCAAGGAATGTTTCTATTCATGAATTCGAATTGATGAAAGTCCACATTCAATCTTACATAAACGTTCTATAGTTGTCTAACTATATCAATTTATTTCGAAATCAAAATTTTGCAAACATTATCTAGTCAAAAATATTCTGAATTTCACGTTGAATCTCCTAAAATGTACCATAATCGTCTTTTTAAAAGAATCCATCTACAGGTCAAGTTTCTCAATGATATCTAGTTAAAAGGTTTTAATAACTTGCAGTCTAATTTTATTATTTATAAGACTATTAGGGTTGATTCTGAAGATGGGTAACCGTTAGGATTTTAAATGTTTTCTTTTGAACTTGAGATGGTGGTAGACTCTCTCCACGGTAAACAAAGGCTCCAAAATATTTTTGTATGTAAATTAAAGTTGATAGATCATTGAAATAAGCCTAAAATAAAATAGCAATTTATTATGGATCTTCTATTTACAAGATGGAACTGCGGATCATCTATAATTTAAAGGATCGAGACGTCTAACCTCTCTGCATAGAACTTCGTAGTTTGATTTCAGAACCAGTTTAGGGCATGTGTTCAAGGTGCAAAAGCACATAGTTTTTTTTTTTTAATCTTAAATTTTCATTAGATAAAAATGACTTTTAATTTTTTAACATTTTATAGAAAAGGATCTATATTTTTGAATTTCTATCTAAGATTTGATTATTTTTTAGATTTGGACACAAAGTCTACTATAATTTTGAGACGGGCATGTTTGATTTGGATGATGGACCTTTCCACATAATTGATCATTTGGAAAAGTCGTCAGCTTTTGTATCAGAATTTAGAGTCATGATTATCTCTTTTGAGGAATTAAAATTAGTGTACAAGTCTCGTATGTATGGGCAATTGGTAAACCAATTTCTTGTTCTTGGTTTGGTAGCGAAAATATTTTTTAAATTTTTTACAACACTTTTGTTATCTAGTGAGTAGTGACTAAGTGAAGAAATGCATTAATGTTCAACAATGACCGTTTGTTGACAAAAACAAAACAAAAATTTAATCAAGTGCAAACAAAATTATCATTGTTATAAGTCCGGACCTACAATATTTCTCTCACAATTAATCGATTTCCAAAAAATCTGATATCCAATCGCTCTAATCGCATACCTCGCAAAAAGAGAGATTTCAGATCTAGCACTCAACCTCCGGCGTTGACCATCCATCACGACTTTCTCCGAGACCAAGACATCTTTAGATTTAGTCAGGTGAACAAAAACCGTAGTAGTTAGGATGGACAATGGCTTAAACCAAATCCTCAACAACCAGATTCCGAGATTAGCCTCGACATGCAGCAAAACCACTAATTTGATACTGTCTTCCGTCGCAAGTCATAGGAGCCATCACGAGCAGTTGAGCCGTGAGAAACTTCCACCATGATACTTTCGCCATCCTCGGCCAAAAGGTAAACCGTCGGAAAGCTTCTCTAGACCTCCGTGATGTTTACCACATAAGCAACACTATGCATATATTCTACGCCAATCACCGTCAAAGAAGAAAACCAACTCACCACTGCTTCACCAAACAAGTCCACACTTGCAATGCAATGAAAATCTAAAAGCAACACAAGAAACGGAAAATATATCTTTCTTTTAGGAGAGAAAAGAAGAACGATTGTCCTTCTAAAAATCGAATTGAAAAATATTATTTACCAAAATAAAAAAATTGCATAACAGAATTTATCATGATTCTTTTAAATAGGATAGGCTCCAATCAAAATGTTTTATTCAAAAACTTCATAACTCAAAATATCCTAAAAAACAATGGTTCTAGACCGGTTATCCAATCAACTATTTGAACCAACATCGAGATTTTAAAATATCCAAATGGTATCTCCATGCTTATTACCAAAATCTCAATATCCGAAATACTCGATCCAAACGCGAATCGAGTACACCCATATGCCCAGATCTATAGGGAGTGATACTGATACAAAACTGATTTAAAGCGTTTTGTAGCGAAACAAATTTTAAACCATCCAAAAGCCTTTTTGGTAGACGATAAAATACAAACAAAAACAAAACATGCAACCAAAAAAAAAAGAAGAGACAAAGACACAACGGGAGAGAGAAAAGAGCGAACAAATTCCTTCTTTTTCCCTTTCTCTCTCTCTCTCTCTCCCACTCTCTCATCTTCTTCTTATGATTTTCAACTTATTACAAACAAAAAAAAAAAATCATCCAAGTTTCAGTCTCAGGTGGTTCACAGTTATTGCTACGCGTAATGATGAACCTAACTCAATTTCGTAAGTTACATTCCCACAAACTCTTCTCTGCTGAAAATTGAATTTGGTGTATTCAATTCTTACATTATCTTATTTAAGTGAAGACTCCTCTCTGAATTACACAAATTTAGGGTTTTTTTTCTTTGTCGGAATTGTCGGTTAGGTTTTGTCGGAGAAATTGGAAAAAACAAGATCTTTGAACAAGGGTTTGGTTATTTCGTAGTGTTTATTGCTTTCCTTAAGCTAATTTTGGCAGATCTGGAACATAAACCCTAGAACAAGACCAAATCAATGTCTCCTAACTCTTAGGGGTTTTAGTCTCTGTAGTACCTTAAATGTGTTTATAAATTGACTGTGTTAAATGGGTCACAATTGGTTTTGCAATAAAAGTTCACAATTCTTCCAATTTCAGTAATGTAAGCTCCACTTTTCAAGATTTACCACTTTGGGAAACTAATTAGGTTTGTTGATTTATTAGATCTTAGAAACACTATTCATCTTAATGTGGAATTATTTTGCTTTTGGTCAGACTCAATTAGTTGGAATGAGTTGTTGAACCATTGACTTGTCTCCTAAGCTCTTACTTAATCTATCTGTATCATCTTCTTCTGTCTATTTCTCATTATTTAATACATAACTCAACTACATTGGTCTTCATGATTGCATCTGACATGGTAGCAACTCTTTGTGAACAAGACTTGATTTTATAACACTAAAACCTGACCACACTTTTTTCTTTTGATCTCTGTATATTTTGGGAAGTAACTTTTGTTTGATTTGGTTTAACAATGATCACAAAACAGATATTCAAATGACTCAGTCTTGTTTATATTAAGATGAAAAAATTAAGACCAATCTTTGCTTATTTTAAGATTCATGCTTTATTATATGTATGGTTTTGTATATAACTGATTGAAGCCGGCCAATAGAGATTGGTGCTGACTTTTTAAATGAGCTGTTGTTGTATTTCAGCCAACTAGCATAAGATAAAATAAAATATGAAAAAATTTCATTTCAGTCTCTTAAGTTCTATGAAAACATAATGTGGCACAGAAGTCTTTGCTTTTGCACCTTTCAGAATCTTTTATTGATTGATGATGTTTACGTACAGGATAACCTCTACTGAGGCATCCAAATGTTGAACGGAAAAGAAGAGCCTAAGCAGAAGAAAGGTAAGATTTTTGATTTGAAATTTGTGTGATTAATGTGATAATAAGAGATCGAAATGTGTTTTCTACTTTTCTTATGTGATTTGGTTCTTCATGGCGAGTCTAAGATTTCTGAATGGGCAGGTTGGTCAGAGTCACTGCTAGAATTTCGGTCAGGGTTTGGGGAAAAGATGAAAGTTGTATCGAAGAAACGTTGGAAATCTCTTGGACCTCTTCATCTGAAAAGCAAATCAGTCGCACGGTTTTGCTTCTTTTCGAAATTGAAGTCAAACAACCATGGTCCAGGCCGCGCACCAGTCTATCTCAATGTTTATGACTTGACTCCTATTAACGGATATATCTATTGGGCAGGCCTTGGTATATTTCACTCTGGTGTAGAAGGTAAAAGTTAGGCGCTTGTGTTTTCTTGTAGATATGGTCTTAAGTATTCGAAAGATTTGCAACTGTGGTGTACTAGTTACTGCTATACCTAACTCTGAACATTTGGTTTTGAATGAACAGTTCATGGAGTAGAATATGCTTTTGGTGCCCATGATTATGCAACGAGTGGTGTTTTTGAGGTGGAACCACGGCAGTGCCCGGGTTTCAAGTTCAAGAAATCGATATTCATTGGAACCACAAATTTAAACCCAACACAAGTGAGAGAGTTTATGGAAGACATGGCTTGCAGTTACTATGGGAATATGTATCACTTGATTGTAAAGAACTGCAACCATTTCTGCCAGGACGTTTGCTACAAACTTACCGGGAAAAAGATCCCAAAATGGGTGAATCGGCTTGCAGAAATAGGTAACAGATGTTTGCTGCATTTGAGAATTGTTGAAGAAGTCTTGTTTAAACACTAATTTACTTTTTTTCTGCAGGTTCTGTGTGCAGCTGCATACTTCCCGAGTCCCTCAAGATAACAGCGGTTTGCCATGATCCAGACGGGCAAATTCAAGAGGAAGAAAACGAAAAGAGAAGTCTTAGAAGCTCATTCAGCTGTTTATCCTCCATCTCCATGAGACAAAGACAGCTTTCGACATCATCATTGTTCCTACAATCACCTCTCAGAGGCTGCTTACCTCCATGGCAACTGAAACGCTCAAAATCTAACAGCGGTTCCTTGAAAGAAAGGTAGACGTATTCCAACCTAAACAATCGTCGTTTCTCATTCGTTTTCTTAGCACCACCACGCCCCCACGATTTATCTTTCTTCTATCTTTGTAAGAGGAGTTCGAAAACAGATTTCCCGGGCCATCATCAGTTTCTCTGTTTTCTTATTTCATTTTAACAGGCTTTCATAAGCCATTCTTCTTCTTCTCTCTGTTTGTATTGCTTCCACATTTGGATCTTTTCTCATTTAAAATCTTGTATTGCATCAACTCTGTTTATATCTAAATTAGCTCTCTTAGTTCAAACCCCATTGTTCATTGAAATTGGTCGAAAAAACGAAACCTTTATTCGATAAGCAATACTATAATCGATCGAAAACGAATTACGAACATCACATCATCATCAACAAGAGATCCAGTTCTTATGAGTACTAACAATAGCCGAAAACAAACCTGCAGAAGAAATCACATTCGGAGCCGATAACACTCCCTTACCATCACGAATATCCGCAACAGTCATCAATCCATCAGCCAAATCCTGCAAAACCGATAAAACCTTCAATGTCTTCTTCTCCTTAATCATCTTCATCTTCTCATCATCTCCATCACAAGCTAATCCTCTCGAAACCGAGATCTCAATCGTCGAAGCAACACACTTCTCTTCATCATTCAATTTCCTCAAATCCCTAATCTTCAACGAAACACTTCCAACATAACCAACCAATTCAGCCCAAGCACTGATCTTTTGAAGCCATTTCGAATGTTTCGCATCGATCAATCCTGATTTCGTTAACCATATGAATTGTTCAACGAAATAGTATAATCCTTCACCACCGTACGCGATTAGGAGTAATACGAGCTCATGATTCGAATCCCATCGTGATGATCTTAAAGCGTTGATGTCTTGTACGAATTTTCCGAGACGGAAGGCTTTGCGACTGACTCCGACGCTTGATTCGAAGCTTTTGAGACGGGGGATTATGGATCTGGATTCTGGGATTAGAGATGATGCGAGGATGATTTTGGTTGCGTAACGAGAGATTTTCAGGAGTTTGTCTACACCATCTCTTTTGGCGAGGTATGTTTCGAGATGGTTTAGGAAATCTCTGTCTTTGGGTTTGGTGGTTTTCTCTGGAGCTTTTGCAGCCATTGGAGGAGATGGAGCTTTTCCAATTTTTGTTCTTCAAGGCACAAGAAGAAGAAGAAGAAGAATTAAAGATAACCGGAATCAAGTTTGATTATTGGTTTGCGTGCCAGCACCGAATTGTCCGGTTTAATTAATATGGCCGTGGAGGTAACCATTACCATGGTTACGGTTACGATTGATTAACCTACGGTTAAATTTTTTTTAACTGTAACTTTAACTACTATCTACACAGTTAAAACGATTACGGTTAAATACGATTACGGCTACGGTTATTTGATGATTATAATACGGTAATGTCGGAGGCGAGATCTTACGAGTTACCAAACATTTTATACTACTTTTAATAAGATGAATAAGTATGTTATAAACCAAATTTTCTTCATTTCGAGTAATATTAGCATTACAACATATTTGTTTGAGAAAATAATCATTTTTTCTAACATAGATTTTTTTAATATGCGCTATCATTTATTTTTTTGAAATTTTTTATCTGAACATTCGATATTTGTTTTTGCATTATACGTAGTTACAGTTATAGTTTAAAAGTTTTAACTATGCGGTTAATAGTGCGGGTAACCGTATGGTTAAGTAACGATTTTGATACATTTACGGTTAATTCACAGTTACGGTTAGTATATATTTTAACCGTAACCAATTAATTTTTACGGTTAACAGATACGGTTTTTAACCGTTTTATATAATTACGGTTGAAAAATGCTCCAGTTACGGTCCAAAATACGGTTACGGTTAGCTTTTGGTCATGCCTACATGGAGGCGTAGACAATGTATCAAAGGTTTTTTTTTTTTTTTTTCTTCTTTTAAAGGTTGCAAAATAGAAGAAGCAAAAACATAGTGTGACAGTGTCAAAATGGGTCGAGAACGATCCATGAAACCCCTAGTGGTTATAATATACTAAAATTTAACCATACACTTATCATTTTTCATCTAATATATGTTAAAACTAAAAAGAAAACAACATTTCCGTGTAGAAGAGACTTACCATTATTTGTTTTATTTCTCTGAAATTTCGAATACTAAAAATTGTTGATTCGAATAGAATAAAAGATATATTACATGTTTCGTAGTATATACATATTTTGGATAATAATATAATAAATTTTGTAAGTAAAACAACAATGCATTTTTCTTAATAATCATTTCATCCTTCAGTGCAAGTAAATTACCTATTTTTTATTTATTACAATACAAAATTATCAACGTGTATAGAAATATTGTGTTTAATCAATTTATACTGAAATTTGAATATGTAAAGAGATGAGAATATAGTTTGAATAATTAGAAACAGTTATAAAAGTTGTTTCTTCGTCATCAAGAATTAAATTTTCTATGTTACTCTTGGTTGCATGTATATATTTCATATGAGATATTAGTTTCTTAATTGGTTATATACTTATTCAAAATCAAATTAATACTTTATTATACTATTAGAATGAATTGAAAATTGGTTCTTCGGATTTTAATTCTTCGAATCTATTTTTGCGAATTTAGACCACTTATTTTGGAGAATACCTTCGGATTTTAATTCTTCGGTCTTTCCATGGATTATCTGGTATATTTGGAAAGCAAGGAATGAAAAAATCTTTGAAAATATTGATAAAGATCCGTTAGAGGTATTACAGTTAGCGGAAAAGGAAGCACAATTGTGGCAGTCAGCCCAAACCGAGCTTCATCATGAAAATAATGGCACTGTGGAATTGGAAACTCGTTCTCGAGTGGGGGATGCTTCACTTGATTCGAATTATTCTGGATGTCGTTGCTTTGTGGATGGATCGTGGAAAGAAAGTGATAAGTTCTCCGGTACAGGTTGGTTCTGTACATCATCAAACGGAGAGCCGCCAACCATGGGAGCTGCCAACCTCCGTAGAAGTCTATCTCCATTACATACAGAATTCGAGGCTCTTCTCTGGGCGATGAAGTGTATGATTGGTGCAGATAATCAAGAGGTAGCGTTCTTTACAGACTGTTCTGACCTGGTGAAGATGGTGTCTTCTCCAACCGAATGGCCGGCGTTTTCAGTGTACTTGGAGGAATTCCAGAGCGACAAGGAAGAATTCTCATCCTTCTCTTTATCTTTAATTTCTCGTAATGCTAATGTAAAAGCGGATAATCTGGCACGAAAAATTCGTACAGAACCGATTCATATCACATATGTAAACAACATTCCTCAGGAATGGCTCTTTTGAGTTCTATTTAATTTCGGATGACAAAAAAAAAAAAAAAAAAAAAAAAAAAAATTGAAAATTGGTTTGATCGGTTAAAAATTTGAAAAGTAATCACATAGTAAAGCCTTTTAAGCAGAAATTGAGTTAGTTTTTCTTCTTCTTTAAAGATCGAATCTCCTACGAGTTTAGAAAATAATTTCCAAAATCAAAAGCCCAATAAACAGAAAACGAGCATGGGATTCTTAGTTGGTTCTATATATCACTCGTGGTTGCTCAAGGCGGTCCATGTAATCTCCTATATTTTGTATATGGGTCTGGATAATAGGTAAAGTGGCTGTGGCAGCAAAGTTAGCGACTGCGTCATTGGTGTTGTCTCTCATGTCTCATTCTAATACAAGTAGTCACAACTCAAGTACAAAATACTTAACAAGAATTGTCAAAATAATTAAAATAGAAACAACTTAATCAAAGAACAAGACGAATTTTATTTGGTTTTAGGTTTATGAATGAAATATGAATAGAAACAACACAACTAACGCAACGATTCCCATTTTAGGTTTTTCTTGATGCAAAATAGTTCAACTCTAATCATAACTAACAAATGGATGAACATATTAACACAAACAACTTCTTTTTAGATTTTTCTAATTTGATGCAATTAAGCAATGTGGATATTTGTTGTAGTGAAACTAAACAAGAATGAATTAAGCAACTATGGATTAAACAGATACATCTTCTTAATTACTTTGTGTATTATTTATTTATTTCTGGTACTAACCACCAGGACAACATAAAATACACAAGAACATTTAAGTATGATAAATAATAGAGGAATACAATCTGGGATGTATGAGCATTTAAGTTACAATACCATATAATATAAGACTCAGTCTTACCGAATGCAATGCCGTGCCTAATGGGTAAGAAAAAAGGCTTTGGCCATGGCACTATCCGACTGATGGGGGTGATTCAACGAATTGCCCTCCGCTCTCTTTCATTGAATCAAGTATGGAAATATCATTCATATAGCACATGCATTCAAGTTCAAGAGGAATCCGCTCAACAACACTTGTGCAAAGTGGATCTTTTCTCGCAAACGGCTTGAGAATAAAGTTCGATTTTATTGATCTATGTAAGAAAAAGGTCAATACATTGGCTGCATAGGGACCTTATTATTATATCTTCCTTTGACCTACGAGGGTCGACTCAAAAACAAAGGAAACTATCCTAGGTGCAAACAAAACGAGGCTGTTTATATAATATGACAAGGTTACAAAGAAAAGAAAAAATAGCAAAAATTGTAAACTAATGAGACCCCTAAGAGATGTAACTTAAATGGAGGGTGCTGAGTTGTTACAACTACCTGCAAAACACTAAATGCTCTGGTTAAGTTCCCTTTTGCCATTGATATTTTCTCCATCGCTTGGTCAAGTATGGCAGTGATCAAAGGTCAAATAAACCCCAATTCGTACACTACCATGACCAAATGATATATCGATGTAACACTTAGAGATCGAACCCATAAATACCAAAAGTTACACTATGAATTTGTTAGAATCGAGTAAATCTAAGACAATGAAAGAGATTTTACTTGTTTTCCCTAAATCAAGCAGAAAATAAAACGATGGAAACCAATAAAATAAAAAAAAAGGGCGCAGAGAAATCTCAAAGATTCATGAAAGCATAAATGAGATGATTAAACAAGGATCATATTAAGTGTTATTTTTGAACTCAAATCATTAAGATAAAGCTGATCCACTCTCGCGTCGTTAATTATCTAAGCAATAATCCCTAAAAAATAATAACTCTCGTTTGATTTTAAGAATTCAAGCAAGCAGTCAAGTTTGATTTGTTCACAAAGTGCCCTAACTTCAATTCTCGATGGCTAATTACACTTTCCTCACCTATGATCTTTTAAACAGTAATTGATCAAGAATATTTTCGGTGCACAGATGAATTAAACCTAAGATCATAATCTAGATGATCAGTCTAGATTAGGCAGTGACAACAGTCATAGATGAAGAACCAATAGATAAAATTTCAAATATAGCAACCTAACATCAACAAATCATGAAACTAAAAAGTTTGTTTGTTTGGTTTTCCGAATTGTAAAATAAATATGCAAGTAATTTAAATGATTTAACTATCAAGATTTAAAGACATTGGGCCATAGGGTAGTTCAGAGATCAATAAACAATGGAAACTTGAGACAAGGAATTCAACAATTAAGTACCATTCTTGAACATGAACACATCTAGACTAATTCTCTATCAAGATATTAATCACTAAATTTGACTACTCGATTACTAAACTTTCGCATGTAATTTCCTAGTCAAATTCGCATTACCAATCAAGTTCATTAAGTTCACAATGCGTACTAACGTCAACTTTTATTGGCTAAGTATACATTGCTCAATTCACATTGGTTCAGATATTCTATCGGACACTTTTGATGCATAGAAAAACCTAGAATCTACAATAGGGAGATCAATCATATTCTAGCATTAAGAACATGTGAATCAAAGAACCTAAAGAATAAAAACTCCTAATAACAATCAATCCATTAATCCATTGAATCTCCTAATTAGAATCCTAAAACCCAATTAGAGAACTACTCACACATAGCAACAGAAACAAGACAAATAGATTGAAAGGAAAACGTAGTTGAATTGATAAATAAAGATAAAGGTTTAGAAATCTTCTCCAAATTGTCAAGAAGGAATGAATCTCTAATCCAAAGTGGAGTAGCTTACAAAAGAGCTCTCAGAAAATTGCAGAAGAAAACGTAAAAACGAAATTAGGTTTTTTGGGGTTTTTTCACCCAAGTACAGAAAAAGGCAGATAAATCCGGTTAAAGAAAACTGGCTCGGGTCGTCATGAGGGTGGATCGATCGATCCCGAGTGGCTGGATCAAAACTTCTCGACGGATGAAGGCTGGATCGATCGATCCCCTCCTGGGATCGATCAATCCCCAGCTCCTGGTGATCCCTATTCCTTTTCTCGATCGGTTTTAGCTTCGAATAGGCCCAATTACGCATGGAATGCTCCAAATCCCGCTCGAGCACCTATGACCTGCAAAAGACTCAAGACAAGACCAAAAAGACGCAAAAGACGGACTACGACACGGCAAATGACTCAAAACGCGGATTAAATAAAGACTCGAAACCGTAAAAAAACGAAACACATCAACAACAGTCATAGATGAAGAACCAATAGATAAAATTTCAAATCTAGCAACCTAACATCAACAAATCGAAATCCCCTTGGAAACCTAATACCCAATAAAGTAACTACTCAAACATATGAGGAAAATAAGAAATCATAATTAAAATAAATAAGAGCTATGGTTTAGAAATTTTCTCCAAATTATCAATTAGGTTCAAATCCTCACCCAAAAAATCTCAATAGGTAAAAGACTGTATATAACTGAATAGAATGCCTCTTGCCTAAAAGTAGACCACTAAGGTTTTCTAATAAATGAAATAGGTCTTGGTCGGTTTAGGATCGTTTTAGAAACTATAAAATCTCGTCAGACGGTGGACCAATCGGTCCCAAGTATATATGGATCTACCGGTCTCTGATTATATGGATTAGTTTCTGCATCAGCTTCATCTGCTAGGCAGCTTGACATGTCTTAAGTAGATTAGCCATAACGTCTTATTTCACTATTAGATAAAATCATAGAACCAAGCACAATAGTCGTAAGCAAATATATGAAGAACTTAAGCCCATTTCCCATCCACAAAATTCTATACAAAGTGTCATATTTTCTCTTTAATCGAATTTAGGGTTTAGGATTGATGTATTTTCTTTGGGTTAATAGATAAACAATAGTATATTCTCGGTTTATTTAGAAAATTGTATGCTCTTAAGATTTCATTTTAAAAAAGTATAAAGAATTACTTTTAAATTAGAAAAATTTACATAGTGATTTTCACCGGTTGTTCTCTTTTCATTTATTTTGAAAAGAATTATTGATATGTCTTGGCTGGTGCGCATGCTTGACGCGTGTGAGTTGTTATTTAAAAGTAAAATTTCTATATATAGAATGAAATCTAGAGGTACAAAATCTATTCTATAATAATACAAAATTTGTATTTTTCCTAAATATTATCTATTGTAAGATAAGCATTACAAAATTTATACTTTCTCTTGACTGAGAATTATGATAAATTTGTGGAGTCAGATTTTCTCAATAAATGTATATATGGTATTAGTTAAAAGATAAATATATTTAAAAGGTAAATTCATATATTTAATAGAAAAGGAGGATAAAAAGATAGATTTTTCATAATGCGTTTAGCCTACTTGAACCAATCCATCTATAAAACGGAGTAGAGTAGTAACATTAACAACAACAACAACAACAAAAACATCTCTCTTAATCTAAGAAATGGGTCGTAGAAAAATAGAGATAAAACGTATTGAAGATATCAACGAAAGGAAAGCGACGTTTTTAAGACGCCGAAATGGAATTTTTAAGAAGGCCGATGCACTCGCAAAGCTGTGTAATGTGGAAGTTGCTGTCTTGGTCATATCTCCTACAAATCTACCGTACACATACGGTAATCCATGCTTCAACGATGTGGTTGAGCGTATCCAAACTCCTAGTGCTTCGTCCAAACTCGATAGTCTCATGAAAGAATTGGAACAAATCAAAGAGCTTGAGGAGGTATGTTTCCCATTATTAATATTATATATTCATTAATTTATTTATATATATTGTTTATTATGTTTCTGTCTTTAATTTTTCGTCAATTTTAGGTTTTGCGGAAGAGGCAAGAAAGAAACCGTGAAAAATCCGATATGATGGGGATTGTTGATTTGAACTTGGAGGACTTAGTTGCTTTCAAGGGGAAACTCGAGGCTCATCAAGTAGGTTTAAAGAGGAAACATGTAGAGATGGAGGATTTGTCTTCTCCATCGATGCTCTCAAAGAATACGAAGAAGAAGAAGACAAGGACTGAGTCTTCTTCCGGACAGAGCAGAGAAATGTATGAGCTTCGGCCCAGAATTCCTCGGAACTATTTAGAATAACCGTTAAAAAAAAAAAAATTATTTTTACCAAAAAGTTTGGTTTTTTCTTTCAAAAAGTTTATGGAATAATTTTGGTTGTTGTAGTTGAAGGAAGTTGTGTCCTTCATCTTCAATTCTAGATATTCGAATTTTCATAATGATATGTTTTTTTTATACAAATAATTTACAATATATGTGATCATGTTTAGAATAATTTGGCATAAAATGTCACCTAAGTTTACGGTTGGGTTACATTATCTTAATATGAATTTTAAAATATAATAATATAATTAAGTAAAATACAACTAATATAGATTTTAAGAGAAGATTAAACGCATGTCGAGATGTAGAAAAACTTCACACTATTCTGCATTTTAAGATTTTTTTCCCTTTTGAAGATATATGATATCTATCTATTACAGTGCGTACCGTGTTAAGAAACTTTTTTATATTAAAATACCGCATGTTATCTCATATATAAAAGTTTCAAATATTTGAGCGCATGTGAAATATTTGTATACAGTATTATAATATGTGAAATACGGTATATTCTATAAATCAACCAAAGGCAAACTATGTCCTTGTACTCAGGTCTAACATGAATGAAATAATCCCCTTCTAATTTGGTAGGTTTCTCGATATTCAAAATTATTTATTATCATATTTGTCAGTCCTGGGATAATTACCCGAACCGAAAATTCCGACCCGACCGAACCGATAAAATTGAATTCGGTTCACAATCGGTTACTACACAAAAACCGATCGGAAGGATGTCAAATAATCTTCGGTTTTCTCGTCGGGTCGGGTCGGTTCGGTTCGGTTTTCCGATCGGTTAACCGAAATTTTTAACCTAACTATAAATATCTAATTCTAACCCTAAACGACCTAACTCAGCCTCCAACCTCTCTCAGTCTCTCACCTTTGGTCGTTCTCATCTCTCAATTTTCTCTGTCTTTCTTATGTGTTCATCTTTCGTTCTAGCCTTCTAGGCAAAGGTTAGTTCGATTATTCCTTGTTCTCAGACTCTTGTCCGTGTTCATCCCTAGATCTCAGTTTGGGTAAGGATTTGAGATTCAAGATCTAGGATGTCAAACCGTCGTTCTTCTCCGCCGCTGGAACCGCAAATAGAGCCGCCGCTGCAACCGCTTCAACGAAGGAGAAACCCTAATAAATTCGGTTATTTTCGGGTTTTATACACAAAACCGAAATAACCGGTTTCCGAACCGACCGAACCGAAATCAATTTCGGTTATCTTCGGCAACATTTAAAATTTCACAATTAACCCGAAACCCGAACAAACCGACCCGACCCGACCCGAAAACCCGAACTCGCAGGCCTATTTGTCAGTGAATGATAATATCTTATATTTTAATTAGAATTGAAAGAATAGTATGCTAAGAACTTGATAAAAATAAGTTAATTTATATAATTATGAAAGATAATAACAAGTTTATTTTTTCCCGCTATATTACAATTTAGTTTGATTTCAACTTTTAACTAGTCATATTGTTGGGGGAAATTTGCAACCACGGATAATAAATCATAGGACACATGGACAGAAAACCATGTCAGTATTGATGATTTGAAGGATGACTCCTAGACTCCCAGAAGAAGACTCTCAAATGTCGTTCCTCGAATACTCTGTGGGTCGTATGGAAAATTGCTAATACCAACTCCGTAGAACCACTTCCATTTATTGCAACACTAAAGGATTAGCCGTAGCATGCCACTATCAACTATGCCAACTAATAGCATCATGAAGTCATCAGAAAAGTGGTTCGTTCCACCGTGACGCACGATATTTATTGACGTAACAAAACTTGGGCAAGTTATAACCACGATAAGATCCTACCTAGAAAAAAAGAACCCAAAACACAATCTAGAAAGACCTCCACTTCACAAAAAAAAAAAGAAGGGAGGTCGAGAGATGTGAAAAATCAAGAGAGAAACTTACTCACACTTCGACACTTAAACATAAATTCTGACAAAGGAAAATGACAAGTATTTTTGGAACTAGTCCCATGAAAAGGCTACCTGACGTAATTGATGATGTTGCGTAATCGAGGACACAAACAACTTGTCAAATTCTTAGAAGAAAACCAAAAGACTCAGCCGTAGAGACCGAGTTTCGAACAAGTTGATGAAATATGGATCGGTGGTTATTGATAACCAAAGCTTAGACACGCAAGGAAACCTAAACAATAGATTTCTCAGGTAGCCTTAAGAGTATCTCTGAGGTTAGAACCAGAGGAAAGGACGAAGTTGATCTTGATTGTGTTCTTTTTCTTTTGGAGACTTTCTTCCTCTTCTTCTGTTTTTCTTGCTCCATCGTTTGTAGTCAAAATCCTAATTTGTTCAAGCTGTGTTTCTTTCGACCTTAGCTTAATATTTATATACGTACATCATACGCTCTGTGTTTATTTATTTATCCATTCTTGATTTGAAAATATTTAAATAATAAGAAGATTAGATATATGAGACTACGATCAATCATCAAAGTAAGGAATGAAAGTTATAAGAAAAAAAAATCATAACGTAACTAAATGTCATTCAAAGGAAAAACAAAACAAAACAAAAATCAGCAAATTGTTACAAAGAGATATGAGACTCTCTCAAAGGTGATTCGGGAAAGTATGGAGCACACATCCTTTTCCGACTCCCTTACCGGATTCGTCATCTGCGATTCCTTTAAATTCGAATCTTCTAGAGCTTTCTCTCACCGGATCACAAAATATAATATAAAATGATTTGTGAAATGTGGATGGGGCATAAATAAGCTCACCAGCATGAGTGAAACCTTTTAGGTTAAAATCGCTTTTCAAACTCTTATCATAGTAACTAAAAGGTTCAAGAAACTCTTTACTTGATGACCATTTTTGTATCTTTGCATCCTCCAAAATCCACAATGTGCTCTTCCTCCTTTTTCTTTTTTCAACACAAGCTAATCTCCCCTCATAATTTATCAGCATGTCCCTATAAAATCTATCCGATGGTAAACCTATCATACCAAATTTTTCAAATCTGACATCAAAGGTTATTATAACCCAAACACCCATATTATAAATATCCGCTACATAATATATAACCCCCTTGATGCATCGCCCAACAGTATTGTAGTCCGAACGATGCCTATGGTTGGTTTTGACTGTTCGCCATGATTCTTGAGTCGACCCCAATGTAAACACCCAACGCACATCAGAACTTATTGAATGAGGCATGCACATTACTTTGTGTTTACCTTCAACTGGATCGTACCCTAAAAAGATTGAATACAAGCTCTTTGAGGGTTTGGGTAAGGGTAATAACTCTCTTTTGCTAGGGTTCCAAACTATAGGCGTTCCTGATACTTGAAAGCAGATCAAGCCCTGGACGGATTCCGTAGGTGGGAAGGTACTAAGTCCTTGTGGGAATTTCATTTGATAACGATAAATAGGCTGAGAACAAGAGTAAGACTCGTTGGAATTATGATTATCTTGCGGGATTGAGGAAACAAACAACTTGTCACCTTCTTTGAAGCAGACTAGAAGACTCGGCCGCAGTGTTGAGAACCTAGTTTCGAATGACTTGATGAAATATGAGTCGGTGGTGATTGATGACCAAAGCTTCGACACGCAACGAAATCTCAAAACAGTTCTCGCAGGCAGCCTCAAGAGTATCTCTGTGGTTAGATCCAGAGGAAAGGACGAAGTTGATTTTGATTGCGTTCTTCGTTTTCTGTTGACTTTTCTCTTCTTCTCTTTTGGTTGCTCCATTTTTTGGTCAAAACCCTAATTTGTTAGGATGTGGTGTTTAGAACTTTTCTTGTTATTATATAATTATGTTCTAGGTTTTTTATTTAGTTAATAAATATTTTTGGCAGCACTTACTGTTAATTTTAAAAGAGATTTAAAAGAGATTTGGCATACATCAATACAGTAAAACCCCTTGAAACTCTCCAGAGCTTGACACATCAGATTTTTTAAGCTTTCTAAAGCTGACACCTCAGTTAAAATTAAAGACCAATGAAAACATTCTAAATAATACATATCAGATTTGGTTAACCAATAAAAAATTTTCATCTATGAAAAAAGAGATTCCGAAAAAAACGATGACGGCAGAATTTAACAGGTGACGGTGGAGGAAGACAGCTCGTGAAAGACGAAGAAAGCGCCACCGCATCGTCGGCAGATGACTCACCGACAGGTAAACAAACCAAATCGGAGCGATTTCCTCTCTCACGGTGGGAATTCGCCGTGTTTTTCACCGTCTTCCTCGTCTTCACCACCGGACTTTTGTGTATTTACCTAACCATGCATGTTGCTGAATACAGAATACGGCAAGCTCAAAGTTCTTAGAACTATCTCTGATCTAGGGTTTCAAAAATAATTACGGCGTGAAAATCTCAAAACAATATATTTGTATTATGAATTATGCGTTGTTACACATATATGATATAATACATCTTTACTAATTTATTTATACAATATAACATAAAAAGCAAAGCTTACATAAAATTAAAAATAAATTTAGGAAAGCCAAAACTACTAAAATCTAAGTAAACTAAAACATCAAATTCTGAATGTTTATTTATTTTTTATCAATCATATTTATATTAAATAAAAAATTTAGAAAATATAACTCATGGTAAGATTTATTTAATTTTATCAATTATATTTTTATTAAATAAATAAATTTTAAAAACAACCCGCGGCGTAGCGCGGGTTTGAAGCTAGTCCTAACAGGGGCGGATCTACTTACATTGGGGATGTGGCAGCTGCCCCCACTTAATTTGACATAATTTGTTTTTACTTAAAGGAAAATTACAATTATGATGGACAATTTGGATAATTCTTTTCTTATGCCCCCATTACCCATATTCGATTGCCCCCATTTACTATTTATACATCTTAGTTTATGAAAAATTAAATATACTTCCAAAATTTTAGTGTAGTTAACTACAATCATCATTTATTAAATCCAAATTTCCTTACTGCCATAGTTTTGTAATCGCATTTGCCTCATTACTTTTCTTAAGTTTTAGTTCTTTATTTTTTTCTAGCTATAGAGTATAGACTCTTTATTTTACGTGTGTATTTGGTATTTGCTATCTTTTTGTTTGTTTTTATTTTTAAAATTAATATTTATGTAATAAATTTAACAAACGACTACTTTTTACCATGACAAAATAATTAATATTTTTAAAAAGAAAAAAATAATATCTACAATTTTCTTAACAACAAACAATTATGTTTTAATTTTTCATATTGTTGGAGTATAATGAAAACTTAAGCATACAAATAACAAAAATCTTGTATAAGCTATGCCCCCAGTAAATAAATTTTCTGGATCCGCCACTGAGTCCTAACTAATAGGATAACAATTAGTCAAAACTCAACGCCTTGGTTAATTCATCCACCAATTGCTATGATGTTCGAACATATCTCGTGATGGTGATAAGTGGACTTTTTTTTTTTAAATAGAAATGTGAGTATCATTAAAATGAAGAGGTGAGCTCTTATGAATATCACTAGATGGTGGTCACTTCAAATTCACTTTTTATTATTTTTAATAATATGGTTTAGTGATATTTTTCTTATAGATAATAAATTCAAGAGTGTGACAGGCTCTTGGAAGATAAATAAAAATCTAAACTACCAGCTGGAGTTCATCGGCCAATGTTCAGGGAAAGAAGACTATGTGAAATAAAGTAATTTCTTTGTGAAACAAAAACATATCATGCAAACATTTTGCAGAATGTCTTTTTATACCCAAAGAAATAATGATATCATTTATTTTTAAACATGAATCAACAAAAAAAATTAAATTACATGCCTGAATCGTAAATCTGTTAGCCATTTCTTGACTAACATAATGTTAGTCAACTGTCTAATGATGCTGAGTTAACGCGTGATATGGAGTGTGACAAAGCAAAACGATATAGTTATGGTTGTGTTGGGTACACAACAAACGACGTTGTTTTGAAATTAGACATAAACTCGAACATGAGGATAAAATTTGGAATAAAACATGTCGACAAAACACAACCAAATTTCGAATTTATCCCCAATTTCAAAACTATATTTTTTGGCTTAGTCACCATCACACTTCTAACTTAGCACATGACTAAAACTACATCGTTTTTCTTAGTATCACTCGACGTTATGTTTCTAACTCAGCACCGTTAAAACGGTTGACTAAAACATTTTAGATCAAAGTAGGAAATGGCTAACGGACTTAAGATTTAGATAGATAATTTGAAATTTTTGTAGTTTCAAGTTAAAAATATATATGCTATAATTTTTTGGGTTTAAAAAATATTCTCCAAAATGTTTTGGTTAATTTTGTGTATATTTTCCACGAAACATGTGACATGAAGAGGTTTTATTCTTTATTTCGTTAAGTTCATGTTAGAATCTTCGAGGAGGCTTGAGGAGGTGTGAGGTATATATATTTCTCTTGGTTTGTTAAGTACATAATACAGGAGTAACTAAAAGAAAATGCTAAAAATCGTTTGGCTAACTGGTTGAGGTTGTGTGATTCCCTTGTGCAGTTCATGTTTTATATATACAAACAAAAATGAAAAAATAAAACTAAAAGACAAAGAACCATGGTAGTAATTAGTGAAACGGGATATAATCGAAGTAAGGAATGAGAAATTAATAAACAAAATTCGTAAACTTGCATAAATGATTATTCTAAAACCAAGAAATTGTTACAAAGATATTAGTCTCTCAAGTCTCAACGTGATTCAGGAAAGTATGGAGCGGATACATACATCCATTTGTAACTCCATTATTGAGCCTAGATTCGACGTCTGCGATTATTCCTTTAAGTTTGAATCTTCAAAAGCTGTTTCCCACGGGATCAAAAGTTGTTTATCAACCGACATTTTTCTTAGAGCAATACAAAACTGAGAGTTTGCTTCTTCGGTTCTTCCGCCCTCGACGCGAGACTGAAACGTTTCTCACTACTTGGTTCAGATATATTCAAAACTAATTCATTCTGGTTGTTTCATTTAGTCACTAAATATTGGATGAGGAATCTTCTAATTCGATGTCCACATCAATTTGTTTTATTGTAACACCTCCGGTTTCAGGAAATATGGTGGTGCATGCGGAGAGGTTTAAAAGAATTTATTTGGCCACCTATGTCATCAAAGTTCACTTATCTTTTCGGCCAAACATTCTAAGAGAACTCAACAATTAAGCGTGCTTGAGATGGGAAAATTTTAGGATGGGTAACCTTCCGGGAAGTGATTTTCGAAACTTTATGAGTGAGGACAAAACACATGATAATATCACATGGTGATTTGTAGGGTTGGTAAGCAAGTTTTTAAAACCTCCCAGACGTAACAGACCGACTGTCGGGCAAGAGTAGAGCTACAGGTCGAGAGAGAACGTGGGGCCAATAAGAAAGATGGAGGTCGCGGAGTTACAAACGGTATCAGAGCCAAACTCAGACGAATATGGAGTCAAGAGGGTTCACACCGTCGAGACGATAGTCTTGGTGCGCAACGAGGACGTTATGATCTGTTACTAGGAGTGAATTGTAACACATCAGTTTCAGGAAATATATATTGGTGCATGCAAAGATGTTTAATAGAATTGATTTGGTCACCTATGTCCAAAGTGCACTTATCTTTTCGGTCAAACATCTTGAAAGAACTTTACAATTACACGTTCGTCATGAGCTGGTAAAATTTCAGGATGGGTGACTTTTCGGAAAGTAATTCTCATAACCGTGAAATAAAGACAAAACACAGAAAAATATCATATGGTGATTTATAAGATCGGTAACAAATCTTTAAAATCTTCCGGACATAGCATACATGCCGTCGAGCAAAATTGGGCCCATGTACCTAGAGAGAACGTAGGGCCACTAAAAAAATAGAGGTCGATCTTTTTATTGTTTTTAATTGAATCTAAGGTAATCTAGGCGATTAATTCGAATTTATGGGTATAATAAATGATACCAACGAATCTTGATTATTTGATTCCATAAATTGTTTAGAAGCCATAGAAATACTCATCAACTTAGAACCAAGCACAACAGTCGTGAGCAAAATTATGAAGAACTTAAGCCCATTGCTCATTCACAAAATTCTATACAAAGTGTCATATTTTCTCTTTAATCGAATTTAGGGTTTAGGAATGATGTATTTTCTTTGGGTTAATAGATAAACAATAGTATAGCGGTTCTATACCGTCCGTTATTTAGGAAAACAAAATCTCGGTTTATTTAGAAAATTTTATGCTCTTAAGATTTCATTTAAAAAACTATAAAGAACTACTTTTAACTTAGAAAAAGTTACATATATAGGAACTTTCACCGATTTTTCTATTTTCATTTATTCTGAAAAGAATTATTGATATGTCGTGGCTGGTGCGCATGTTTGACGAGTGTGAGTTTGCATTTAAAAGTAAAATTTGTATATATAGAATGAAATCTAGAGATACAAAATATATTTTATAATAATAAAAAATTGTATTTTTCCTAAATACTATCTAATGTATCAACTATATATTGACTGAGAATTATGATAAATTTGTGGAGTCAGATTTTCTTAATAAAGATATTTATGGTATTAGTTAAATGATAAATATATTTAAAAGGTAAATCTAAATATTTTAATAGAAAAGAGATAACAAAGATAGAATTTTCATAATGCGTTTAACCTACTTAAACCAATCCATCTATAAAACGGAGTAGAGTAGTAACAGGAACATCAACAACAACAAAATATCTCTCTAAAACTAAGAAATGGGTCGTAGAAAAATAGAGATAAAACGTATTGAAAATAGCATCGAAAGGAAAGCGATGTTTTTAAGACTCCGAGATGACATTTTTAAGAAGGCTAATGCACTCGAAAAGCTGTGTCATGTGGAAGTTGCTGTCTTGGTCATCTCCCCCACAAATGTACCGTACACATACGGTAATCCATGCTTCAACGATGTGGTTGAGCATATCCAAAATCCTAGTGCTTCGTCCAAAATCGTTAGTCTCATGAAAGAATTGGAATGTATCAAAGAGCTTGAGGAGGTATGTTTCCCATTATTAATATTATATAATCATTAATTTATTTAATATATTGTTTATTATGTTTCTGTCTTTCATTTTTCAACAATTTTAGGTTTGGACGAAGAGGCAACAAAGAAACCGTGAAAAGTCCAATATGAAGGGGATTGTTGATCTGAAATTGGAGGAAATAGTTGCTTTCAAGAGGAAACTCGAAGCTTTTCAAGTAGGTTTAAAGAGGAAAATTGTAGAGATGGAGGATTTGTCTTCTCCATCGATGGTCTCAAAGAAAACAAAGAAGAGAAGACAAGGACCGAGTTTTATTCCGGACAGAGCAGGGCTTCGGCCCATAATTCCTCAGAACTATTTAGAATAATCGTTAAAAAAGTAAAAAAGATATAATTATTTATATTATATAAGATCGTTTATCGTTTGGGTTTTTCTTTCAAAAAGTCTATGGAATACTTTGGTTGTTGTAATTGAAGGAAGTTGTGTCCTTCATCTTGTTGTCTTTTTATTCGGATTTTCATAATGATATGTTTTTTCTTATAAATAATTTACAATATATGTGATCATGTTTCGAGTAATTTGGCATAAAGTCTCACCTGAGTTTACGGTTGGGTTACATTATCTTAATTATATGAATTTCAATATATTTTAATATAATTAAGTAAAATACAACTAATATACATTTTAAGAGAAGATTAAATGCTTGTGGAGATGTAGAAAAACTTTACACTATTTTTCATTTAATATGTGAAATATTAGTTTCGAAATAGCGCATGTGAAATATTTATAAATTATAATATGTGAAATACGGTATATTCTATAATTCAACCAAAGGCAAACTATGTCCTTGTACTCAGGTCAAACATGAATGAAATAATCCCCTTCTAATTGGTAGGTTCATCTATATTCAAAATTATTTATTATGATATTTGTCATTGAATGATAATATCTTTTAGTTTAATTAGAATTGAAAATAAATAGTATGCTAGGAGCCTAGGAACATAGATTAAAATAAGTTAATTGATATAATTGTGAAAGACAATATCAAGTTTATTTTTTCCTGCTCTATTACAGTTTAGTTTGATTTCAACTTTTAACTAGTACATGGGGCTATTGATTACATGTACGTAATCATATTGTTGGGGGAAATTTGCAACCACCTATAATAAATTACAGAAAGCCTTGTCATCATTGATGATTTGAAAGATGACTCCTAGACTCCCCCAAGAAGACTCTCAAATGTCATTCCTCGAATGCTCTGTAGGTCATACGGAAAATTGCTAATACCAACTCCGTAGAACCACTGCCATATAGAAGCACTAAGAGCACCCTTATCCATGAGCTCTTAGATGAATCTTAGCCAAATCTTAAGCTAAGATTTGTGAAGAAAGAGCTCTTATATAAGAGCTTTTAGGTTTATATTTAAGTTTTTTCTTCACAAATCTTACCTTAAGATTTGGCTAAGAGCCCATGGATAATGGTGGTCTAAAGGATTAGCCGTAGCATGCCACTATCAACTATGCCTACTAATAGCGTCATCAGAAAAGTGGTTCGTTCCACCGTGCGCACGATAGTTAATGACGTAACGAAACTTGGGAAAGTTATAACCACGATTTGATCATACCTAGAAAAAAAGAACCCAAAAGACAATCTAGAAAGACCTCCACTTCACAAAAAAAAAGAAGGGAGATCGAGAGATGTGAAAAATCAAGAGAGAAACTTACTCACATTTTGACACTTAGGTTAAACCTAAATTCTGACAAAGGATAATGATGAGTATTTTCGGAACTAGTCCCATGACAAGGCTACCTCACGAACATGTGTCATGATCTTTTACCAAGTCACAAAGATCATGTTGTGTAACGCCCTGAACGCCACCTATCTTAGTAGATCTTACGTCTTCTCTCGGCCCGTGAGTCCACCCCTTATCCGACGGCCGATACGCTACGTCCATGAGGCTTTGAGGATTTGTTTACCAACCTTACAAATCACAACATAATCTTTCTCCGTGTTTTGTCCTAACTCACACGGTTCCGACAATCAGAAAGATTCCTCTATTAGCTATTTTTGTACATCATATATTTAGTCTTCATTTTGATTAGTTTGTTAGCTTATTTAGTCTTCTCTATTCTCAGTCTTCAAAACTCTGTCACCAAATATGAGATTGGACCTTAAACTGCTTTTAGCAAAGATTTTGAAGTATACTACTACTTTTTACTGGGGGTGTGTCATGTGTGTTGGACTTAATATTTTAGAAGAATATAGGATATTCTTTAAATCACATGTTATATATTAAACTGATGATTTTTAAAAATGTCCTCAAATCCTATGTTATTGAACTTGAACATGACATTAACCAGTAAAATTTACTCAAATTTTCAAAAACTACATATGAATTATATCATACAATCCCAAAACATATAAAATATTTTAGGATGGTTAGAATCTAAGCAACCAATTGTAATCCATCGGCCAAAGTCCAGAGGGAAAGAAGAGTATGTGAAACCTCGTTGTGAAACAGAGCAACCAAAAGGTACACACGAAGAATGTGACATGAAGAGGTTTTATCCTCTCTCGTTTTTTTTTTTTTCCCTTTTTCTTAATTAGCTACTTTTGTCTGTCTTAACTTTACTAAAGAACGTTCCTTAACAATGTGTAAATTCATGTAAGAATCTCCTATCTAGGGAGGCGCTAGGTAATATGTATTTCTGTCTTTATCTTTAACTTTCAAATAACAAAGAACTGGTACAATCAAAGACAGGAATGAGAAATTATAATAAAAAAGATCATTAACTTGCAAAAAAAAAGTGTCATACTAAGGAAGAAAAAAAAACCAAGAAATTGGTTACAAAGACATTTGACTCTCAACGTGATTCGGGAAAGCATGGAGCCTGCGATAAAAGAAATTATTGAGCACAGATTTCTCCTCTATGTCTCCTTTAAGTTCGAATCTTCTAAAACTATTTCTCACCGGATCATAAAATAAAATATATGACGATTTACGAACCACATCTGGTACATAAATAAACTCACCAGCATGAGTGATACCTTTTACTTTCAAATATGTATTCGAAATCTCATCTTTGCGAAAAATAGGTGCACGAAAGCCTTTACTCGACCACTTGTGTTTCTCTGCATCTTCCAAAATGCACAATGTCATTTTACCATCCGTCTCGGTACTTTTTCTAACACAAGCTAACCTCCCCTCATAAGCTATGAGGGGATCCCTATGAAAATCAGATGGTAACTGAATCATACCAAACTTTTCAGATCTGACATCAAAGCTCATTACAACCCAAACATCTGTACCATAAACATAGGCTATATAATATACAACCCCCTTGATGCACCCACCCGAAGTATGGTAGTCAGAACAATGTGTAGGTTTAGTTTTGACAGTTCTCCATGAATCTTGAGCTGATCCCAATGTTAAAACCCGACACACATCAGAAATTCTTCTAAAAGGCAAGCACATTACTTTGTGTTTACCTTCGATGGGATCATATCCTAAGAAAACTGTTAGCCGCTCCAAGCTGTTTCTAGGTTTAGGTAAAGTTAAGAACTGCCTCTTGCTAGGGTTACAAACTATTGGCGTTGCTGATTCTTGAAAGCAGATCAAGCCATGGACATATTCCGTAGGGGGGAAGTTATTATGTAATGGGAATTTCAAATGATAACGATCAATAGGCTGAGAAGAAGAGTAAGATTTGTTCGAATCCTAAAGTGAATGATGATGTTGCGGAATCGAGGAAACAAATAACTTTTCATTTTCAGTGAAGCAAAGCAAAAGACTCGGCCTTGGGTACCGAGTTTCGAACAATTTGATGAAATATGGATCTGTTGTGGTTGATAACCAATGCTTCGACACGCAACGAAACCTCGCAACAGATTTCTCAGGTAGCCTTAAGAGTATCTCTGAGATTAGATCTAGAGGAAAGTACGAAGTTGCTTTTGGAGATTGTGTTTTTTTTCTTTTGGAGAATTTTCTCTTCTCTTTTTGAGGCTCCATTTTTGCTAACCCTAATGTGTTCAGGTTTCGTTGATTTCAACATGGTTTCTATTTTAATATTTAAATAATACGAAGATAGTTTCAATTTTAATAGAAGAAGATACGGTGGAGATTTCATGGGATTATAACAACCTTATCGTATTTTTCACTTGATTAGTTTTTTTTACTTATATTTTTAATTTTAGATAATTCCTAAAAGAAAAAAAGAAAAAAAAAAAAAGAGAATTGTCAGCCGGCTAGTTTCAGTTTACTAGTTACCTTTACTAGTTTCAGTTTCAAAAAATAATAACCGGTTTTAATTTCTCTGTATCTTTCACTTTTAAATCAGTAAAACAATATTTTCGAAAATTGTCTTTGTTGGCAAAGAGTTTCCTCTGCATTAAACGGGTTTGTAAAGTTAGAATAAGAGCTTGAGAACTTGTTTTATTATTGATCCCATACACAATAAACGATAGAAGGGTTTAGAACCCTCTAAAACCGAAGTAGTAGTGGCGAACGTAGGAAAAGACTAGTGTAAAATTTTCTTATTTAACTAGTCTAAAATTTATTGAAATGCCCTCTAATTTAATTGTTAGTTATAACAATGCTTAGTAAGTACTCTCTCTCTCTCTCTCTCTCTCTCTCTCTCTCTCTCTCAAATTGGTGCATCTCCTTCAGTATGAAAATCGGTTTTAATGTGTTTGTCCTACCGGATTTATTATCAAATCCACTTCTACAATAATATGGAGAGCATATTTTCGTTGTGTAGCAAAAAAACTCCTTTGTCCTCGAACAACCTCTATCCTGAGAAAATATTTCACCTTCACAAAATATTTTATGTGAAAACACACTTAATTGTCACTTTTACGAAAATTGGAATGATACATAGAAGATTAGTATAGCCCCTGCCTACACAAGTATATGACACACTTAAATCGAGAAATGGTCTCAAGTTTTTTCTTTATCAAAAGGAAAACATTGATCACTTAAATACGTTTTGAATTCACCACTATTCCCACATCATGCAACTAATGATCAAGCCTTCAACCATGACATAAATGTGTACCTGTAAGGTCAGTGCCTCAGTCTTCTGCATTCTAAACGTACCGCCCTAATTTCTAGGAGAAAATTGTAAAGCCTGATAAATAAGAAACTTTTTGCATCTTTGATTTTATTTGCTCAACACAGCAGATCCTGGAAGACCAATATTGCAAGCAGAAAAGAAAACAAAACAGAGTAGGTAATATTTTTTTCTCCGAGTTTTAGGGTTTTATACTTTATGGTGAGACTATGATCATCTTCCCTGAAATGGTGTTAATCCTTCTTCTTCTCTTCAAGACGCCTCTTCGTAAACTCCATAATCTAATGACCTTCCATCGCATCAAGAGCGGCTGTGGTCCCGTCGTTGTAAAACCAATGGCGCCAACATCACATAAGTCTTGGGTCTAACTTAATAGAGAGTTTACAACACAGAAAAAAAGTTGATGAAAGGACATAAATCTTCAATAGTTTATGACGTAGCAGGAGATATTTTGTTCTTGAACACGAGCAAATTAAAGAACCCAAAAGAGTTTGGGTATGGCATGAGAAATTTTGATGGTTTTTGTGTCATGTTGATCTCTTGAACACATGCAGTCTTGATACTCATGTTGTGCATCTCCGAGACTAGTTTAATAAATGCATGATTTTCGGCTAGATCATGAAAATGTAGCTGCAGTCTGATGAAGTTGTTGAATGAGTCAAGAAGTAATACAAGATTTTGTCTGATGGAGTTTCTGAATGATTCAAGAAGTATGTCAAGATGCGACTGTTTTTGTGTGAGTGTCGGTTTCTAGAAGGTTTGAGAAGATGTGTTTGGAGCGTGTTTAGAGGATGAATCACAAAGGAAAAAAAAACTTAAAGAGATCTGGAAGACTTGATGAAAGTGGAGTTTGAAGAGAAAAAGGAAAAGTATAAAAGGAAATTTACTTTTTCTTATTGAAATTGGAAATCTTCTCCTATGGTGATTAGGAAATCGTTTTGGCTATATAAGGAGGAGCTGAGGACGTCTTTGAGAAGCAAGAGAGCTGAGGCATAAAGAAGAAATCTTTGAGAGCTTTCGGTGAGGTTGTGTGCAACTTAGTTTTGCGGTTTGTGCTTGTGTGATCAAGTGGTTTTGTTTTGAAGTCTAGGCTCAAGGGGAGTTTAGCTCAGGGTTAGGTTATCCTGATTAAATCTAGACTCAAGGGGAGTTTAGTTAAGGGTAGAGATTATCCTTAAGGTTTCACGTCATAGAAGGGAGCGGGAAATCAAGAGGGTTGGGCTTGTTTTACGCGTTTGCGAATTGGTTGTAATTTGCTTTCTTGTTCTAGTGAAATCGAATCTGGACTTGGTCCCGGGGAGTAGGAAAAACCGAACCTCGTTAACAAATTTCTTGTCTCGTTTACTTTCTACAATTTATCGTACCTCATCCGCACTTACAGATCATTCCCTTTTCCGTGCATGAATTTCTGATGATTTTCGAAGCCTTGGTCCTTTGGTGCTTAGATGGCCATGTCATTTGTCGTAGATTGCAAAGTGATGTTGCCGAGAAGGTCTTCTCGAATATATCCTCCAACATCTGTTGTCGAGTTGATTGATTTAAAAAATTTCATTGATCTTTTCGGCTGAAAAACAGCTCAGTATGGGAAGTTGGTGCTCGGTTAAAATTTCATGGAAAAATAGGGTCTCCAGATCTGCATTGAACTTAATTATTTCAGGGTTTACTGGTGCGTGATTGAATCACCGGTCCATCCAACACCTCTAGTGCATCGGGTGAGGAATCTTCTAGTTGGATGTGGGTCCATCCAACACATCCGGTGCATTGGATGAGGAATTTTCTAATTCGATGTCCACATGAGACCACATCAATTTGTTTTAGCTATTGTAACATCTCTGGTTTCAGGAAATATGGTGGTGCATGCAGAGAGGTTTAAAAGAGTTTATAAGGGAACTCCACAGTTAAGCGTGCTTGAGCTGGGAAAATTTTAGGATGGGTAACTTTCCGGGAAGTGATTGTCGGAACTGTATGAGTGAGGACAAAACACAGGATAATATCACATGGTGATTTGTAGAGTTGGAACACAAGTCTTTAAAACCTCCCGGACGTAGCGGACCGACTGTCGGGCAAGAGTGGGCCCACGGGCCGAGAGAGGACATGGGGCCACTAAGAAAGATGGAGGTCGGGGAGTTACAAACAGTATCAGAGCCAAACCCAGACAAATGTGGAGTCAAGAGGGTTCACACCGTCGGGATGATAGTCTTGGTGCGCAACGAGGACGTTATAATTTGTTAGTAGGGGTGAATTGTAACACATCAGTTTCAGAGAATATGGTGGTGAATGCAGAAATTTTTAATAGAATTGATTTGGTCACCTATGTCCAAAGTGAACTTATCTTTTCGGTCAAACATCTTGAGAGAACTCCACAGTTAAGCGTGCGTAAGCTATTAAAATTTCAGGATTGGTGATTTTCCGGAAAGTGATTATCGTAACCGTGAAAATAAAGACAAAACACAGAGAAATATCATATGGTGATTTATAGGATCGGTAACAAGTCTTTAAAACCTTCTGAGTGTAGCAAACATACCGTCGGGCAAGAGTAGGCCCACGTACCTAGAGAGAACGTGGGGCCACTAAAAAAATGGCGGTCGATCTTTTTATTGTATTTAATTAATTCTAAGGTAATCTAGGAAATTAATACGAATTTATGCATATAATAAATGATACCAACGAATCTTGATTATTTTGATTACATAAATTGTTTAGAAGCCATAGAAATACTCATCAACTTAGAACCAAACACAACAGTCGTAAGCAAAATTATGAAGAACTTAAACCCATTGCTCATCCACAAAATTCTATACAAAGTGTCATATTTTCTCTTTAATCGAATTTAGGGTTTAGGATTGATGTATTTTCTTCGGATTAATAGATAAACAATAGTATAGCGGTTCTATACCGTCCATTAGTTAGGAAAAAAATTTCGGTTTTTAGAAAATTTTATGCTCTTAAGATTTCATTTAAAAAAGTATGAAGAACTACTTTTAACTTAGAAACAGTTACATAGGGATTTTCACCGGTTTTTCTATTTTCATTTATTTTGAAAATAATTATTGATATGTCTTGGCTGGTGCGCATGTTTGACGCGTGTGAGTTTGCATTTAAAAGTAAAATTTGTATATATAGAATGAAATCTAGAGGTACAAAATATATTCTACAAAATTTGTATTTTTCCTAAATACTATCTAATGTATCAACTCTTGTCTGAGAATTATGATAAATTTGTGGAGTCAGATTTTCTTCATAAAGATATTTATGGTATTAGTTAAAAGATAAATATATTTAAAAGGTAAATCCAAATATTTTAATAGAAAAGAGATAACAAAGATAGAATTTTCATGATGCGTTTAACCTACTTGAACCAATCCATCTATAAAACGGAGTAGAGTAGTAACAGGAACATCAACAACAACATAATATCTCTCTAAAACTAAGAAATGGGTCGTAGAAAAATAGAGATTAAACGTATTGAAAATAGCATCGAAAGGAAAGCGACGTTTTTAAGACTCCGAGATGACATTTTTAAGAAGGCCGATGCACTCGAAAAGCTGTGTCATGTGGAAGTTAATGTCTTGGTCATCTCCCCCACAAATGTACCGTACACATACGGTAATCCATGCTTCAACGATGTGGTTGAGCATATCCAAAATCCTAGTGCTTCGTCCAAACTCGATAGTCTCATGAAAGAATTGGAACATATCAAAGAGCTTGAGGAGGTATGTCCTATTATTAATATTATATAATCGTTAATTTATTTTATATATTGTTTATTATGTTTCTGTCTTTAATAATTTGTCAATTTTAGGTTTTGACGAAGAGGCAACAAAGAAACCGTGAAAAGTCCAATATGAAGAGGATTGTTGATCTGAAATTGGAGGACTTAGTTGCTTTCAAGAGGAAACTTGAGGCTTTTCAAGCGGGTTTAAAGAGGAAGCATGTAGAGATGGAATATTTCTCTTCTCCATCGATGCTCTCAAAGAATACGAAGAAGAAGAAGATAAGGACCGAGTTTCTTCCGGACAGAGCAGGGTAATGTATGAGTTTCGGCCCCAGAATTTTTCAGAACTATTTAGAATAATCGTTAAAAAAAATAAAAAAATCATATAATTATTTATATCATATAAGATCGATTATTGTTTGGCTTTTTCTTTCAAGAAGTTTATGGATTATTTTGGTTGTTGTAATTGAAGGAAGTTGTGTCCTTCATCTTGTTATCTTTTTATTCGAATTTTCATAATGATATGTTTTTTGTTATAAATAATTTACAATATATGTGATCATGTTTAGACTTTAGAGTAATTTAGCATAAAGTGTCACCTGAGTTTACGGTTGGGTTACATTATCTTAATATGAATTTCAATATATTTTAATATAGTTAAGTAAAATACAACTAATATAGATTTTAAGAGAGAATTACACGCGTGTCGAGATGTAGAAAAACTTCACACTATTCTTCATTTTAAGTTTTTTTTCCTTTTGAAGATATATGATATATGTATATTATAGTGCGTGCCGTGTTAAGAAACTTTTTTATATTAAAATATCGCATGTTATTGATATGGATCAAATTAGACCCCAAGCTACTTTCTCAAATAAGAGATTACTATAGTATTTAAGGGTCGAATTCCACAAAACTCTTTTGTTCGCGCAATAAGCTAACATTCTCGAAATTAAGCTAAATAATTATGATAAAATTAAAAGACAGAAAAACAATTAAATTAGGTGTAAATTCATATGGACTAAAACGTTAGACTTAGGGAATTTCTCAGGATATAGACAAATAGTAGATCTAGCAATTAATTAGGATGATTAGCGAACCGTTCTAGAACTCAAATCACTAAGCTATAATCAACCAACTCTCGTTTTTACTGACTAACTAAGCCTAATAGCAGGAAGTTCCAACTCTCGTCTGTAAACTCCTAAAACTAGACAAGCATTAAAATTAGGTTTGATATGTTCACACAAATATCTAGACCAACTCTCGTCTGAATCTAGTTATTTCTGCCCACCTAAGATATATCAGGTAATAAGTGCCCTCTCATGTCTAACCTATTATCCTAAGATCATGTTCTAGTTAGCTACTCTAGAACTAGTATTAAGAACAATCAAAAGTGAAGAACTCTATAGATTAATCCTAACAGGTTATCGATCTATTAATTCATCTAAATCCTTAATGAGAAGCCTAAACCTAACAGAGAAATTACTCAGACATGATCATGGAAATAGAAAGCATGTTTGAATAAGATTGCATAAAGAAATCAAAAGTAGAATAGAGTTTAGAAAAGATCTTATCTCTACAGAGTTTTGAAATCTCTGAAAATAGCTATCTCCAATTATCTTCCAAAGGGTTCAAGCTCAGAGAATTACAAAGCAGAAAACAAGATGCAAGATAGGTCCAAACAATGACCCTAAAAACTATTTATAATGTCTCAAAAACATGCAGTGACTAAAATTGTAAATAGAAAAGTCTTCTGGGCAATTCTAGAATCTTCAAAACTTGTTAAATCTCGAGACTTCTTGTTGGGCTGCGAACGGTGTCGACCAACAAAAATAAAAAAACTGCGGAAGCCCCATTAGAATTAGTATCAATGATGGTTTTTATTCATAAAAACACACAAAAATAAAATAAAAATATTGATTGATGATGTTTTTTTGAATTGGATGTTTAAAATGATTGTGTGGATACCTTAAGAGTATAGAAAACTATCATATTATATAAATAGATTTCATGAAATAAATCCTTAATATTTTTTTTTTAAACTAACATTTGGACAAAACTAATTGTAGTTTTAAGGAAAAGTTATTGAACCATTCAATATATATAGTTATTGTACCATTCAATATATATAGTTGATGAGGAGTATATGATTTTCATTTACAGCTAAAAACATCCATTAATTGAGTTACATCCATCTTTTTTTTTTCCTGATCTTCATTTATTGAAATTTAAACTTGGAATAACTATAAAAGAATTAAGAAATAAATTCTATTAACTGTAAACTTTTATTGATAAAGATATTCGTCATGCATCCAACTTTTAAGAGTAAGATTTTTGTCATGCATCCAACTTTTAATACAAATATTTTCTCCATAACATTCATTCGTTCTATAAATACACAATGTCCCCCCTTACATTCCTTACGTTTTCGAATTATCATCTCTAGTGCAACATAAAAGTTTTCAAAAGAACAAAATAAAAGACTCTTCGGAAACAAGAACTTATTCATATTAAAGCATGGCTTCTAGTATGTTTTTTTCTTTGTTGTGATTGTTCATGTTTCTTCCATACTTTTCAAAGTTGTTGGACTATTTTCTCTCATATATTTATTACGTGGAACTGATTAATGAATTTGCCTATGTTAAACTTTTTACAGCTAGTAGAAATGTAAGGGGTATTAAATTTGAAGACGTTCTATCTTTTGGACCCATAGGAACTCATAAGGCCACTATAGTCTGGCTACATGATATCGGCGATACAAGCGCTAAGTAATATTAATACTCTCACATTTTTTATTTAATTATTTTTATTGTTATTTATTCAAAGATCAAAGAGATATATTCCATAAAAATGTTTTGGAATAAATTCATTTAAGTTATATTTTTAAACTTAAAAAAGAAAAGTTAAATTTTGGCAATTTCTACAAGTACTAATTTTTTTAAAAAAATCTTTTTTTTTTGTGTTGATCTTTTATTTGTATATAAATGGTTTGCACCACAAAGAATAATAAATATCATCTATTGTGTCTTTCTATTGAATTTCTATTTTCTTATGAGATATTAACTCATTTCACTAAAAATGTATATACCTTGAATCTTGTTCTTCTTTGTATTCGAAGTGTTTCTCACTATATATGTCTATTATGTCTGCAGTTCAACTCGATTTGCGAGACAGATGGGTCTTAAAAACGTATGGATCGATTAACAAGAACCTTTTGTCACAATTCTTATTTCCTAATAGAAATATGGTTAAAGTTTCTAATAATAAGTGTATATACGATTTTGTGTAGATTAAGTGGATTTGCCCAACTGCTCCTTCACGCCCCATTACTATCTTAGGTGGAATGGAAACCAATGCATGTAAGATCAGTTGATTGCAAATTTCATTAAAAACATCATTTAATGTTTCTAATATATTATTGTATCTACACTCTTCTTTGATGAATCAGGGTTCGATATCGCAGAAATTTCTGAAAACATGCAAGATGATGTGGAGTCATTAAATCGTGCTGCTTTATCTATTGCTAACCTTTTATCTGAAGAGCCCCCAAACAGTAACTTATAATTTTCTACACTCTAAATTAATATACATACTTTAGACCTTATAATATATATGAAATTTATAAATCTCTGGTCTGAATAGTCATGATAGGAATAGGAGGTACCGGCTTGGGTGCAGCGCAAGCTCTCTACCTTGCGAGTAAGAGTTGTTATGACACTAATCAACGGCTTCAAATAAAGCCACGAGTTGTTATAGGGCTCAATGGTTGGCTTCCTGTCTGGAGGTAGCATCTTCGAGTCCTAATGTCACTCACTTATTACTAATTTTTTAACCGAATTTACGTACATTTTAAACATGTAAAACCTAAAACACTCTTGTAGAAGCTTACAAAACAACATAGCATCTAATCCCGGGGGTAGAGATCGTCCTATATCACTACCAATCTTACTTACACATTGTATGTGTATCATCTATATAACTTTTCTACAATTTAGATAACCATCGCGAGATCATGCTGATTTTGGAATCTTATGTGTTACAGCTAATGATGTGGTACCGTACGAATTTACACACAAATGTGCTCATTCCCTTCTCATGGCTGGATTTCAGAGCACGCTAAGAAAATATGAAGGGTCTAAACATGAATTGTTTCTCTGTACTTTGCTTTATTACCATTTGTTTGAACATATGTCTCTAAATATGGGTTTTGCCATGTACAGGGAACATAATTGGGACGAGGTAAAGCAATGGCTCAGACATTACCTTGGGCTCTGAGGATTAACACTAAACTCTACATTAAAAGAAAAAGGAATCAGAGACCAAAACTATATATAGTACAATATATATACATTATAAAACGTTTTATATATCTTTTCTTTTTTCTTTTTTCTTTGCTATTCATGATCAAAAGTTAATGTATTTTAACCGTCCACTTCATTTATAACTTAGTGAGAGACATATTTTAATTGAGTTGGTTATTTTTAATCTGTGATAATTTAATGCATCTATAAAATGCCACATTTCATTTATTTTTGGGTAACTTTTTTTTGTCTGGTAACGAAACGGGATTAAGATCAAAGAAAGGATGACTCTTGGTTACCTGCGAAATCTGTAGCCAGGTTTCTTTGCGTATCAAAGGTAATGGGCCACAATGATCAGCTGTGAGGATTTCATCAGATCCTTCACGTCTCACTCTTCCCCACAGAAGCAGCCTCGCCTCCTCTTTGCTTTCATTGACAATATAATGTCTTATAACGACATTTGGTACTTTTTCTCCAAATCTACTCATGTTTCAACTCCACTGCTTCCGTGGGATCCTGCTCCAGGCCCACCGGTAAAACGGAACCGGTTCGCTCTCTTTTGGCATGCTAGGACTTTCTCATACGGAAATCGCGGTATTTTTCCAAAACATAAAGCTCTAATGGAGGAACCTATACCTAAACCTCTAGTTGTGGAGGAACCTTCTGATTTTGTATCTATGAAGGTATCTCACATAAAGCTCTAATGAATGTTTAGAAGTTGCTTCCAAATTCCCCGAGGGCCTTAAATCGTCGAATGAAATTAATTTGATAAACTATCATGGAAAAGTAGCTGTTGTCAGTAAGTATCATCACAATGAACACCATAATTTCAATTTGTGGGTTTTAGAGGACGCCAAGAAACAACAATGGTCGAATGAACTCGTATCTTTTCATACAGGTGTCACTGGAAAATTCCATGGCGATTTAGAAATCCTGGGGACTTCTGATATGGGAGAGATTGTCTTTGCACCCAAACTTTTTGAAGAGTTTGTTGTTTACTTTCTGGATCACAAAACCAACCGGATTAGAAGTGTTGTGCTAGAAGGAAACACCAAGTATAAGTTTAGAGATTATAATATAGTAGTTACTTTCTTGCATTATGTACAGAGTGTTATGTTTATTTAGAGAGAGTTTTTCAAACTGCTTCTGCTTGTTTTGTTATTATAGTTTTCTTAACTAAAATATCTAGTTTGAGCTTTATCTCTTGATTTGTTGTTCTGCTCTTTGTTTTGACTTTTGAATAATATTTAAAGACTTGTCGCATTCTATTGCTTAATCTCATTATTATTGCAAAAGTCAATTTGATATATATAGTGGGTGATTTATTTGGTATTTTTATTATTAACTAGATGAATACCCACGCTACGCGTGGGTTTGTTTTAAAAGTTGTTAATAACAAATTATTTTGATTGTTCTTGTTGCTAGTTAATCACCCGCTTTACGCCGTGGTTTTTTCCGGTTTTTTTTTATTTTGATTTATTTGATGTTATATTTTGATAATTGTAATTTTTAATTATCTAATCATTTACTCATACGATAAACAACTACTATTAGTATTAAAATACATTTTCAACCAACATACTCAACAATGCATCACTCACACAATCCGTAAACAATCTTTCCTAAACCAATTTTATAGATGGTAATGTTGGGATTATGGAACCTCCAAAATTTGATGACCTTACGTACTCTTCACCCTCAGTGTCATATATAGATCTAAAAATTAAGAGAAAAACTTACTCAAACCATTAGCTAATCCACTATACTATTATCCACTCATATTTTGAGTTAAGATTACAAAAATTAGCGAAAAAAACTTTGGAGTATATAAAACCAATAAAATAATTTCATGGAAAAAAACATAAAATAACAAAATAAGTTAGTATTAGTAAAAATCAATATGTAAAATTAAATAATATATATAATTAAATAATAAATATATTATTAACTTGTGAAATAGATTTTCAAATTCATATGGGCCATCCCTCATGGGCTATTGTGTTTTTCCCATTTGACATTTATAATTAGAAGCTGATGTGTAAAAAATAAAAGCTGACTTATATTAATGAAATGTTTTGATTGGATGGAAATAAAGCTGATGTGGCATCTCCAGAAGAGCCTAAAATGCTGAAGTGGCGACCATATGGAGAGAGATAGCCTCCTTTCATATATATATGATTTGTAATTATGTACGATATATTTTATATCAGTTTTGTAAATGAAAAGATGACAAGTTGTCTAATAGGGTGAGAGTCAAATTTGGATTGATTTATTTTTTCATTTTATTTCATAATTATTACAAAAATTAATTTAATAGTGGAGTGATTTCTTTGGTCTTTTAATTAATTGTGTAATTAATATAGGGGGTGTTATTGGTTTATTAATTTGTAAATCCATATAGAATTTGAAAATTTCTATTAATTATGAAATCAAGATATATGGATTTTGAAATAACATGTGTTTACCCATGGATTTGAATCCTTCTATTTTTCTCTTTCAATTCCATTCAAATCCATTTAAAACATAATTTGGATTCTCAAATCCAAAAAGAAATGACTAAACGAATAACATAGGATTTTAACTAGTATTTATAAATCATAGAACCAATAACACATGATTTTAATTAAAATTTTAAAATCAATGATTGAATAACAAATGATTTTTGTTTGGATTTCTAATTCTTTATAAATCTATGAACCAATAACCCCTCCATAGTTTTTTATAAACAAAAAGATGACAAGTGTCGAGAGGGTGAAAGTGAAATATTTCATTTACAAAACGCGAATCTGCGAAAAAACTGACCCAGCAAAAAAACTTTCTCAAAAAGAACCCTAATTGTTGTTCGTTACATAGAAAAAAAGCCCCAAGACTATATATTATTTACAAATACTTTCTCAATACCTTTTTTTTTTGTTTTTTTGTCGGCCTACTACATTTCAACTAAAAGGAAAACCCAGACTTGGGCTGTGGGTCGAAGCCCAAATCTCCCAACAAAAACTACGCCGTCTGTACAAAACGCGAATCTGCGAAAAACTGACCCAGCAAAAAAACTTTCTCAAAAAGAACCCTAATTGTTGTTCGTTACATAGAAAAAGCCCCAAGACTATATATTATTTACAAATACTTTCTCAATACTTTTTTTTTGTTTTTATTGTCGGCCTACTACATTTCAACTAAAAGAAAAACCCAGACTTGGGCTGTGGGTCGAAGCCCAAATCCCCCAACAAAAACCATGCCGTCTGTACAAAACGCGAATCTGCGAAAAACTGACCCAACAAAAAAAACATATCTCTCTTCCGCATCTAATTTTTCTCCAGCCGTCAAACAATGTCTTCACGACGAGAAAGTAAGTGTTGCGATCAATCAGTCTATCTCTATTCTTGTTTATTTAGAGAGAGTTTTTCAAACTGCTTCTGCTTGTTTTGTTATTCTAGTTTTCTTAACTAAAATATCTAGTTTGAGCTTTATCTCTTGATTTGTTGTTCTGCTCTTTGTTTTGACTTTTGAATAATATTTAAAGACTTGTCGCATTCTATTGCTTAATCTCATTATTATTGCAAAAGTCAATTTGATATATATAGTGGGTGATTTTTTGGTATATTTATTATTAATTTGTAATTACTATATACTTTATATCAGTTTTGTAAATGAAAATATGACAAGTTGTCTAATAGGGTGAGAGTGAAATTTGGATTGATTTATTTTTTCATTTTATTTCATAATTACTACAAAAATTAATTTAATAGTGGAGGGATTTCTTTGGTCTTTTAATTAATTGTGTAATATAGTTTTTTTATAAACAAAAAGATGACAAGTGTCGAGAGGATGAAAGTGAAATATTTCATTTATAATAGCTGATTTGTTTTTTCTTTTTTCTATAACATTTTGCGTTTCTGATATCTTGGGGGTCAAGAGAAATATATTATTAGCTTGAGAAGACAAAGCAGAGTTGAAATGACAGAGATGGAGAAGAATCTGCAATCTCTAAATCCAATTCCCATTGACATGTTGTTCGAGATCTTCTTAAACTTGCCAGCGAAATCTTTAGCCAGGTTTGTTTGCGTATCGAAGTTATGGGCCAAAATCATCCGCAATCAAGATTTCATCAGATCCTTCTCGCTTCGATCATCCCTAAAGAATAAGCAGCACCGCCTCCTCTTTGCTTTCAAAGACCAAATAAAAGGTTATCAAGAAAATTGGTACTTTTTCTCCAAACCAACTCATGTTTCAACTCCACTATCTGAGCCAAACTCACTGGTTTCACCGGACCAGTTCGCTGCCCGTTGGTATGATAATCTTGCCCAAAACATTAACGAATTTGAAGCTCTAGTTGGGGAGGAACCACCTGATTTTGAATCAAGTACGGTGTGTCACTTGAAGCAAATGCGATACCAAAAGCCTAGCTACGTCCACGGGTTGATTAGCTTTTTATATGGGAAAGAACAAATCATATGTAATCCAAGCATAGGTAAGTCCATAAAGTTACCCTCTTTGGAATCCAGTGAAACGATCATTGGAAGCTTTTTAGGATATGATCCAATCCATGCACAATATAAAGTATTGTGTTTGACCAATGTTACACCGTTTTGTCGACATCAAGTCCTTACATTGGGAGCTCAAAATTGCTCATGGAGAATGATCCAATGCAGCAGTCCTCATTATCCTGGAACCATCTCTGTGTGCATAGACGGTGTTCTATATTACAGTGCTTCTAGTAGTTTTACCATGGATGAACCATTATTCTTGGTGAGATTTGGTTTGAGGTCTGAAAGTTTGGAAGTTGCTTCCAAATTTCCCGAGGGCCTTGAATCATCGAATCGAATTACTTTGATAAACTACCATGGAAAAGTAGCTGTAGCTGATGTCTCTGAATACCGTTATGGCGATTTCAAGTTGTGGGTTTTAGAGGACGCCAAGAAACAACAATGGTCGAAAGAACAACGGATATCTATTCATACAGGTGTTACTGGTAAATTACATGAAGGTTTAGAAATCTTGGGAACTTCTAATATGGGAGAGATTATCTTTGCACCCAACTATTTTAAAGAGTTGGTTGTTTACTTTCTGGATCATAAAAACAACAAGATTAGAAGTGTTGAGCTTGAAGGAAACACCAAGTATAAGTTTAGAGATTTTTATAAAGTATTTACTTTCTTGCATTACGTAGAGAGTGTTATGTTAATTTAGAGAGCGTAATTCAAACTGCTTCTGTTTGTTTCTTTTCAACTACAAGATCTAGTTTAAGCTTTGTCTCTTGTTTTGTTGTTCTGTTCTTTGCTTTGACTTTTGAATAATAATATTAAAGACTTGGTTCCATTCGAATTGCATACAACTCTATTTCACTTTTCACTAACTTTTTGGGACTTATAATGAATTTGGTTCTATAACTGAACCATTCCCTATAGATCAATGAGATAAGACTGGCCTAATCTCATCATGGCTGCTGCAGTAATTCTTGACTATATAAATTCTATAAATTACATTATGATATAAATGTATAAATGATATGAACAAATTACATTACATTATATAAATTACATTTAAATTATAGAAATAGTACGAATCAAGTTGCCAAACAAGAGAGAAAGGCTTTCTTAAAAAGATTTGGAACAAAGCCCATATAAACTACTCAGTCGGTTTTGTTTGTTTCCACATAACCTGTTCTACAAGCAAAATATATATACTTGCGCATCTTATAAAATCCAGTGAGCCCTCACATATTACCAACAAAAATACAAAATCACGGAAACCCTAAGTCTTCTTTATATCTCTAGAGATGATCAGGACGACGCAGATTCTTCAACAACAGTCTAGGCATGTTCTTGCTAATTATAGTATCAATAATTGTTTGACTCGTCGCTCCTACAAAACCCTATCGGCTGTGAAGGCGCATTTAGAACGATGGCGGTCGGAACAAGGGGATCAAGTGAAGCCGTCTTACGTCAGAGGCGTCATCAAGAATTTTCGTGACTTTAATCAGTGTTCTAAAGCACTTGAGGTTATTAATTTCAATCTTTGAACTCTGACTCGCGTACGTTGTCTTTGTTTTAAAAGTAGTATATAGATTTTGATATCAACTTTTGTAATGTGTTAGGCTTCGGAGTGGATGTGTGAACAGAAGGTCTTTAATATATTTTCGGAAGACTATGCAGCTCGGCTTCAACTGGTTGAGACTGTGCTTGGTTTGGAAGAAGCGGAGAAGTTCTTCGAAAGCATCCCGGAAAACATGAGGGATTACTCTGTCTACGACAATCTCTTGAGATCTTACACTAAATCTGAAAAAACACTAGATAAAGCTGAGGCCACGTTTGAGAAGATGAGAGATCTCGGTTTCCTCTTGAAACCTTCCCCATTCAACTCGATGATTAGTCTCTACCGTCACCTCAAGAAAAAAGATATGGTCAAGAAGCTTGAACGTGAAATGATGGAGAACGATGTGAGGTTCGACAGTCACAAGGAAATTAGTGTTTTGAGTATCTTGAGGTCTTATAAAAGAGATGTAATGTACCCTGTATGGAATTATAATAAGAAGATAGGAAAGATGACGGATGAAGGATATCGAAGTAGGATTAGCTATTTATTGAAGCTGGACGATGTACAAGGAGCAGAGAAGTTATATGAAGAGTGGAAACCGGCAGGACCGAAGCTGGATATGAGCATACCAAGTTTGCTGATTTCTCGGTTTTGTGCGGAAGGGAAAGGATCCAAGGTTGAAGAATTGGTTGATTCGATAAGAAAGAAGAAAATTGGGATGCTAAAAGAACGGTCGGCTTTTTTGGTGGTGAGTGTTTACGTGCTTGCAATTGTGGGTGCCATTGCGGGCGCCATTTTTGGTTGCAATGTGTGGCTCCTTAAAACGTACCCCATTTTATGTGTGGTGTTTTGTGTGCATCTCGTTCTAAAGCACCCCATTGTGTTTGGTTCGCTTTGCTATTACTATATATATAATCACTAGATGAAATCCCACGGCTGTTACACTTGTTTTCTCATTTGATTTTTTGTGGAGATTTATTACATTTGTTTTACTTCCAAAGATATTTATATTTATGTTGTGACTTGCATATATCAAAGAATCAAAGGATGTAGATGTAATGTTGCTCAGCGATAGTAGAGACCAAATTAAAAACTTGCATATATCGGTTATATTCAGATGAACTCGCTTTACAGATTAAAAAAAAAAAATTAAATGTATGTCCATTTTAATTGAAGATCATAAATAGATCTTGTAAGTTAAGATTATAATAGAGTTTTAAAAGGAGTTGATGATGTGCCAAAATTTTAAGCTATGTATGTTTACAATTTTCGCGCTATATTTTGTATTATAAGTTTAGTAGGCAGGCAGAGTAGAACAAAAAAAATTACATATCATTCTTTTGTGGTATAAAATTTGTAATTCCACTATCTCAGATATAATGACTAGAAAAGATATCCGACTTCTGTTCAAATGATCTTGGCATGGTTTTTTTTCTTCTTCTTTATCGGCACTATCATCTCTACCGTCACCTCAAGAAAAAAGATAAAGAAGAAGAAAAAAAATGGCGGGAACAAGCTGATCAAGTGAAGAAGCCCTCTTAAGTTAGAGACCTCATCAAAGATCTTCGTGACACCGATTAGTTTTCTGAAGCTCTTGAGGTTAGTCAAGTTTCAATCTTTAATCTCTGTCTTTTGGAAGTGGTATAGGTTTTGATATATGAAGCTTTTTTGTTATGTGTCAGGCATCAGAGTGGATGTGTCAACAAAGGGTCTTTAATATTTTTCCGGAAGATTATGCAGCTAGACTTAATCTTGTTGAGACTGTACTTGGTTTGGAAGAAGCGGAGAAGTTCTTTGAAAGCATCCCCGAAAACATGAAGGATTACTCTGTCTACGACAATCTCTTGAGAATTTACACAGAATCGGAGGAAACATTATATGAAGCTGAGGAGACGTTTGAGAAGATGAGAGATCTTGGTTTCCTCTCGATACCTTCCCCGTACAACTCGATGATTTCTCTCTACCGTAAGCTCAAGAAACGAGATAAGGTCAAGAAGCTTCAACGTGAAATGATGGAAAACAATGTGAAGATCGATAGACCCATTGAGCTTAATGTTTTGTCTATAGTAAGCGATTTTAAAAGAGACTGTCTGGACCCGTTATGGAATAAGTACAAGAAGGAAGGAAAGCTGATGGATGATGAATATCGAGTTAGGATTAGCTATTTGTTGAAGATGGATGATGTACAAGGAGCAGATAATATATATGAAAAGTGGCAACCGACAGGACCGAAGCTGGATATGACCGTACCAGGTTTGCTGATTTCGCGGTTTCGTGCGGAAGGGAATGAATCCAAGGTTGAGGAAATGGTTAATTGGATAAGAATTAAGGGAATTGTGATGCATTTAGCGACGTTAACACTATGTTTGATCAACTTGGGGTTGACTATAGTCATGCTTGCCATTATGGGTGCCTTTATCACCGCCATTGTTACATGCAATGTGTGGCTCCTTAAACAGTTTCCCTTGTTATGTGTGTTATTTTGTGGGCATATCATTCTAGAGTACCCCATTTTCTTTGCTTCGGTTTTCTTTTGTATATATAATCAGTAGTTACTAGATGAAATCCCACAGCTTTTTACATTTGATTTTTTACAACCCATATATGTGTTACTTTCAAAAGATACTTATATTTACGTTGTGACTTGCATATACCAAAATAATCAAAGGCTGTAAATGTTGCTCAGCAATCGCAGAGACCAAAAACTTGTATCAGTTGAACACTCTTTACAAAAAAATAAAAAAAATCAATGGATGTCTAATGTTTAATAGACTAGACATCATAAATAGATTAGACATCACAAATGGATCGGATCTTGTAATTTAAGACTATATATAAAGATTTAAAAAGAGTTGATGATGTGCCAAAACCTTAATTTATGATGAGCCATGTTTATAATTTACGCCTAGATTTTGAATTCTACAGTTTAAAAGGTAAAGTAAAACAATTTTTGACTTCGTTTTTGCGATGTAAAGTTGTATTTCCACTATCTTTCTGAGCCTAATAATGTTTTCTCAAAGATCGGCCGCATTAACTATTTGCTACTCTCTCCTTTTAAAATATAGGGTGTTTTAGAGTTTTTGTTTTGTTTTAAAATATACGATGTTTTACAAATTTTTCTACAAAAACTTTAAATATATATTTGAAATTTTCTACAAATTTTTCTATAACGGAAATGAAAATCTATATAGCAAATTTTTTAAAAAAGTGATTCTGAGTTCTACTCTTCAAATTAAATATTTGTTTGGTCAGCTATGTGGATAACCACTTCTTGACAAGTTGGTGGCAAGAAACTTACTCAGCCAATATTAAACATGTGAGGGGTGAAAGAATGTGGAAACCTCAAGAGAAGGGACCTATTCAGGTGCCTGAAAAAAAAGAAGCAAAGAGGAAAGCCAAAGAAGTATTGCTTGGATAAAGGAACCTCATGAGTCATAAAAAAATCCAAACAAGCTCACAAGAGATGGAAGAACCGCGACATGCTCCAATTGCAAGAGAACTGGACATAATAAAGGTACATATGATAAACCAGCTGCTCCCACATACCCTTCAAGAAAGAGGGGGAGACCAAGGAAAACCCAAGTAAGTATCCTTGAGTTTTGATGAGTTTGTTGTGTTGAATGTTGTTATATTATGAATATTAACTGAGTTTCATTCTGTTATAGATTGATGAGCATGATCCATGGAGTATATAGAATGCACCTAAATAGTTAAGGAGAGTACAAAGCCAATCCAGCTGTACCTTTAAGCCAATCGACACCAACTGATCCACATCCGTCAACAGCTCCACCTTCAACTAGAAGAGCTTCTACTGGAAGAGGACGTCAGTTGTCCTCTTGGCAGCCGAGGCAGGGGTCATGGCAGGAGTACTGGCCGTGGAACAGATGCACAAAAACCTCCTGTGTATTTCATGTCACCTTGAATTAACAGTGTCTTTGACGTGTGGCGACCTCAAGACTCTTAGGCATCTTAGGCATTAAGATCATTGTCTTCTGTTTCAAGACCTATCTACTTATGTGTTGTTTTGTATCAAGACCTATCTACTTATCAAGACCATTAGTCATTAAGTTGTTGTTGTTGGATCTTGCTTTGTTTATTTTGCTCTGTTTTGAGAAGAATAGTTAACAAAATAAGGAAAAAAACCACTGTCCACAACCTTTAAAAACAAAATCTAACCGCGTTTATAGTTTTGGGCCAGGTAACAGCTTGTTACAACAAAATGAAACTGGAAACAAAAAATAGATTAGATTTTTTTTTAGCATCAATAAAATAGTGTGTTTTATTTCGGCAATAAAAAAAGTTTAGGATTTTTCCTTCCAAATTTTAAATAAGTTGAGTTTTTTTGAGGAATTTTCTCAAAATTTATATATTTTTTGCAATAATTTTTTTTTTCTGAATTGATAAATAATAGAGGGAGTATTATTACTTATGGAACCACCGGTTCTTAGGGTAAATATTTGGTAAAGCAAAACTTTGTAATCGCTCATAATTAATTGTCGGCTTCATCGGCCTTTTGCTTCTTCTTCCACCCAAATAAAAAACCTTCAGGTACCGAAGCTAAATTAAAATTCATTAGGGTTCTTCTGCGCTTACATCGCTGTAAATTTGAATTTCTTCTCCTTCTTTATTTTTAATTTCAGGGTTGATATGGAGATCGAGAGTCACGATTCAGTCCCTGGGAAGAATCTAGTTAAAGTCGAGTTCAAGCTTGGGACAGAGAGCTACACGATTGATTCAATCAAGGGTGATACTGTATTTGACCAATTGGTTTCGATGAAAGAAGAAAGTATGAAGATACTTAAAGATTTTATCACTAAGCATAATGTTCAAGATGATGATGTCCCTGACCAAATCTTGTCTGATGAAGAAGAAGGTGATGATGATGATGATGATGCTTCTCCTGTAATATGTCCTGTGAAACCCAAGAAGACAAAGATTTGATTTTTTTCCTTTCATTTATCACTTGTTGTCTTGTCTTTTTATCTATGGATGAAACCTTTTGGCAAATTTCCTGTTTGTGGAACAGTTTTGTTTATCTAAGAAGAATTTGAGGACTTAGGTTAAGTGATGTTCAAATTTTAGCATCTGCTAGGTGGAATATAGAAATGGTGTTGTTGAACTTTTACTAAAGGTTGGTGATTGCATTGCTTGATTAGAGCAAAGCCATTGAATGCTAGCTCTAGGAACTTCAGGAAAACTGCGAGAACACTATGGAAAAATGCTCCACTCGATAGACTGAACAGTATCATGGTATTAGGGGCATTAGATGCAGAACTGATAAGCCTTTGGTGATTCCATTGCTTGATTAGACCAAGTCTTGAGTTATTGAAGAGAGCTCTCGGAACTTCAGCGAAACTGTGAGGAGAACAGAGAAAAATGCTCGACTCGATAGACTGAACAGAGCCATGGTATTAGGGGCATTACAGATGCATGACTGATTTGGTTACCTATATATTGGTTAGTGTTAATGTTCATGTGTGTTTGATTGATTCAGGAACTCACAAAGTCTCTCTCAGTAAGGTCGCGTTTGAAGCTTAGTAAGTCTAAATTGTTAAGAGTTTAAGAGTTGGGTTGGTGAGAAGACGTCTCATGTTTTTGTGTTTTGTCACTAAGTATAAGAGTTTATGTGACTTGATGAATCTTATCAATGGATGAACAAAGAAGGATTGGGGTATCACTCAGCACAGGCCAGTCACTGGCAGAGATAGCAGAAAATGGTATAGACGACAAGATCGCCAAGTATTTTAACGTTGTTCCGAGAAATCGATTCATCAAAGAAACTTGGAATATGTTTACTCACATTTTTTATAATGTTTGTGAAATAAATAGTAACATCACTAGTTGAAATGAAAATCTCACAGATAAACAAATGTTGGATGAATGATCTTTAGCAGAATCACTCTATATTCATTCACAATGTTAACACTACACCATTGTCTAACAACTCAACAAAGTATTGCAAATCTCCGAACATGCCAAGAAACATCTGGTAGGCACGCGTTAACCAAGTAGAAAGTGATTCCTAACAGTCATCACTGTAGCTTCTCGAGTTCTGACATCCTTTCGATGATTGCCTGCAAATTAATAGTTGTCCCCGGCATTAGAAGTTTAGCGATTGAGCAAGAGCATGTATGATACGTTTATGTGAAAGAGAAAAGCTTGAAACAAAAATTTCTTACCCTTTTGCTTGTTTCTTGAAGCTCCCCAGCAAGAATGAATTCATCGAGTATCAAGTAAACCTTATGATTGAAGTCATAGGGAATTAGTAAGCAATTATTAGAGTACAAACACAGATCAAATCTAGAGACACAGTAGCATCTACTCAAATAGACAAAAATGGGGAACGCTATTTTAATGCCCGCATACACATATATCTACGGGTCAAGATGGTCAGCTTATGATTGAGACAAGTATAGTGAGAAGAAAACGAAACTAGCTTTTGATTTTAGCAACCACAAGCTTGATTTGATAGCCCCTTGTAAGGTTAATATATGGAATTTTTCAGAAAACCATTAAAAACAACAGGGAGAATTCACTAAACTAGTTCAAAACTTCTAAGCAGCAATAAGACTCCCAGGTTTATTCAAAACCAGTTGTTGTACAGCATCACAACTTAAAGTTACGAATCCAAAGAAGCAGTTCCAGCAGCTCTTTACAAAGGATAAGAGTAAGAAAGAGGCTTAGTACCTTGTGGAAATTAAACACCAAATCTAGCTCACAAACATTGCTGAAGAAATGGTCTAATATCTCCACAAACAAATGGATACTCTCCAGGTACGCCAACTCATTGTCGGTTATGTCCACACACACGGAGAAAAACAATCCAGCATAACGCCTGTATATCACCTTGTGTGTTCTAAACTGAAAATGATTGCAAGACAGATTCATCATCTATACATGACAGATTCACAATGAATACCCACTAGAGATAATGACAGAAAATTGGTTCTTAATCACATTTTCACGTCTCATAAGTCATAAGACAGAGATTTCTCTTTCTTTAGGAAGGTTTTGATACCGACAAGGGCATCAAATAATAAACGAAGCTAGAAACTTAACTTCAATGTCTACATTTCTAACTATCTAAATCTCAAACAACAATGTTAATATCCCGATTGAGGACAACTTTCGCAGTTTCAAAAAGGCAATGCTCTTCGAATTGATCAAAATAGCTTAGTCCCTATACTGTGCCAGTATCGATAGCCCTAACCTTGTATTGCAAACCTGAATCAGGAATGTTATCCATTCCAAAATATTGGTTCTTAATCACATTGTCATGTCTCACTAAGGCTATATCGAGTTTTGCTAAAAAGATCTTGATACCGACTACGACATGGAGTTATAAACGAAGCTAACTCAAGCTTCAATGTCTAAATTCCGAATTTTCTAATCTCAAACAACAATGTTAATCCCCCAAATTGAAGCAAATTTCACAATTTCAACAAGCCAATGCTTTTTAAATCAATCAAGATTAGTGTTAATGTCTATATGAAGAGCCGTAATCTTTCTTATGCAAAATCTGATTCAAAATTTTAAAAATCAAAACCACAAACCTCAACGAAGTTGGTGAATTTAGCGTCGCGATTCACCACTAACCTATGAACCTATGAAACAAAAATGAAGAGTCAGAAACAAAAACCTAAAAAGGATATAGAATTTGAAATTAGTTAGTACCTCGTATTCGACTTTGTGTTTCTCTGATTCTTCGAGAGGAACATAGTATTTGGCAAGACGAGTCTTACCTTGTCTGTTCTGCAATAATATGAAACGGATCTGGACAAATTGAGAGAGAAAGAGATGGATCAGAAATTGAGCGTTAGACATCGAAATCAAAGAAAACAAAGTGGTGAAGAAGAGACAAAGCAGTACCATCTCCTCTGGAAATCTAATGGAGAATTCAGGAGGAAGAGTGAGCGATTAGAGGAGAAGTGGTTGGATTTTTCTTCTTTCAGATCTCAACTTTGAATTTTTACGACCTTTTGAAATCGGGTTCTTAAGACAACTCTTCAGTCAAAAAATGGAGTTTTTATGAAAAACTGATTTAGGAGAAACTAGAAAAATAAGCTAAAAAAAATATTTGTGAAAAAAAAATAACAAAGATTAGTGAAATTAAACTTTTTTAGGGGTGGACGCGGAGCGAAAATCATTTGTGTTATTCGTATCCGCTCCGAAACTAATCAGAAAACCGTTGAAAATAATACTAAAAATCAAACTAAATAATAATAAATTGCAATATTGTTTTAAAATTCATATTCCAATTTCTCATTCTTAGATTTTTATAAGTATTATAGTTTTATAGTCAATTTATAAATGAAAGTTTGTACATATATAAGAGTTAAGTATACGTGTCTATAATAAATAATTAAATATACTGTTTATATGTGTCTATAAATTTTTAATCAAACATATAAACTCAAGCAAATACTTAAATTTAATATCCGCCAGAAACAAAGTAAATCAGAGCGGAGCGGATATCCAAGACTCCAAATTTTAATATTTGTGATTTATTTTGTTTCTGGCGGATATTAAATTTAAGTATTTGCTTGACTTTATAAACATGATCCCCTTTATAAACTTACAAATGTCCGACATTTTTCGAATCAGATCAAAGCAGATAAATGGAATAAAAATACTATAGATATTTGGCCATGCCCTAATATGTGTGATTATAACATTGACTAGTCATAATTCAGAACTTCCAAGTCATTTAGAGTGTTTCATTTAGCAAATAGGGATAGATTCTTATCCAAAATTATTAATCTTGTCATCAAGAAAGAAAATGAATTTCTATTGTTCTCTTCTTGTTTGTCGCTCCTCTGAACAATCTTATTGATATACATATAAATATAATGTACACAAACAAATGGACCAAGTCAATAACTCATGAAGTAGAGGTTCAAGTACTAGTAAATGGAGTTAGTGGCGGCCAAAAGAGCAGCACCGAGCCCAGACACGTCTTTGGTATGTTTGATCGCAATGTGACTTAGCTTATCGCCAAGAAGCTCGACTAGTGCATCTTGCATATACTGTCGATACTGTGGGTACTTCTCGTAGAGTGCACCGTCCATAGCCACAACAGTTCTTTTACCAGAACCCATTCTTTTGGTCTCTTCTTCAATTTTCTCAAGAATTGCCACTATACCAGCTCCTGCTAGACGCCCTCCGCGTTTTACTACTGTATCGCACACTTCCACCACTCTTCTCCTCGCGTTCAGATTCGCCTCTACCTGTTTCCAATATCTCGATCTGGTTTATACAGTTTATCCAATCTCTGGATGTTATTTTCCTTGTATTTAACAACAACTTACCTCTAAAATGTTGTATAGGACTGATCCAACAGTTTGAAGATCATCTGTAGTGTCTTCTTGCATTTTGCATAGATGCTCGGTCCTATACAAAATTTACACAAAATAATAAATAAAATTTTCAGTTAGGAATTTTTAACATTTTCTTCAAGCTTCAAAGGCCCTACCCAAAACCCACGGTCACTTTGAGATATATGATTTTAGGATATTGAATCTAAGCATAAGCATACAAACCAAAGCTGAACCAAAATGTTTGTATCAAAATGTGTTTCTGACCATATTGGTTTTCCTGGTTTAAAATCGTAGGAACCGAAATCGTAACTGAACCAACTTCAAAACTTAACCAAAACCAATTCTTGTGTGATATAAATACACTAAATTTTAATAATTTTCAGTTGTTTTCGTTTATCTAAAACCAAGATAAACGAAATTGCATCAAATTGAACTAAACTGAATTACAAGTGGTCTTCATTTGGTTTCACTTTCTTGTTTCTACAAACTCGATAAAACCAAAACCAAAAGCATTGAGCCGAAACCAAACCATAAACCAAACTGCACATCACTAAATAAAAATCTATTACTCTTATAACCGCAAGCAAATACTGGACTTGGAGAAAGATTGTGAGAGAGAAGTACCTGAGTTCAAAGGGAGTGGAGAGTTTGACAGGAACAAATTGTCCGAACAAGTCACTAGTTTCACACATTTGGAGCAAAACCCTTCTTACAATTTCACCAAGGTACATCCCTGAGATCATCTTCTCATATAACTTCATCCACACACAAACAGTAAATAATTGTAAAAACAAAAAGAGAAAAACATAAATGTTATTAAAGAAAGGATAAAATTCTACTACATGTTCACCACGATTCGGGCTATTCGCATCCATCTCTTGGTCAAAAATGGTTTGCGGAAGAACCTTAGAGAATCCTCCCCACTCCGTGTTTATGATCTGATTCCAAATGAAAACAGTTTTAAGCATGAGAACATTGACAAACCTAAGTACATATATAAAACTCTATAATACCGTTGTTCCAGAAGACGATTTGCTTTGGAGTTTAGGAATTGCATGCTTCTGCTCTACATAACAAGCATTGGTTCCAGTGCCAAGAATCACACCGATCATCACATCCTCGTCCGAATACCTTGCTCCAGCTAATGTTCCCACTCCATCATTTACCTTAAACACACAAACATCAACAAACTTACAATATGCACAAGACATGAGATTCCATCTACAATTGTTTTGAGACAAAAAGAAAAAAGAAACATACGAGAGCAGAAACTCGCATATCGAGTCCATGAACTTCCATAGCTTTATTTAAACAAGCAACCACGTTTTTTCCTTCCTACAAATAACATTTTAAAGGTTATTAGAATTTAGAGCCTTATAAGAACTACGGAAAAGAAGAAATGATAACGCATAAACTCACCATTCCAGACACTTTAAAGCCTTTAGTCCACTTGATTAATGTGCCTGAATCAATAGAGGTTTGCTTCACAGGGAATGAAAAGGTAAACCCTATCTCCCTTTTCCTCCCTTCTTCTAACCGAAACCGACTCGGCTTCTCCTTTGCAACAAAGCTTGCAAGTTTTGCAGCAATGAACCCAAAGAGTTCCTGAAAACATTCAATCAATAGCCATTCTATTAAAACAACTAGCACTCGTTGACATACTAAAGATTTGATTCATTACCTCACTTGTACCAATCATAAGCTTTTGAGGAATAGATATTTGTTCAGATTCGGTAGCTAAGACTCGCTCTTTCTTTCCTCCTAATTGCACGCTACGCACCCGAAAATTTGTACCTCCTAAATCCAATGCATAGAACAACCCTTCCTCATTCCTACATCCATTAAAATGGAATTAGAGAATCTTAAGACTATCACATTTATTTTTCTTCCTCATTCCATATATAGTAAAAAACTTAATAATCATCTTTAGATCAAAAAACATAATGTAATTAGAAAAAAGAAAGGAGAATTTACCCAGAAGGCAAAGCGTCAACATAAGTCAAGATCATATCGAGATCTCCTCCTCCTTCAACAGCTAGACCAGCTCGCATGTCATCAGCAATGGCGTTGGCTACGTTGCGTAGGTACGGTGTAGGAGTGTCGCAGTCTTTCTGAAACTTGGTCAGTACAGGACACGTTGAAGCCGAGTTAGATCGGACGGCGGACATCACGATGTAATTGGAGCGTCGAGATGAGAAGGTGAAAGATCCGATGGTTGGGGTGACGACAGGGGAAGAAAACATAAGTGACATTGTCGAAGTTTGGTTCTGTTTTGTAAGAACGAAGATCTCGGAGTCAACTTTCTCTGAATTTTTTTTTTTTTTAACTTTCTAGTTGCTCTGCTACTTGCTTACTTTTGCTTATTTGATTATTTCTGTCCTGCTGGGTTTTACGAGAAGAACAAGGTTTTTTTTGTCCACTAGAAGATGCAGTTTCTTTTTTCTTTCTTTTTTAACAAGAGGAAGCAATTTCTAATTTTCTATCACGTCAACATTGTTCATTTTTTCTCTTTAAATAAGAAAGATGATTTGGTAGAATAACATTTTTTGATAACTTATTGAATTTATAGCACAATAAAGTGAAAAAAAAATAAAAAATAATAATAATATGGGGGGTTGTGGAAGAGTGAATTTGTGCAGAGGGATTATTGAGGCATATAATTAAGAAAACAACATAAGTATGAAGATACATAGACGACATCAAAATAAAGGTTGGAATAGGTCTTCAAGTTGCGAATAATTACAAGATTACCAGCCACACAGTTTTCGTGCGCGTGGGGGAGGAAAGAAACATCTGACATTTAATAAATGCTCAACAGTTGAATTGACCTTCACGCGGCAACAAATAGGAACGAAGTGACAGTTATTTAATTTTCATTTTAATCTATAACAAAACATATGGACGAAAATTAAAAAATTTAAACTACTAACCTAATCTCATAGATATCTATTAATTAATGTACCACTTATAGTTCGATATATGACTCTATGAAAGTATATGAATATGTATCTAAATTTATAGATACATATTAATTCATTATACTTTGTGCATCTATACTTTGTAGATCTATTTGTGGAGATCCAAAAAATATTTTAGATCTTTATTTGTATCGTGAAAGTTATCTTTTCCGATGAATAAACAATGACGGTGTGAATAATAAACACGATGTTGTTTTTCTTATCGGTTTGAATGAATTAGAATAGAGTTGAGAGAGAGATGAACATGAGATCTCAATCTATACTTTGTAGATCTATTTGTGAAAATCCAACAAATATTTTAAGTCCTTATTTGTATCGTGAAAGTTATCTTTTCTAATGAATAAACGATGGCGATGTGAATAATAAACACGATGATGTTTTTCTTATCGGTTTGAATGAATTAGAACAGAGTTGAGAGAGATGAACATGAAAAAAAAAATAGACATCCAAAAGTCACACATATGTGCGTGGGGTTAAAATAGGAAAGAAAGTGGGCTTATTATTTTCAATCTTAGACTATTTGGCATAATACCGAAAATTTTATTAGCCCAAAATCTGATGTCTCTCACCCAATTATCTCGTTGTGGAATGGGGACCCGTTGTGGAATGACCAATTTGGGTTTAGTTGTTAGAAGAAGAAGCAAAAAGGGTGAGAAAAAAACAGTAGTTTATGTTTCCTACATTATACATAGAACAAGATCTCACTTTAGATCCATTGATTCCTTGCAAGAACCTGAAAATCTTATGGATACTTTATAGACACAAATATAATTTATAAATGCTTAACTTTTAAAATGTTTGGGTTAATCACTTAACCTTTAAATGTAAAAATTACATTAAATATAGAAAATTTAAATAGGTATGTAATTTCTCACAAAGATTTAGTAAGCGGTTTTGTTAACAATAGTTAGGATGTGATTTGATTCTAGAAATTAAAAAAGAAAAATTGTATTCTAATTTAAAAATAAATGTTTTCGATTTGGTTTGTTTCAAACTTCATAAAAGTCACAAATAGATAGACATATCAATTAGAGCCAAAGCCCGCGGGCTAGCCCGGCCCAGCCCTGAAAAACAGTGGGCTCGGACTTCAAAATATATGTCCAGAAAAAATCGGGCCTTTCGGGCTAAGCCCGTTCGGGCTAAAGGATTTTTGGGCTTAGTCCGGCCGGGCTCGGGCTAGCCCGAAAAGCCCTTTAAAAAATATTTTGACATTTTTTTTTTGTTAATATTTTCGTTTAATTGTAAGATTTGTTGTAAAAAAAAATTTGGTAGAGTTGAAAACCCTAAACTTAGTTTTTTTTTTTGTTGTGTATTACTATAAATCGAAAAAACAAATATTAGCTCTACTACCTAATTTGAATTATTTTGATTTTATATTTTATCTAGTATAAGTTTAAACAATTTATTTGGATTATTTTTTTGATTTTAACTCTCTTTTTAAAAAACTAAATTAGCGTTAGTGGTTATTTAAATTTTGATTGACTCGTTTCATATATAGATTCTTTTTTAAGAGATATAAGTTATAAGTTTGTTTTTTATTGTCGGAAGAAAAGCCCAAAAAAGTCCGGAAAAACCCTGTAGCCCTGTTAGGACCGGGCCGGGCTTTAAAATATAGGCTCGGAATTTTTACGGGTCGGGCCGGACCGGCCTCACATATGTACGGGTTTTACGGATTTTGCGGGTTTCGGGCCGGGCTGGGCCGGGCTAGCCCGATTGACATGCCTACAAATAGATATCTATCTAAAATTTGTAGAAAGACTTGATTTTATTTCAATTTCATGATTTATTGTTAGAATTAAATGGCTTATTTGTTCTCCTTATCTAGAAATATCCTACCAACACCGTATTTAGTGATTGGAAGCGAAAAATGAGTATTATTTATGTGTATATCCGATCAAAGATTTTTGGATACCACAAACACTAAAAATAATATTTAAGGGTTTATAATATAAAATTTTGGGTCTAGATTAGTTTTTTGTGTTTAGGGTTTAGTTTTCATGGTTTAATTGTGAAGGTTTGATGTAGTTTTAGTTTTGTAGTATTTTCGGAAAAAAAGAAGAAGATTTTAATGGTATTTTTAGAAGAAAAAAAACTAGTGATGGTATATTTAGAACAAAAACTCATTTAGTGCTATTTTTGAGAATTGCCCTTAAATTTAAGTATTTGCTTTGCTTTATGAACTTACAAATATCCGCATTTTTCGAAATCAAAGTAGATAGGGGATCGAATGAATATACTCTATATATTTTGCCAAGCCCTAATATGCATGATTATAACATTGAGTAGTCATGAATCAGAACTTCTAAGTCATTTAGAGTGTTTCATTTAGCAAATAGGGATAGATTTTTATTCAAAATTATTAATCTTGGCATCAAGATTTTCATATTGGAAATTGTTCTGCCAAGACGTATGTTGCGAGTAAAAGTACCTATAAAAGTCTTGTCTAGAAGGAATCACCTACGTTGTTATATTATTCCTATGGGGTTAGCTTAATTATCCTATGGTCTTCTAGTTTGTTGTTCCACTTGCTCCTATGAATAATCTTAGTGATATATATAGAGTAGAACCTCTATAAATTATACTCGAGAAATTAATAAACACCATAAATTAATAAAAAAATTTGGTCCCACGTCGGGGCAGTGTAAAAATTGACAAAATTCGATAACATAATAAGATAATTTTTTTAGAGTCACTATGTAAATATATATATATATATATATATATATATTAGTTTAATATACTATTGTATGTTTTTAAATTTTATGTAAAAATTAATATACTATTTTATGTTTTTAGTGTTTTTTAAAAAATGAAAGTTTTTTTGAGCTCATTTATAATTTTTATTGTATAAAACATTTATTATTTTGTGTTTTTAATCTATAGTGTTGTAGTATACTATACAACTATGTCATAAAAATGGCCAAAACTTTCTGCAAATTTTTAATTTTTGAATATGTATCATTTTCATTTTGATAGTTTTATGTTGTTAAATACGATCGATGAAGTCATTATTCATAAATTTGAATTTACGTATATCATTAATTTGTATAAGTGAATTTATCTATAGATTTGGTACTTTATTTTCTATTTTTTTTTTAACGTCTGGATTTATTATTAATTGCAAATTATGAGAACTGTTACATAGACGATTCTACAACTGACAATTCCTTCCAACCCTTATTGGATCTACGACAGGCTACACTTCCTTCTTCATACACGACCTGACGACACCTTCCTCTCTACGTAGAATCCTGGCGAACGACTGCACTTCCCTCTCTGCGTAGAATCATGGCGAACGGCTATAATTGTACATCGCTGGAGATCTCCTGCACACTTGCCTCCATTAATCTGCATATTTGTTAATAAATCGCAGTATCTGAGACTCGAACCTCAGACCTCTTGGTGTAGAAGCATTAATTAACTCTTGGTCAACCATTGGGCCGAGGGGGCTTCCACTGTCTATTTTATTTTTGAATGAGATTTTTTTCCTAAATATTAAAAATGCAAATCTAAAACTACATAATTTATAATATCCAAAACATTAATTTTATTTAGATAAAATTGTCTTAATTCATCTTTTTCCAAAATTTTAGCAATTGAAATAAGTCTCGTTATAAATTAATATATTTTAATTTATGCTATAAAATAATAAATATTAATTTATAGATAAACTAATAAAATATCATGGTCACAATATTATTAATTTATAGAGGTTTTACTTATATATATAATGTACACAAACAAATAGACAAAGTCTATATACTCATGAAGTAGAGTTTCAAGTACTAGTAAATGGAGTTAGTAGCAGCCAAAAGAGCAGCACCGAGCCCAGATACGTCTTTGGCATGTTTGATCGCAATGTAACTTAGCTTATCGCCAAGAAGCTCGACTAGTGCGTCTTGCATATACTGTTGATACTGTGGGTACTTCTCGTAGAGTGAACCGTCCATAGCCACAACGGTTCTTTTACCTGAAACCATTCTTTCGGTCTCTTTTTCAATCTTCTCCAGAATTGCCACTATACCAGCTCCTGCTAGACGCGCTCCGCGTTTCACTACTGTGTCACACACTTCCACCACTTTCCTCCTTTCCTGCAGATTTGCCTTTACCTGTTTCCAATATCTTGATCTGGTTTATACAGTTTATCCAATCTCTAAATGTCATTATTATCCTTGTATATAACAACAACTTACCTCCAAAATGTCGTATAGGACTAATCCAACAGTCTGAAGATCATCTGTAGTGTCCTTTTGCATTTTGCTTAGATGCTCGGTCCTATACAAAATTTACACAAATATAAATTAAATCTTCAGTTAGGAGTTTTTAACATTTTCTTCTAATCAAGTTTCAAAGGCCCTACCTAAAAGACAAAACCCACGGCCACTTTGAGATAGTATATGATTTTAGGATATTGAATCTAGGGATAAGCATATAAACCAAAGCCGAACCAAAATGTTTGTGACCATATTGGTTTTCCTGGTTTGAAATCGTAAACTTAACCAACATCGAAACGTAACCAAAACCGCTATTTCAAACTGAACGGAAGAAATCTAAATACACTAAAGTACAAGTGATAACCACTTGGTTTCACTTTCTAGTTTCTACAAACTCGATATAATCAAAACCAAAAATATTTAGCCGAAACCAAACCATAAACCAAACTGCACATTCCTAACTAAATCTACTACTCTTATAACCACAAGCAAATGGCTCGGAGAATGATTGTGAGAGAGGGGTACTTGAGTTCGAAGGGACGGGAGAGTTTGCCAGGGACGAATTGACCGAACAAGCCAGTAGTTTCACTCATTTGGAGCAAAACCCTCCTTACAATTTCACCAAGGTACATCCCTGAGACCATCTTCTCATATAACTTCATAGACACACAAAACAGTAACGTATTGTGAAACTTGTGGCAATAGACGGTAACAAAAAAAAAACAAAAACAAAAACAAAAACACAAACACAAACATAAATGTTATTAAAGAAAGGATAAAATTCTACTACATGTTCACCACAATTCGGGCTTTCCGCGTCCATCTCTTGGTCAAAAATGGTCTGCGGAAGAACCTTAGAGAACCCTCCCCACTCCGTGTTTATGATCTGATTCCACATGTAAACAGTTTTAAGCATGAGAACATTGACAAACCTAAGAGCAGCTCCATTGGGGGTCTCTCACATATATAGAAACTCTCCATTAAAAAGGAAAAAAAATGAGAAAAAGTTGAAGAGAGAGCGTAGATAAGTTTCTCGTTTGAGAACTCTGTAGAAACCATATCTACATTTTCATCAAATGATTTGTTTAACAAATTAAAAAATTAATTAAATAACTAAATCATACATAATATAAGTTATTTTAAATAACTAAATCATACATATATATATAGATCAAGTTGTGACAATAAAAATTAATTAAATAACTAAATCATACATAATAAAAAAAATATATTTCTAATATAGTACACCCTCCATTTCATAATATAAGTTATTTTAGGTAAAAGCACGTTGATTAAGAAGATCTACTTTTAAAAAGTCCAACCAATCATAAAAGAGACTGCATAATATAAATAATCATACTATATTAAAATAATATATAATTTGCATCGAAACTCGAAAACAACTTATATTGTGAAACAAAAAACTTTTTTCAAAACGCCTTATATTATAAAACGGAGGAAGTACTATATTAGAAATATTTTTTTTTTATTTTGAGATATTCAAGTGGGTATTTACCCAATGGAGCTGCTCTAAGTACAAATATAAAAATCTATAATACCGTTGTTCCAGAAGAAGATTTGCTTTGGAGTTTAGGAATTGCATGCTTCTGCTCTACATAACAAGCATTGGTTCCAGTGCCAAGAATCACACCGATCATCACATCCTCGTCCGAATACCTTGCTCCAGCTAATGTTCCCACTCCATCATTTACCTTAAACACACAAACATCAACAAACTTACAATATATACACAAGATAAGAGTTTCCATCTACTACTTTTAAGAAAAAAACCATACGAGAGCAGAAACTCGCATATCGAGTCCATGTGCTTCCATAGATTCATTTAAACAAGCAACCACATCTTTTCCTTCCTACAAACAAAATTTTAAATTAGAATTTGAAACCACATAAGAACTTGGTAACAAAGAAATGATAACCAAAAACTCACCATTCCAGACACATTAAAGCCTTTAGTCCACTTGATTAATGTGCCCGAATCAATAGAGGTTTGCTTCACAGGGAATGAGAAGGTAAATCCTATCTCCCTTTTCCTCCCTTGTTCCAATGGAAACCGCCCCGGCTCCTCCTTTGCAAAAAAGCTTGCAAGCGTTGAAGCAATGAACCCAAAGAGTTGCTGAAGCAAGAGCCATTAATTGTATTAAAACAACTAGCACTCATTTATGTATTAAAAGTTGAGTCATTACCTCTCTTGTACCAATCATAAGCTCCGGAGGAATAGATATCTGTTTAGCTTCAATAGGTTTTCCACCAAATTCCACACTAAGCACCCGCAAATTTGTGCCTCCTAAATCCAATGCATAAAACAACCCTTCCTCCTTCCTGTATCCATTTTAATAGGAAAAAAAAATATATATATCCTAAGAACTCAAACTTTGATCATCTTCAGAACACAAATAATAATGATTAACATAAGTCAAGATCATCTTGAGAACTCCTGAACGATCTCAAAGGAAAATGTACCCAGAAGGCAAAGCGTCAACATAAGTCAAGAGCATCTCGAGATCTCCTCCTCCGTCAACAGCAAGACCGGCTCGCATGTCATCGGTAATGGCCTTGGCTACGTTGCGTAGGTACGGTGTAGGAGTCTCGCAGTCTTTCTGAAACTTGCTTAGTATAGGACACGTCGAAGCCGAGTTAGTTTGGACGGAGGACATCACGATGTAATTGGAGCGTCGAGATGAGAGGGCGAAAGAGCCAATGGTTGGGGTGATAATAGGGGAAGCAAACATGAGTGACATTTTCTAAGTTTGCTTCTGATTTGTAAGAAGGAAGATCTCAAAGTCAACTCTCTGCTACTTGCTTAGTTTACGTGTTTGATTATTTCTCTCCTGTTGGGTTTTAGGAGAAGGAGTAGTATTTTTGATTTTTTTTTTTTTTACAAACGAGAAGAAGCAATATCTAATTTTTTAGTATGTCAACTTAATTTTTGTTTAGTTTCTCTTTAAATACGACTTTTTTTGTCAGATAAATACGATTTCTTTTGTCAGATAATACGAATATTATGATGACAAAAAAAAAAATGCAAACAAAATTATGCATTTTTTTGTTGAAATTTTTTATGTTGCTATTAAAAGAAAAAAACAAAATTTATGTTTTACTTCGCGGATGGAAAATTTCAAGGGCGTATAGCACCATAAGTGGAATGTAATGCACTCGCTTGATGCAATCGGTTTGGTCATAGACTCATAGTGGTACAATAATTCAAAGGAGAGTAGTGACTTTAGAGTAGCCCATATTCCCGAAGATGATTTGGTCGAAAACGGCATTTTCAAACGGCTTTTCGACAAAAACAAATTCCTTAGAAATCAAGCGTCGTCGGAAAGTCATATTCATATGGAACTTGTAAAAACTAGATTTTATCCCGCGGTACACCGCGGGTCGATTTTTTTATAACTAAAAAATTATTTAGCAAAATTTTAAGTTGTATTTGTTTTGTTAATATTGTTTATTTTGTTTAGTGTTTCTGATTTTATAATTAAATTTTGATTTCTAATTCTAGGATTTCATCCATAGTATATTGTTTAATATTAATATCGATCCAAACCCGTTGCACCATATAACCCCGTCCCGTAAAATTAAACATCATTTGTTATTTTTTTTGAATAATATTTTAATCCACTACGGGTCGCAGGTTCATGCGGATAAGCCCGTAGAGAGTTGCGGGTTTGCGGGTCGACCCGCCAAAAGAGAAGCTATCTTTTGAAACCTTTTGTTTTATTTAGAGGTTTTGAGAAAATATTCCAAAAAAATAATTTTCATTATATGAAAAAAAGAAGTAGAAGAAATTGTAGTATCAACATTCCCGATTTTTACATCACTCGTTACTATTAATTTTTGTTTTTGCAGATAAAAATCAGAACTTAACTAAGTCGAGATTTTTAAAAAGATTGTGTAGAGATTTTTGGTAAATTGTTGAGAACATATTTGATTTCAAAATCTTTACTTAAATAGATAAGGAAAGATTTTGTAGAGACTTTTGCTAAATATATGAGAAATGAATTTCATTTAAAAATCTTTACTTAAATAAAACAAATCTAAATAATTAATGCTAATGGCATGCTATTGTAAATACTTCTCAAGTTCAGGATTTATTTGCTAATTGTGATCCAAAAATGTATATATAGATTTACAAAAGGTATATGTTGTTGAAAACTCGTTAGAAAATTTGTCGATATATCGTCAAAAATTTCCGACAGAGTTTCGACTTTCGATAAACTTTTGTCAATGTTAGTTTTGTCGGAAAATTCGCCCGAAATTATAGAAGACTTTCCGACAAATTTGCCGATGATGTATATGGTCAGCAAATCGTTGGAAAATTCTAACGTATTTTCGACAAACAAGTAATCGGAATAAATATAGTGCCATCAGAAATATTTCAGAAAATTTCGATGACTATATACAGCGTCATCATAAAATCAAGTATTCAAGAGGACGAATGGTGTTTATTGAAGATTCAGAGAAGGATAATATAATTTATGACTTTTCTTTGTTAAGCAATCAATGAAAGAGAGTGGCTTTGACAGAGAATAAGAAATAGGTAAATGAAAGCTAGAAATCATCTTTTGTAAAATAGAAAGTGATGGATGGCCAAGCCGAGACTGCCAGGTTGAAACATGAGATTTGAGATTGGTGGTGGAGGTGGAAAAAAACAGAAGCTTGAGAGGAGGGAATTGGCCATTCAGAAAGGCCTTGGAGTAACGGGCCCCGTGCTCAAATCCTTCACCTGAAAGGAAGCCGAAAAGAATTCAATGGAGACACAGTTAGCATTGCATAATCGATATACTGAGATAAGGTTCTTTTTAATATCTGGTATATAAAGAACATCACTGAGAGATAAGGGTCCAGTTTGAGAGGAAAGATAGGCCGAATCAGTATGTATGATGGAGAGACCCTTTCCATCACCAATTACCACTTCTTTTCCACTTGTATATGGTTGATGAAGACTGAGATTGGCAAGATCAGAGGAGATGTGGTGAGAAGCACCAGAATCAAGGAGTCATGGATTGTTGGTGGCTGGATTTGCAGTGGTTAAGTGAACACGTGGCTGCCAGGGTGCATGAGACAATGGTGGCTGTATGTGCTTGTGGCTGCATAGAAAACTGGGAGCAATTGCACTGTGACCGTAAACACTACATATTTGATAGCGCCCTTGATATGGTCGAGGCTCTTTGGAGTCGTATGACTGGCGTTGTTGAGGCTGCCATGAGTTGTTGTTGTTGCGCTGGTTGGATCTGTTTTGAGGACGATAGTTGTTGTTGTTGCGATGGTGAGTACTGCGTAGCAGCAATATTGGCTGTCATGCACGGGTGTTGGAAGAAGAGGTTGTGCGGACAGAAGCTTAGACTCATGATTGATAAGCTTCTCATGCAGTGATAGATTTGTATTCTTCAGGTAGTCCTTTAAGGATGATCTCCACTTGATCTTCATGGTCAAGTACTTTCCCAAGCAAAGCAAGTTTATTAAAACGGGTAATGAGACCTTGAACATAGGCATCAATTATTTTGTTACTTTTCTTCCATTGGTTGAGTTGAATCTTGAGTTGACGTATGTGACCGCGACTTGGTTTAGCATCAGTGGAAGCAAGTTTGGTCCAAATCTCAGCCCCAAAGTTGGAACGGGAGAGAAGCGGCTGGATGGAGAGTCTATCTTGACGCGTGCAATTAAAAAAAAAAAAACTCTGGATTAGGGAGCTGACACCATTGACAGTGACTGTGGCATCTGGAAAAACCTTGGATCCATCAAGGTTGGCACCAAGATATATCATACATAGAGCCACCATATTCTTCTATATAGTGGAGCATATGTGTTTAATCTATAGAAAGCATGATATTAAAAAATCAACGTGAGAAAATATCATATTTTGAAGAAACAACTAATATAAGTCAAATCGAAATCATAGAATGAAAAAAACAAAATAAACACGAGTCTTTCAGTCTTGAGTAGGCCACACCACCACAATTCTACACAATTAATAAGCTAACCTTTTTTCCTAAATATTACAATCCACTACTTCACACATTCCACTAATTAACAAACTTACAAATCCAAATCGTGTAAAGTGCAATACTTTTCAAGGCTCGGAGACTTTGTAGATAACCACAAAGCACGGAAGAATAGCTTTTGGATTATACACAACCAAGTCGTCGAGGCTTGTGTAGACCCCAGCGGCCCCCGCAACCGAATCATACGAGCCAGAACCACTTTCATCTTCGGGAACATCACTCTGCACGCGCCTCACTCTTCCCGCGATCACGCGGCAAACAAGCATCGCCCTCCGCTGGTCAAAACACCTCAACGCGTCGTGTGCTCTTCCACTGCTTGCAGTGGTCCTCACGCCCTTGATCTCCTCTTTTCCTTCGCCGGTACCTACACGTACCGTTTTGGCGTGAAAACCATGGCGGATAATGGTGCAAACACGGCAGCCAGGGATGGCGGAGCAAATAGAGGTCGAGCCACGCGAGCCGAGGGAGCAAGAAACTGTGGTGCAGTGGAAGCGGAGAAGCTCGTTGCCGTCGGCGGCCGATCGTGGCTCTTTTCTGGTGGAGGCATGTGCATGGGACTTGACTGCGTCGCGACAATCTTCGAACCGTTGGATCGTGCGTTGAGTGTTGTGGACTTTTAATATCCGTTCGATCTTGTAGATGGGACTGTCTTTACGTAACCAGCTAGATTTGAAGATGATGTCTATTATGTTTCTCCCTGAATCCTCTGGCCCCAACTCCGACACTGTTATCAGAATTAAGTACATTACAAAACATCTTCACATATATTTTTTTTGTCTATATAGAGATGGATATCCTTAAATCTACCACAAGTAGAAGGAATCCAAAATTCATAAATTATTCTACAAAATCATTACAAAACGTTTTTATCCAAAAGCCTATTCATATATATATTTTTTATTTGTTTTGGTTTTTTTTTTTAGTTTAATTCTATTTGCTCTAAATCCATGCATGTAAATAAAACTCAATTTCATTTTGGTGTAGTATGATGTAAGGCTGTTTTTCTTTGCCAGCTAGTTCAAATCCCAAAAGATATTTGAAAAAGCCACTATAAAACGTTATATATTTATTTTATTTTGGGTTGAAAATAATATATAAAAAAACCTCAAACACAAAAAAAAATGTAAAAAGAAAGAAAAATCAGAACCATAGAGTGATAGATTAATAATGTTGTTTGGCGCTTAATATGTGGCTTCGACATAAATATTATAATTTTTGTACCATGAATCTGTAATCTACATATGCCTCTACATACATATCCAAAAACCAACGACGGAAAAAAACAAACAAACAAATCCAGAAACAACGACAGGACATGCCAGATTTCTGGCCCCAATTACGAGAAAAGAAAACTAAAAGACAGACAATTACTTATATTATTTCGAAACTAATCAAAAACAAAAAAACAAAAGAGGAAACAAATAAATTTTATGCTGATAAAAGATTTGAGTTAAACCAAAAAGATGTTTGAGTTAAATTGAACTTGATATATGTCTGCTTTATCAACTAAAAATAACTTTGTGTATGATCTATAATGGCATAATATATAGCTACTAGTGCCCTCATATTTTATAAATTCTGATATATGGTAGAAGATTTAATAAGAAAATATAGTTTCATATGAAAATATATAAACTAATCAAAGGGAAAAGCATACCAGCGTGACGAACTGCTTGATGAAGTTCCAAAGTTTCAAGCTTAGGGAAAACCTCCCCACACTGTGGACATGCACATATTCTTGGTGCTATTGGATATCTAATTATATAAACAAGCCATCATAATCTAATCACTTTGATTTCTTGTCTTTGTAATCATGATATGCAAATATTTAAGTAATTCACATAATAATTATTCAAAGAAGGTATATGAACCTGCTTGGATCAACAATCATGTGGCACTCATAGCAACCTGAGAGGTTTCTGAAGTGCATAGCTTTAGAAGTTGAATACGACGTGTAAGCGCCACAACCGTTGGATCTAACCGACGAAGAAGATCCACGAGTGACGGGTTTTCGGGTCAACAACCGGGCATCTTGACCAAGATTACTACTCTCAGGGGAGTGATCCGAGCGGTGAATCACGCGAGCATTACCGTAAACAACATCGCTAAACTTACATAGAGAAGAGCCACAAGATGATGAAGTAATCTTTGATGGTTCGTGCACTCGTGGCCCTTCGATTTGTTTGCAACTCAAAAGGTTCTTTATCTGGCTCCATGACGACGATGTTGGTACCGTCTTCTGCTTTTGCTTCTGCTTTAGCGTTTGCGTTTGAGGCGGCGGTTGGGACGTTTTCTTGTTTCTGTTCTTCTTCTTTGTGTCTGAAGATAAACGCGTTTGCGAATGAGTTTGTTCCGGTATGAAAGGGAGAGGAGCCATATGGAAAAAGATAATGTTGAAGACAGTGAAAATTAGATTACAATGTTGATAATATATAGAATAAACGATAAAGAAGAAAGAGAAGAGAGATAGAGAGTCTTTGTTCTTTTGCTTGTGTTTTTGGTGGGAAAGGATCGGAGAAGAAAAAGTGATCGAGTTGGATCAAACTCTTCATATAACTAATCCATACATATATATAGAGTTTGTTTTATTTTTAACGTACACTTTGATTCAATGTTTATTTAATATATATTCCGAAGCATAGAGTATTTGAAAGTTATACTTGCATCCAACCATACAAAACATTGACACAGATCCAGATTTAGATTTTGGTGTATAATGGCATATACACTCGTCATAAAATATAAAAATTAATTGATTTTTATTGGAGTAGGTGATATCAACTACAAACATATATATGATTCTTGATTATTTTAAATTGTATGCATTAGCTATGTAGTGGAGCTGGCCACCTTTCTGTTTGTCTTTTTGTTTCTCCATGTTCTTAGGACTAATGCAAAGACAGTATACCTTAAAGTACTCCAAATACCCTAAAGAACTCTAAATTAGCATATAAGTAAGATTTTGTTTCAAACTTACCTTGGAAAAAAGAAATTCACAAATATCTCACTATTTAGAAATGTAATCATATATAGAATGTGTTTTATTTTATTTTTTGACAAATACTAAAGAAAAAGCATTGTGGGAGATGACTCTCCTTGAAATTCTTTGTGGGTCCAAAATCTACATGTCATACTACGATTACCTAATAATTATAAATTATCCACAACACTAAATATCTAGTAAATGTCTTCAATGTACCGAGCTATACTGTACCAATGTTTTATCAAATTTTCAAAGAATTTTATCTATAGAAATATATCAACTACTATTTGAATTCAATAAATACAGAAAAATTGCACAAGTGATTACAAACTACATGGAAGATCATACCAAAAAAAAAAAAAAACTACATGGAAGATTACTCAAGCTCTCCAATAACTAAACATTTTTAGTTTTATAGCATGATAAGTATATTTGTTTTAACTGAAAATTTCTATGTCTAAATTGACCAAAAACCATGGAATTATACTAAAATGAAAGTGACTAAACTTATACGGAACAGTACTTTAATTAGTTTATTGCAAATACATGCAAGTCGGCATTTTCATCACATATTATCCTTATCTTATGAGACTATTCATCATTTGCGAACGACTCTAAAGTTACTTTTTATTAAAATCAAAAGGTTAAACGTACTTTACCAGCTAGCTTGATATTCAAGAGTATATTATGCCATATAAAGACATGGTGAAATGTATTGTATATGACTGAACTGTTATAGTGTACATAAGTTCTCACTATAAATGAGTCAATTTTAATATATTATAGTATTTCACTATATATAAATCTTGTATGCTCATTTCTTATCTAAATCAGACCAAATTAGACTAGTAATAATTGCATACTAATATTTGTATGATCCACTATATTCAAGACGGGAAATGTGACATGGAAATTAAAAGGTCAAAATCTTTATGAAAATAAAAATTAAGTGGTGAAAAATATATATAGTCATACGTTCATAGTTGAGAACCCTTGATGGTTCAACAGATTAAACTTGAAATGTTTTTTAAAAATGTGTATAATGCAATGGAAACATAAATACATATATAATGTTTGTTTTTTCTTATAATTGGCAATAAATGCGTAATGTTAATGCCTAAAAAGTCTTTGCTGATAAAGAAAAAAGTATAAGATACTCGGAGAAGAAGGTGCGGTAGAAGCTAAAGTTCAAGTAGGAGAAGCCAAGAGATCAGCACATACACATCGAGATCATAAAGTTACACATAGTGGCCCTCGTGATATTGCCGCAAAACATGGCCTCTTCTCTCACATGTCTTACCTTTATTCGCTTTGTCCTCTACTCTCTCAACGTAGATCCCTTTTACGTATATACTTATGTTTATTTTGTAATGTATTATACAACAAATACGCACACATGCCGGCCACTAATGTACATGCATTTACACATGTGTCCACTTCGTTCCACGGACCGGAAAATAAAAAGTTTTGTATGTAATTTATCTAACAACGACTATGCTAACAATTACAAAATTCATAATTTTTCCAGTGTGCTTGTAATGAGTCAAGAATAATTATAAATCAATGATCCCACTAATCAAAACTGGATCAAATTCAAAAGAGGTCTAATTTGATCCAACTTCTAAAATGTTTTCAAAGCTTCACTAATCTAGGACATGGAAAAGTATATAGTAATAAGTATTATGATATAGTTGTAGAAAACTCTAAAGACTAAGGAAATTACCTAGATGCTAAGAATTATAATATAAATAACTTTTTACCCCAACATTAGATAACTTGTAAGATACTTTTAGAGGGATTATTGTTGATTTTGCCCTTTTTTACCAAAATCTTTTGAAAATGCCATTTTTGCAAAAATCTTATGGATTTGCCATTTTCTAACACTTAAAAATGTACGTATTTCGGATTTTTTTTGGTAAAAATACGTAGTTTATACAAAATACTAAACCCTAAGAACAACCACAACCGACTAAACCCAAACATAACGAATAAAACGCATGTTTCCGTAGCCTGAAAAAGGGCAAAATCCATAAACTATTCAAAAAAGGGCAAAATCCACAAATGCCATCCCAAAAAATGGCAAATCCGTAATTGATTCTACTTTTAGATGCTATATAAATTCCTCCTCACCTTTCTTTTCTATAAAAGTAGGAAAAAGGAACCAAAGCAAAGAAATAAAAAAGAGTTCTTTCCACTATTATAAATTCTTTTTTGTGTTTCCATTTTTTTTTCAAAATATTTTTCTACATTATTTTTCATTCTGAGAAGGCCTTTCAGGCTTTCAGTTTTTTTTTTTTTTACTGCACCATGACAAGTAAAATAGATTTCGCGTTTGTGCACTTGAAATTTAGGACAACAGAAATATATCTAGACAAACTTACATTTATATGGATAATCTTTTTTGTTTGTTTGTCACAATTAAACTAAAAGATAATATAATTTCTCTGATCTCTGGCTACATTAAAATAAAAAATGTGGATAATGTCTTCAAAAGTATTTTTCTAAATAAAATACTCTTTTTTTTTTTTTGGGGCTAAAAAGTTGTCACATGCAATTTGGACGAAAATGTGTGTGTTTACATTGTTTGCTGTACCAAGGTTTCAGTCTCTCAGATCTAAACTAAGGGAAGTTACGTTGATTTAAGCCAGCTTGATATCTTGAAGGGATTTTTTCTCGTCATATTTTTCCAGTTTTATGAAAACAAGTTAAGTAGAGAGTACTAAATATACGTAAACAAGTTAAAGGATCAAACCTATATCAGTTCATTTCATATCTAATCGCGTTCTCGTTGAAAATCAAGATTTTTTTTACTTGTCTCAGTAATTATGAGTCTATGAGTTGCAGCGAAGAAGTGATGTTGAATTTTTGTGTGTTTGACACAGACCAATAGAAAAACTTACGTGTAATTGTCTACGTCCCAATAGAAATGCTTATATTTAGAACGTAATAGTATAGTATTAATTTATTCTACTTCTTAACATAAAATGATTATATCATATAATCATAGTTGTGTATTTTGGATTAAAAGTGTATTTAAAAAAAAAAGTATCTAATACTTTTTATGTTCTTTTTAATTGGAAAACTCAGTTCAAAAAACATTCTTTATCCTGGATTATGTTTTCTAATTGTTAAATATGAGTAGAGGTTGCACATGTGGGAGAAGGTCCCTTGAGCGGCAACCATGTTTTCTTCTTTGACTTTCCATATCCTCAAAGTGCTCACGAACACAACAGGCCTGGAAAAAAACCAGACTGGCCAGAACACATTAACATTGTTGATAGCAGTGAATCTCCTAGGGGTTTTTTTGTTTGCTTCGTTTGCTGGATAGAAACACGACATGAACTTCTTCCAGGACATTTGCCTTATGTGTGCTAAAAGTGTATGCACATATTAGTTGAGGTCAAACAATGGAATGAAGAGATGTTGATCCGGGTAAGACCGGGTTAAGGATGAGGAGAGTACCATCGAGACCTTATCGCCTTTCAGAGAGGCCTAGAAAAATCTAAGAACCCTTTCAGTCAAATCATAAAACTTTTTAATGCTATGAGGCCCGTTGCAAGGACGTCGGAGTGAAAGATGGGCACACATCCGTTTCTTTGGACTGTAAGAGCATAGCCAGCTAATTCAATAGCCCTCTCCACGATGAAATCATCGGTAAGCTAGTTGTCTGCTCCGATCTTACAGACATGTGACGAAACAAGCACCAACTATGTAGTACATCTTGCAACGCACACTGAGAACTTGAGGGGTGATATTACCGACATGTAGTTACAAAAATTTATGTTCTTAATTATCTTTATTTATTTATTTATAATATGTTCTTAATTATCTACAAAGACAACAACAACAAAAATGATATATTTTCCATGTCAAACAAAAAAAAAACAAAGTACTTTTTATGTTCCAACGTACTTAACATGTAACATACGTGAATTCTTTTTTTTGTTTAATAGAGTTAATTGTATTCACAAGGATTGTTAACTCATGATGCAAAAAAATTTATTTGTAAATGATTTGCTAATCAATATTTGATCATATATATTTAATCCATGAAAAAAAAATGACTCATGAATTCGGAAATTCATTTTACCTTTGGCAAAGACCATAATCGGATGTGATATTTGAGATGAACTCTCAGCTAGTTTTTAGTATAATAATTGGACCGCCTTTGGGCCGTTTAGAGTTTATTGGTGCCGATAGACCTTGCCACCTTGGAGATAAGGACTCTATCTAAAATCATGTGGTGCTCAATCTAGCAATCCACAAGAATGGAGACTCCCTATTAGTAGATTCGTGAACCATAATGTCGATCATTAACATTAGCTACAAAGTATGAAGTTTTAAACGTCGGAAATTGTTAAGCCCAAGATCAAGCCCAAGATCAAGCCCAATATCAAGCCCAAGCCCAAGCCCAAGCCCAAATAATAGTCAAAACTAAAATAATAAGCGGAAGAAGTTAGGCGGGGCTTAGGCAGAATTCGAAACTCTCTCCAACTTCATTCGCCCACCGCTCTTTTACATAATTCCAATTTTTTCTTTTATATTAATCTTTTTAATACATCAAAAAGACACTTTTACCCTTCCTCTTCTTCCCGCTGTTTCCTCTCTTCTCTCTCCATCTTTTTCTCCATCTTCCCTCTTCTTCTTCCTTCATCTTCCCACAAAAACCTAAATCACGAATCTCAAAATCTCATCAAAAACCACTCTAAATCCCATCTTCAACCACCGGAGAGATACACCGCCGTTACATGGCCGCGACATCAAACTCAGGCGAAGATCCGACTCTCTCTTATCACCATCACCGATCTCCTTTTCGCTTCGAATTACTTCAATCTATCTCTTCCTCTGATCCTCTTTACTCTTCTCTAACTCCTTCTTCAACGAATCGACCTTTCTCAGTCTCTCAATCGCTTCCCAATTCACAACAGTCTCCTCTAATTTCATCTCACTGGGACGATTCTTACTCTCAAATCACTCAGAAAGTTGTGAGTCTCTTCGTTTACTCCAGTTCTCGTAGATTCTCTCTTTGATTCCGATTCCGATTCCGAACTTGATTTTGCGATAGCTAGGTTTTTGTTTTTAATTCTGATCCCAAATTTCGCGAAACAAATTGAATGAAGTTTGGTTCACTAATGGAAACTTAATCCAAAATTGGATCTCTAGCTTTCAATTCTCTAATCTCAAATTGTGAATTTAGATTTGGTTTGGTGATTGTTAGCTATTGAGTGGATCTTTTTTTGCAGCAAAAGAGTAGAAAGAATCATCGAATTCAGCTGGGATCTATTGCAAACATGGCTGGAGAAAGCATTGATATAGCTAAAGTAATAGTGAAACAAGAGTCTTCTCCTCAAGATATTAAACGTGTATACAACAAGTCAAAGGGTACTAAACAGTTAAAGGCTGGGAAGCGGGCGAATGGCGGTATCTGCTTTTTCTGATCAATCTCTTTGGCTTGTTCTTAGAATGTTATATGTTTTGAAAATGGAATCTGTTTGTATTCAGCTTTGTGGTGATTGAATTTTTTTTTTTTTTGCAGAAGCACAGAATGGTGGCTTAAATGGAACTAGTATTAACTGTCGTTATGATAGTTCTTTAGGTAACTGCAAAGCGCAATCACGTCTAGTTGTGTTTACTTTTTTATTAGGTTCATGTTTGTATGGAGATAACAGCTGTAATTGTATCGTTGTTTCTTTTGTTTCGCAGGGTTGTTGACGAAGAAATTCGTCAAGTTGATCCAGGAAGCTGAGGATGGAACACTTGACCTTAACTATTGTGCAGATGTTTTGGAGGTATGCGTAATGTATCTAAATGTTAAGTTAAAAATGTATGTCTCAACTCGTAGAACATCTAATTAAGAATGTGCTTATATGTGGACTAAACAATCACCTTTATAACCCTTGCCTTAACTGTTTCATATCTCCTTACTTATCTTCATCAGTTTGTTAGAATCTCCTCTTATGTGCTTACGTATTCCTGCGATTCCTCTTAACAGGTACAAAAAAGAAGGATATATGATATTACAAATGTCCTTGAAGGAATTGGATTGATAGAGAAAACTACAAAGAACCATATCCGCTGGAAGTAATTAGTCAAATTGTTTCTTACTTGGATACAGTGCAGCGTATTTAGCTTGAGTTCGTCTGACCTTGGTTATGGACTATCGATGCAGGGGTGCTGACAATCTTGGACAGAGAGACCTGGGAGATCAAATTGCTAGGCTTAAGGTTAATTGTGACAAACATTTTCACATATTACTTTGTCTTAGAACTTACTGCAATAGAATGAACTATCAAATTCACGATTTCTCTATTAAATAACCACTTCTCTTTATTGCAAAATGTCGGGGATAGGAGATGTTTTTGTTATCTTCAAATTCCTTATTACTGACCGGTTACATCTCTACGTATTTCCAGTCAGAAGTAGAGAGTATGCAATCTGAGGAAAGCAGGTTGGATGATCTTATAAGGTTGGTTGCTTATGTTCTTATATTTGGTTTGGAGACTTATACATTGTTACTTCTCGACATGGTTTTAAGATCATTATGTTCAGGGAAAGGCAAGAAGCTCTCAGATCCTTGGAGGAAGATGAATATTGTAGAAGGTATTCGTCAGTTTATTTGAGTTTCATCTTTTTGTATTTTACACGAGAGCGTTGCTAAGATCAATGATGGAAATAAACAGGTACATGTTTATGACGGAGGAAGATATAACGAGTCTCCCACGGTTTCAGGTCCTCCCCAACTAGTTCTTGAAAATCATATTATGTTTTCCTCAGTTATTTAACATACTAAACCAGTAGTCCTTATACAGAACCAAACATTACTAGCAATTAAAGCTCCTACAGCTAGTTACATCGAAGTTCCAGATCCTGATGAGGTGAGCGTTTTTCATGATTTCATATAATGCACAGTTGTAATATAATGTGTCACAAAGTGAAGCAACTGTTTTTGTTCACGATAGATGAGATTTCCGCAACGACAGTACCGGATGGTGATTAGGAGTAGGATGGGGCCGATTGATGTCTATCTTTTAAGGTACTTAGCTACGCATTCCACTCTCTGTGTCTGTCTTATCTATATTTCTCAGTCAGTGTTCATAACTGGGAATAAACATGGTCGCAGCAAATACAAAGGAGACAGTGGGGAAACAAGTGACAAGTTGGGTCATGAGTCTGATCAAAAAGCTCCATCTGGAGTGGACACTCCTTCCTTGAAAATAGTAACTTCAGATACTGATGTAAGTATTAGATCCACAGATATGAGTTTTGGGATCAGTCTCGTATTTCGTATGTTGCGATTAAGTTGAGTTTTGGTTGTGTATTGTCAGTTAAAAGCAGATTACTGGTTCGAGTCAGACGCAGAGGTGAGCCTCACAGATTTATGGAGCAACTTCAGCAGCTGAGAACAAAGTTATTTGAAACCTCCAATTCCAATTACTGGAGGATGAATAATATAAATTTTCATGTTACGTTTTACTATGCCTTTTGAGCATGAATCCTAATAGAGTTTTTTTTTTCTCTCTCTGTTGTTTAAAATAAAAGATGCAACATTCTAATGTCAGTCAATGGATGTGACAATTATGTGAAAAAAGCTTGTATCCTAATTAGATTTATAATTATGCTTAATGGCCTTTTGGATGTCATCTGTGTTTATAATGAAGCTTTGCAATAAAAAAATTTGACCCTCGGGGCCATGGTTACAATTCACATGATCAAACAGAAACAAAGCATCATATAAGAACCACAAGATTTGGACAATAGCTCAAACGTTAGTAGCAACTTCTGTCAGAATCATGTCAGAAATCAGAGGGTTCCAAATTGAAAATTAGTTAGCTGAGTATAATCTTCTCTCCTTATATTTAATTTCAAAGCTGGAAGGCTAGTAGAGAAAAATATCTTTGAGGAATGAAGCAAAGATCGACTTTACAAAGCTTGAGATCATATCATGTTTGATGTCATTCATAAGTTAATCATGCCCACATTGGACATTGCTATCTTGGTGGATCCTTGAATATGGTGCTTACTTGGATCCCAAGCAACACTTTTTGTTGAATCGCATAACTCGTGCAAGTAACTGCCTAAAACGTACCCGAAAAAAAAAAAATTGAGTTTCAGAGGAAAAGTTTCAAAATTCACATTGGATATAATTCTGCCATAATTTTCAGAGGATATAATTCTGCCTATACGAGAAGATTGATAGCGACTCAAAAATCATGAACATGGAACAACGCCGTTTTGCCGCTGACAAGGCATGTCAAACGAATACCAAACAAAAGATTGTGGCTCAGTTCCTTACAACAATATCGTTTTGACAGAGATTTTTGATATTTATTTAATTTTTTTCAAATTTTTTTTAAGGTAATTTTATCAATGAATAGAAGCACAACTAAAATATAGTCTGTCAAATGAGAGAAACTGTAGAACAAAACTCTTCAACCTCGCCAAGTCAGTGTTGCTCCTTTTTTGATTTTTTGGTTGACGTTTAAAAACTCGCTATTGACGTTTCTTTTAGGTTGGAATTGGACAGATGACGACTTGGTAAGCATTTTATGGGAAAATTCCACAGGGGAGTCCGATCTTAACTTGAAGGACTAGCTTAGGCTACACAGCACTTAGATTTTTCTACTTGTCCTCACTAAACTCCAATTTTAGTTTGCTCACTGATAATGATTTTTGTTCTTCGTTTCTAAGTTTTCTAAACATGATTGCCCATTTGGCGTCAAGAACGAGTTTAGTAGTCGCAATCTTGACTTTTATGCTCTCTCAAGTCAAGTCCACTCCACTGGAAGGATTTATAAGAATTTTAGTGGGGAAGACTTTTCATCTAAGAGACTTCAAATCATCAAGTCAATGGCTATGGAGCTTCATGTGTTTGTTTTTATATATATATGCAGTGACTCTGCAACACTAATTTACCATCACTACTCAGATTACCTTTTTTCACAAATATAAAAGCTTTCTTATCTAATCAGAAAATGAGCATCCTTCTTCGTTCCATTTGTTTCTTTTTTCTCGTTTCAAGTTTTCTAAACACATTTGTTTCTTCTACACAACACTTGTGTCATTCCGACCAAAGGGATGCTCTTCTTGAGTTCAAGACTGAGTTTTTGATCAAGAAACCTACTTGGGTTGATTCGGATGTCTCCCCTCATATACAGACAAAATCATGGGTGAACAAAAGTGATTGTTGTTCTTGGGATGGTATCACGTGTGATGCTAAGTCAGGCAAAGTGATTGGGCTAGACCTTAGTCGCGGCTCCCTCCATGGCCCGCTTAAATCCAACAGTAGTCTTTTTAGATTGCGTTATCTCCGTGATCTGAACCTTGCTTACAACGATTTCAACAGTTCACCAATACCAGCTGAGTTTGATAAACTCATGGGGCTAGAAAGACTTAACCTTTCCCACTCTTCATTTTCAGGCCAAATTCCAACCAAGCTTCTTCAGCTAACCAAGTTGGTGTCTCTCGATCTTTCTTATTCTTCGTATTTATCCATACCTCTATCCATTCATGAATCTTTTTTTCATCTACTTGCTCGAAACTTGAGGAATCTTAGAGAACTGGATATGAGAAACGTAAACATATCTTCAGAAATCCCCCACGAGTTTTCAAACATGCCTTCTCTAAGATCATTAAATCTTGCCTACTGCAACCTGTTTGGAGAATTTCCAAGCAGTGTTCTTCTGATACCCAGTTTACAGTCCATTATATTAAGATTCAATCCAAATCTGAGAGGCAGTCTTCCCGTTTTTCGTGAAAATAACTCTTTGCTAGAGCTGAGCCTTTACGAAACAGCCTTTTCAGGTACCATACCTGACTCCGTTAGCAGACTCAAACACTTGATTTCTTTGACCCTTTCCGCTTCTAGTTTCTCAGGGAGGATTCCGTTTTCACTTGGGAATCTTTCTCATCTCTCATATCTCGATCTTTCTTCAAATAATTTTGTTGGTGAAATCCCATCTTCAATTGGCAATCTAAAACATTTGACCAATTTTGATGTTTCGGATAACAAGCTCAGTGGAAACTTGCCAGCTTCAATACTCAAATTTACCCAACTACGTACCCTCTCTCTCTCCTTGACAATCAGTTCACAGGTTCTCTTCCACCTAATATTAGCCAATTCTCCAAATTAGAGTCTCTTGAAGCTGATGATAATTGTTTTAAGGGAGCCATTCTTTCATCCCTAGTCAAGATTCCCTCATTGACCCACATCTTTTTGAGTTATAACCAATTCACCGACTTTACTGGGATTGGGAATATCTCTCTTTTACCTAATTTACATTTTTTTTATATTGAAAATAACAATTACAACAAAGTCGGTGAAGGAGTCGACTTAAATGTGTTCTCGCCTCTCAAAAAGCTACAACTATTATATCTCTCGGGCATCCCTCTTTCAACAGCAAACATCACTTCTGATTCGGAGTTTCCATCAGAATTGTACTTGCGAGGATGCAACATCACTGAGTTCCCTGAGTTCATAAGAAACGGAAGAAATCTACAGAGTCTAGACCTTTCCAACAACAAAATCAAAGGTCAAGTACCAGACTGGTTGTGGAGACTACCAGAGTTGTCCGATGTGAATCTCTCTTACAACTCTCTCAGCAGTTTCAATGGATCCTTAAAAGCTGCTCCCGAGAGTCAACTCATGAGTGTAGACCTAAGGTCAAATGCTTTTCAAGGACCACTCTTCATCCCGTCAAGGTCTCTCATATTCTTTTTGGTTTCCAAGAATAACTTCACAGGAGAGATACCTCGATCGATATGTGGACTAAGTTCTCTAGAGGTTCTAGATCTATCAAACAACAACCTCCACGGCTCAGTTCCATTGTGTTTAGAGACTCTGATGAGTTCTCTTTTAGATCTAAATCTCCGTAACAATAGCCTCAGCGGAAGTCTTCCCGAAATATTTATGAACGCCAACAGATTAAGTTCACTTGACGCCAGTCATAATCGATTAGATGGAAAGCTTCCTGCTTCTCTTATTGGTTGCTCTTCTTTGGAAGTTTTAAACGTAGGAAGCAACATAATCAGCGACATGTTTCCCTTCCAGTTGAATTCCTTGCAAAATCTTCAAGTTCTTGTCCTCCACTCTAACAAGTTTCATGGCACGTTACATAACGTTGATGGGGTTTGGTTTGGATTTCCTCAGTTGAAAATCATTGATGTATCACATAATGACTTCTTTGGTATCTTGCCATCTGATTACTTTCTGAACTGGACTGTGATGTCTTCGAATGGAGAGACTAATTTGGAACCAAAGTACATTAAGAATCCTTCAAGTCGCTACTACAATTCACTTGTCTTGATGAGTAAAGGAGTGTCAATGGAGATGGAACGTATCCTTACAATCTACACTGCCATCGATTTGTCAGGAAATCTACTCCATGGAAAGATTCCTGATTCAGTTGGTCTTCTCAAAGAGCTTCGTATTCTCAACATGTCAAGCAATGGTTTTACGGGCCACATCCCATCTTCTTTGGCAAATCTGAAGAATCTCGAGTCACTAGACCTATCCCAAAACAAGATTTCTGGTGAGATTCCTTCTGAGCTTGGCACCCTCTCTTCTCTCGAGTGGATAAACGTTTCACATAACCAGCTTGTAGGTTCCATACCACAAGGCACACAATTTCAACGACAAAAATGCTCCTCCTACGAGGGAAACCCTAGACTTAATGGTCCTTCTCTTAAGGATGTTTGTGGAGATATCAAAGCGTCAACACCACCACAACCCGAACCTCTGGAGACCGAAGAAGAAGAAGAAACATTGAGTTGGATAGCAGCAGGTTTAGGCTTTGCACCTGGAGTTGTATTTGGACTGGCGATGGGATACATAGTGGCTTCATACAAGCATGAGTGGTTCATGAAGACTTTCGGCCGAAGCAAGAAACAGAACTCCAGAACTCGTTAAGTCACTCATTGATGATTCTCCCTTCCTTAACGCATTGTTGTTATGTGCATAAATATATTGTTGTATTTCATGTAGAAAAGACAAGCGTGTGATGAATCAAGTTTTATGTATAAGCTGAAGACTGAAAAATAAAATGTTAATTCATTGGTTTTAATTTGTTTTCAACTTTCCACATTGAGTGAATGCACTGTTACATTCTTGATTACTTCAATAAGCAAACATCAACATTAAAATGCACATGTCGTTTGATAAACAGGTAAGTAACAAAAAGATCCAAGTATTTTGATCACATTTCATCATGTACACATACACACAAGTTTCTCCCCTCTTTTATTTAATATCCTGATTTGGAGGAGAAGAACCTGCTTATTCCTCTAGAGGGTTTCTCCGGGGTCGCGTTGGTAGATGAACCTGACCTTGTGAGCCTTGAACCCACTCGTGATGGCGATGTCATCGTATCGCTATTCTCTGAGTCAGAAGGGCATTTTGGAGACTCCATAAATCTAGGGACCTCGTTAACCCAAGTCTCAGTTGAATCTCCTTCGTCTGCTACGGCGTAGTTCTTTGGGACTGAGGTAGTGGTGGTGCCTGGTTCCTCTTCTTCAGAATAGGACTCATTTTGTCTTTTTGGTGACCTCAATTGTTCAGGTTGTGGCCGAAATGACTTCAGCTGCTTCCCCAACACAAATATGGTTTCTTGACACTCCGCTAACTTCTCTGCTGCTGCCGATAACTCTCTCTCCTGTACATATTTTCATGTTAGTTTTCTCTTTTACTCAAAGCTTCAAAGTCCTATGGACTCAGGAATTTTTGCATGCTTTTGAGTCTGTGATTCGATATGTATATGCATGTAGTATCAATTCCAATTCAATGAATAAGTAGATGATATATGAGAAATGAGCATCAATTCAAATTAACTTGGATCAAGAATCTAGAGCTACGAATCAAAATGCAGGAAAAAACCCAAGTTTATAAAGCTGAAATATTAGAACGCATTGAATAGAGTCTGCCAAGCATTGCGAAAACATCACCTGTTTGCTCTTGATATCAGCCTCTTCATCATCCTCAGCAACCAAAGAAGTGTTTCTGTGTCTGAGAAAAAAGTGAAAATATAGACATGTAAATAGCAGTAAGTGAATAGACATGGCAAGGTACATATTCTGGTAAAGATGATACTACTCACCTTTGAATATGTTCTTCAAGTTCATGGCACCTCACAGTGGCTTCTTGGTGGTTGCGTTTTTCATCCTCAAGCTCGTTCTCCAACTTCCGTATATTTTCCTTAAGCTGATTCACATCGATCTCTAAATCAGCTGCACGTGATTCAAGTGATCTATATGACTCAGTCATACATCTGAGTTGTGTATCCGCCAATCTGTTTGACCTCTGAGCAGAATCAAACTGTGATCTAATGTCAGCTAACAGCTGCTCAGATTCTTGCAACTGAAACTTCAGCCCCTCAATATCCAGTGCCATTTTTTCTTTTTCTGATTTCAGTTCCTCTATTTCCTGTAATCTGGAGTCTGATTCATACCCCAAAACTCTGTTTTCATCACATGGTACCCCTGGCTCGTTGTGGACACATCCATTTTCATATATTTCTTGAGATGAATCTTTATCTACAACCTTGCTCTCGGGTAATGCAACCTTGTCTATGCAATCTGGACTCAGCGTTTCAACCTCAGAGGAAGCAAGACCCCTGAAATTTACCTTTAGCTCCATGGCCTCGTTGAAGACATTAGCAAGTTCCGAAACAAAATCGTCCAATTTTTTATCACCGCTTAAAACTTGGTTGAACGTGACGGAGAAGCCCTGAATCAGTTCAACAAAATCATTTCCCTCAATGGCTGTGTCCTGACCTGCCCTTACCTCATTTCTTAGCAACAAAACAAAGTCATAAATCCGAGAAACAGCATTTTTCAAATCTTGGTGAACGCTCTGCAGCTTTTGTTCAGCCAAATGACAATCTTCAACCAGATTTTGTTCTGCGCATAAATCTGACACTTCTTCAGGATGAACCTGCACCTCAGAAGGCTTTTCCTGGTCCATACAAGCATTCACATCTTGTAAAATGCATTTTATATCCCCCACTATCTTTTGTAGGTCAGTATCGGTAGATACAGATTCAAGAACCTTTAATAATCTAGATCTAAATTCCATCACTTCTCCCGGACTACCTCTATTGGACTCCTCAAGTTCGGTATGAGCCTCAAGAATTACCACTTTTGACTTTTGATCACCTGAACCATCTTTGGAATCCATACTACCATTACTGCTAGACTGATTTGGCAAACAAGCTAACTTCTCCATTTCAAGAAAATCATCCATAAGCTCAACATGGCTATTAACACTTTCAACCCTCTCCAAGGCTGCCATCTCCTTCTCCTTCTTGTTCTGTTGTGATGGATTTGTTGACAAAGATTCACTGCAACTTCCAGAATCGTCATTCCCATCTTCAGAAACAGAGATTGAGCTTGATGGATTGCTCGTATTCAGATTTGGACACACTTCAAGTGAGGACTTCTGAGAATTATTTTGCTGCAGTTGAGCTTCTAAGCTTTGAAGTTTACTAGTGCTCTGAGCGCAAAGATTCCGTGACTCCAACAGCTCACTATTTCGCTTTGCTAAGGCTTCTTTCAGCATTTTTGTCTCTTCTTCCATTGCAAGTAAACGCTCTGTTAGAAATTCATTTTCCTTTTGGAATTTCTGTGAATTATCGAGAGAGAACTCAGACCCAGTTGATGAGTATCCCCCGGGCGACTTGCACGGACTAGAGACCTTGACAGGAGATCTCTTTTGTCGGGCATCACCACTATCCCTGCCTAAGTTCTCAACCTCAAGCTTCATTTGCGCAAGTGCAGCTGGGCCTGGCAACTTCTTTCTCACAAGACTTCTCAGTCTCTGGCATTCTGCTTCCAACTTAGCTATTTTCTTTACCCCTTCCAAGTGTTGCTTGTTGGCGGATTCTGCAGATCTAATACACATGTTCTTTTCTTCATTGCGTATCTCCAGCTCTTTAGAAACTACATGGACTTCGTACTTGAGAGATTTTATTTCTCTTTCACACATTTCTAGATTGCTCTTCAGGGTCTCGATTTCAGCATCAGCTCGTGACTTCTCCTCACTGACTTTTACTAGCATGTTGGACCGCTCCTGTAAAGTTCTCGATAGGGCATCACTATCCGCTGCAGACCTTAGCAGCTCTTGTTCATAGTCACACATCCTCTTTTCAAACTCCATTGTCATTTTTTCAATTTGCTTGGTCTTGCTTAAAGCAACATCATGCAGTTTCACTTCATGGTCTTTCTTCAAGTTCCTTATCTGCCTCATACATTCTTTCAATGCACCATCTAAATGCGCTGCACGATCCTCAGCTGTGAGTTTCGAGAGAGTAACAGACTCCAGGGTATTTTTCAATGTCAAAACCTCCGCGTCAGCTTTTTCCCAACCTACAACAACAAAAGGCTATAACACTTTACTCTACATTACAGCTTAAACATTCACTGGTAACAAGATAAAAAAAGTTAAAATACCTGAAACAGCATCTTCAGCAACCTTGGAATGCTGCTTCACTAAGGCCTCCTTGGTAACTATCTCCTCATTAGCAACAGAAAATTTTTCATTCAAGTCCGCAATATCTTCATTAAGTTTCTGCACCTGTTCTTCATACTCATGAACCTTCTCATCATACGCATCAATCTGTTCTTCAAAATCCTTAACCCGCTCCTCAAAAGTCTCAACTTGATTCTCATAAGTTTTAACTTGAACATCGTAAGATTTAATCTGAACATCATACGTCTTTATTTGTTCTTCCAAACCAGTGAAATGTGTATACTGCTCCACAGATATTTGCACATACTTTGGCTTCTTAATAGCTTCCTGTTTCCAAAAAAACCAAACCAAAACCATAAAAATGTTCAACAAATCTAGTAACAATACAAGTTGCTTAACACAAGCCAAATGTCAGAGAGTAAAAATACCTTCTCAATCTGAGAATGAGAAGCATCAGCTGCAGAATCAATCACTAAGATTGATTTATCAGACGCCTTCTTCTTCCACGGCCAGCTTCGTCGGTCCATTGCAGTCTATAAATTAATCACATTGTAACTATAATTACTAAATTTACCATTGGAGCTATATTCTCTAAATACAGACTTCTACTACCAAAAACACGAACTCATGTATAAGCCATTGAAGCAAATCAGATCCGAAAAAAAACAAAACCCCTAATAAATTTGATAATCATTGTAAGTATTTTTTTTTTGCTGAATGAGGAAAAAAGATAAGGTAATCTGAAGAAAATTGAGAGCTGCATCGTCAAAAAAGTAGGTTACTAAATTAGGAAAAACAACAAGGTAAAGTTAACTTGCCGACACACCAAATCGAAGACAAAATAGCAAAAGAAATTAACTCTAAAAAGCTTAAAAATCACTGTAATCGAGTTTTGAATTAAGTAGCACAAAGTGAAGAACACACACAGACATATGAAGAAACAGAACAAGAGGATGATTTTTTTTATGTTCGGAAAAAAAAAAATGATGTTTAAAGCTTACATCGGAGAGAAATGTAGCTTGTGGAAACGAAAATCTGGAAGTGTTGTTTGTTCTTCGAACTTTAAAAGTGTTTGTACATGCGAGTTTTGGTAATGGAGATCTGGAGAAATTGATTTGAACTTAGATGGTGGTTGGAGTTGGAGCTGTTGAAGAATGCGGCGATGAGTAGTCGGAACCCTACGGTTGGTTACGGCGGCGGAAATGAGAGAAAGACGATGAAGTGGTGACTGAGCTGAGGAAATGGTTTTTTTTTTTTTTTTTTTTTGTCTCTTCGTTAAATGTGTCAAAATTTTAAAGAACGTTGCAGCATAAAGCTCCAAAAGAAAAGCATCTTCTTTCTTCTTCTTCTTTTTTTGTTTTTTTTTTCAAGAAAGCATCTGCTTTATTTTAAAAAAAAATATTTGAGAGGAAAGATAATATAAGTAATAAATTGATATAAATAAATATGTTTATCTGGTAATAATAAATATGGTAATAAAGGGCCCATAGCTCTACCTAACACATTCAACTCACAAAGAGTCTTTGGCATTTGGTTAATTGATGATGATACCATTTAGCAGTGAAGTTATTAGAAGAGAGGCTTAGGGAATCAAATGTGTTGGAGGATTTTGCTGAATTTTAGCTGAAATGAAGAAGAAAAGTAGCGTAAGATGACAAATGTTGCTAATTTTTTTTTAATTAGGTGACTATGGAAGTGTGAAAAAGTGGTGGTTATTTTAAAAGCCTTTGGTTAAATTTTGGATGGGATTATTGATGAATTAAGATAGGTTTGTTAGAGAATTCTTAAATGAATGAATGTTTTGTGCTAAATTTTCTATTTCTACAAAATTACCTGAATGTATGTGATTGAATATGTGATTAAGCTATATTTCGTCTCATAGATATTTCTTCGTACTCATTATAAGTAACTAAATTGTCCTAACATATAATTATTAGGCCATATTTAACGCTGAAACACTGGGCCTGTTCTTACAGTTTTTTAATAATTAAAAATGGGTTTCGAGGGTTAAGAACTGAAGAAGTGATCTTGGGCGAGAACTGTTTCAAGGGTGTTCTCCGGGTGACGTGTCCGTCTCTGAGTGGGTAGCATTTTAAGTGTTGGGCTTTTTTTTTTTAACCCGACAAATGAGTTTTTTTTTTTTTCAATTCTCTTAATTAGAGCTTACAGTTTTTTTTTTTTTCGCTGGCTCGTCGGCCCAATTTAACATTCCTTTAAAATTACAGTTCGGTTTTGATCGGTTCTAATTTCTCAATCCAGATAAAACTCAATATTAACAATTGACATAGACCGGACCGAATCAAACGTGAATATAAAGTCTGAAATTGAGTTGACTTGGGTGAATTTAACATCCTCAACCCAATCACACAAATAAACCGGTCTAAAATGTACATTATATACCAAAACAAAAATTACAACTCTAAAAAATACATGTGTTTAGTTTTGTAATGTTTTCAATTTCAAATTTTTTTTTTTAATTTTAAAAAAACATTTAAAGTTTTTGATTATTAAATTATTATTTCTTATGTTCTAAACATGTTCTACCAATAATCACTTACTTTACAAAAGTTCTTATTTAATGCTCTTACAATATTTTAATATTTTTTTCCCCCTAAGAACAATCTTCAATGTTATACCCTTGCATATGCCCTAACAAGAAATATGTATTAGTACAAGAAATGAAAGACACAAATAAATGAGGTCGGATAATATGTCTCGGATGGACAACCCTACTTTTTAAAATACATATTCCCTCTATTGTATAAATAGTGATCAGTATCACTCTACCATTTTTCGCATAAATTAAGAAAAGTAAACAAATTTTATTTCTACTCCATATTAGTACACTAGATAATAGGACAAAATCCGAAAAAAATCACCGTCTATTTTTGTTTGGTCGTTTAATAACTGTAGTTTTAAAATTGGAATAAAAATACCTCGTTTATTTTTTGTTACCTTTTAAATTCATTATCTTTTAAATTTTGGTACTTTCGGACCCTCGACTAACAGTCGTTAATAGTCGTAACGCAATCATTTGACATCGTTGAATTTTAACCATTCGTTTTTAACTATATAAATACAACCGGTTTACAATTTTTTACAAATATATTGTCTTGGTCTAGGGTATTTATGTGATTGTCTCCTTGTAATGTTCGACCACATATGACTCGTGTATCCTTGTGTAACCTTTTGAATGTTTCCAATACTCTTATTGCTTTGTTTCCTCGGATTTATGTATCTTTTTGAAGATTATGAATGAATGTCCCTCTTCTTTTATGAATTACATTTTCTTTGGTTAATGGTAATTGTCTTAATCATATTTCATCAAAAAAAAAAAAACAAATTGTCTTAATCATAAATCCATGAAATTCTTTGATACATATCAAGAACAAAAGGGAAACTGTCTTAATCATAAATCCAAACTACAAACATACTCAAGACATACAAATGGTCTCGGTAAAAATCCATGCCTTAAGACATACGTACACTACCAAAACACACCGAGATACAATCATCATCCTACAAGTTTGGTGAATCCAATCATCATCATACATCCTATCACTACGACAAACATCATTTTCTTATTGCTTGCTTTGGCTTCAGACAAAGCATCTTCGACCTTCTCAAGTAACTCCTCTATCTTCATTTGGACCTTCTCAGAAACCATCTTCTCAAACTCCAACCTCTTTGTTCTAAGCTCTTTAAGCTCCTGCTCAAATTCACCATTCTTTGTTGTTTATGTCTTTATCTTATTGAGCAAGGCATCATCAACCCATTTGAAAGTGTGATCCTCGTTCCTTAGCTAAAATTGAACACAGATCGATCAAGATTAGTAGAATCTAAAACATGAAAAACAAAAGAAATAGAGGATTGGGATCACATTACCGTATGGGATCACATCACCCTATCTTTTGCAGCAAAACCACAACGAAAGTATTTTCTAGTAAAGATTGGGATCAGATTTGTAAATGAGTGCCATGATTCTTTCCCCGCACCAACATCTCTTTGGCACTCCGACCACTCTTCCTCGTCCACGAGGACCTGTAGATCCTGTTGAACTCGATGATATCGAAATTTGGCAACTAAAATTTCAAGTTTAGGGTTCTTGAGTTGGGGATTTTGAAATTTGGGTATTTCGATTTTTGGGGTTTATACATATATTGGATCGGATATTAATAAGGAATCAGGGTTTTTTTGTTTAGTTATGAGTTATGACCAATAAATGGTTTCGTCTCGGATTTATGCACCAAACCGATGAAACCCAGATTCGGGTACATTAAGCTATAAAACTTTCAATTCATGAGCAAATATGAATTGAACTTCCATTTCCTAGACATATAGACTAGGATTAAAGATTGGCATCTATCTTATATGATGTGATAGTTCTTGTTAACAGTCTATATCATTTTAAGATTTAAAAACTTCCCGATCTAAGATTAACAAAATTTCTCATGTTTAAAATCTTAAAATATTGTAGACTATACCAAACTGTCAAGTTTTTCACGAGCCATAATCATGATTCATTTTGTTGTAAGAATTAAATTCATGATCTTATATCTTTTTGGCCGTTTGATTTTACGAGTTCATGTTCTTGGTGAAATAATTTTACTAGTTCATTGCTAATTATGAACAATTTTCATTTTTATTTTACACCATAGAGACATTTAACATGTGCATTTACATAATTCCGTAATTAGATAATAGGTTTTGCAAGTAAAAGGACAATCGAGTGGGCATGGCGCTTCTTGTTGAGGCCCAACATCCAAAGAGGCTTCGTTGTGGATCATATGCGAGATGAACTCTTTCTGCATCAAACTTCGACTTTCTACTTTTCCAATACTTGAAAATGTCATTTCTACAACGTTTAATTTAGGCCAAGTCAATAATTATATAGTAGAAATAATTTATAAAATTGAAAATATGGTATGCTGATCAATGAAATCGGTAAAATCCATACGAAAACAGTATATAAAAGTCAATATTTACCAGAAATGAGAGCCAAGAAGACAAACAATGTGAAGATTTTTAAAATATATTTCATTATTATGGGCAGGTTTGTTACAAAGAGAGGTCCAAAAGAAAATAAAAAGTTGAGTTTGATAACTTATCACATTATTTGTTTCAATCTTATAACTGTTGGAAGTGGTACTTTAGGGTAAATTAGTCATTTTATGGGGAATTTTTTTTTAAAGTAAGATCTCCAGTTATGAAGCTTATATTCAAAAGGTTAATTGACACCAAAAAAAAATTAATGGTAATGAGTCATCTTTATGAGAAATTTTATTTTAAGCCAAAGATCCAAAGTTTGTAGATCTTAAATTTATTGAGAATATTTACACATCATATATTGATGTATATAACATTAATGAATGAGAAAGAAAATTTGATTGTTTTAAGCAAATAACCAATATGTATACATGTGTCAAAGTAGAGTTTGATAATTATATATAAATTAACTAGATATATGTTTGATATGTAATGCAATATTCGAAAATTACTTTCTAGTTTCCACTACGTCACTATTCATAAAATACTTTTTTTTTCAAACATCTTTAAAATGTTAAATCTTTTTGGGGTAGATTTTTTTGTTGTCAACAACGCATATGATAAAGTATCTCAAAAATTGTACATAAAATTGGTTATCTAATTTAGAGAACCAATAATATGATAATAAATAATTTTGATAATATGATAAAGTATCTAAAAAGAAACAAACCAATAGGTCATGATTGGCGACATGTCTATCGCAAGAATTCGAATAAAAAACAGGAAAACGCTTGTTATTAGCCAATTAACAAAATTAATAACAATTTGTGTTTTTTTCTATAGAAAAACGAAATTTATTTTTGCGGATTTTAAGACGAAAATACACAGACCACGTTTCTATACGATATCAATGTTTTATCTAGCGGTCCATTCCAAATCTGCGATGGGTATAATAACAATTAATAACCAATTTCTTTTTTTAAAAAAACAAAAATTTAGTGACTCTTGCTACATACATAAATGTCACATAAGCAAAAGCAAAAGAATTGGTAACAATGCACAACCTCTGTTTTAAAGGAGTCCTCTTGAATTATCATCGTAATGTAATAACTTATTAGTAAATTAATTATCAATTTAATGTGGTAACTTATCAGAAGCAGCCAATGACTCAAAAGTATGGTCTTATGTTTGTGTCTATTTGTTTAGAA